GCACTTCCAACATGACTGTACCTATGTACCTGTAGCTGCATGGTGCCTGTGGCGTCCAACAGGAACCACCTCAGCGCGTGTGACCCGCGCAGTGCAGTTGCCGTGCAACATGCGACTCAAGGACCGACATTGCTTTGCGGCAGCGCACCGCTGACAAGACATTGTCATCTCGCCGTCTCCTTTCTTATTGCATCCTGTCCAAGGTGTGCCCTTCCCAATGGAGCAAGACTGGCCCCCCAACCCTCCCCGCGACGGCACTGCGGGCGCTCAGGGCCTATAGTGACACATCACAAAGGCCCCGTAGTGTTCCTTTTCCGTCGCAACCGGTTCCTTCCTGGCGCCACACCACTGAGCACACCTGAAGCTGGCCCCAACGTCGCTTCTGGAGGTGTGTCGCTCAGGACTCAGGAGGGCAAGAAGGTTGCTCTGGGCCTAGAGGGAGACGTGCGAACCAATAGCAGACATGGCCAAGCCAATCAAGACGAATGACGACGAAGACTTGTCACGACTTCGTTTCTTTTCCCCATACCCATCCCGTCCCGTGTCCTCGACGTCATGTCATGGAGCGGTGGTGGATCGGACGCAGTGGTGTTGCGGGCGGGCCGTGTCCGTCACCCTTCCATCCATGCGAGGGGGTGCCAGCATTTTCAGCCTTTCTGCCTGGGAGGCGCGCATGCGAGGATCGGACATGGGACGAGACGCGTAGAATTTGGTATCGCGGGGACCGAGAAGTCGTAAGCCGAAGCCAGTGCCATCCTGCTGTGACTGGCGAAAAGCAGCTCCAATCGTCGATACCGTTGCTGAAAGGGACTGCGCAGGGGATTGCCTGGCATGGGAGGAGGTTCGTTTGAACCTCGGCCAGGTAGCAGCTCCGGACGCTCAATTCCAGGATCTGCTCGAGCAGGTGGCAAACAAGAGTTGCTTTTCTTTCGAGTCAGGGCCAGAGACATTTGTACGCCCCCACCGTCAAGCTAGAGATCGTTCTTATTCAACGAGGTATGCACTCATCGCGCTCCACCTGGAGAAACAAACATCCATCCGCCTGGTCTGCCAGTCTCCGATGAGAACGTCAAGACTGGCCGGGCGCGCCTCTCGCCATGGTCGTTGGGGCAAGCTTGCTTCGTTCCTACAGACTAGAGCTCAAGAAGAGGAAAAGAGGTCGGCAACCATCTGCCCAAAGTGTCCGCGGCCACCCCTGCGTCCAACACCGACTTCGTCGCCAGATCGGATGGATGCCCTCGTGGCCAATCTCATCTCGGAATGTCCGCTCACGCTGCAAGGCGGGACAAGGGTTATTATGAAGACACGCGCACATGACGCATCTGCAGTCACGAGACTCCTAACGCTTCAAGACCCGGATCCAGAGACACTGAGTTTCTTTTGACGGGCAAGGCCGTCCAAACACGGCTCATCTTTGAGACTCGAGGCAAATGCCGTTTTAAATGCACAGCGGCAGCCATCCGTACCGGGACAGTGGTTCCGCGTCCTCAAGCCAGACAGGCACCCGGCTCCGCGTGGATCCGAGTGCAGAACTCGGGTCGCCTTTAGAGTGCGCTCCCCTGCATGCTCCCCTCCTTGCCTCCCGAGGCCAGGGCAGGGTTGGCCGAGCATGACGTTTTGTTTGCCAGTCGCAAAAGCAATACGCTGCCGATGCGACTTTCGAATCCTGGCTCGGTTGAGGAAGCGTTTCACGAAGATCGAAAGGGAAGGCCCGCCATCGCTCCTTTCCAACGGCTTCAGCTGCAAACTCCGCAGCCCGACTCGCCAACGTATCATCCACCAAGGGGCAAGGGCAAAGGAAAAAAAACTCCTTCCCCCAGTGGGCGACTGTCTCTTTCATTTCAGGGGCAGGCTGCGTGCTTTTGGCGACCAGCTGCACGGAGAAAGCAACCACTGGAAGCCCTATGACAGTCCGCTGCGGCAGCCTCTCCCCCGCTTGCCAGTTTTGCGGGCCACGCTTCCGTTCCGCGTACCAATGAGACGCCCGTTCCTGACGCTTAGCCCCTTTTAGTCTGAACCCTCCCCTGAGCTACTGAGCGGGCCTGCCGGGACAAACACCCAGCAGCACCAAAAGCGGGGGTGTGTATATAGTAAGCTAGTCATGGTGGCCACGCGAGGGGAGCAAGTCCGCGGTTCTCGACGGAAGGGCGGATGTCCACTCCAAGAATTGGTGAAGCGCTCCTCTCGATGCCTTCGTCGACATGAACCAGGTGTCGTGCTTAATGACTTGAGCGACCTGATTGCATTGACGCCTTCCGCATGTTCGGTAGCATCCCGTCGCGTGATGATAGGACCGTCCTTGCGCCCGGACGATCGCGCAGCGGAATCGACGCGTCCTAACGATTAGCACCCGCACGAAGCACAAGCATCGATACGATCAATGCTTGGCCATATTTGCCCCTCCTTTCCATAGCGGTGTCAACAGGCGGCAGCGGACAGGACGCGCTGTGCGATGCCTGTGGTGGAAATAGTGGCTTGCAAGCCCCCCGTTTGGGGCGGCGCTGTTCACGTTTCTTCAACGAGCAAACAATACTCGTACAGGACACAGGTCCGCTCGACGGGATGGTGGGCTGAGTGGCGCCGACAAACGCGCGTCGCGTCCTGACTTTGTCAATAGACCGTCGCGTGGGAAGCAATCCCTTCACGATGGAGGTGAGCGCCTCGGACGCAGGCCTGTGTTTACACAACACGGTCTCTCACAGGGCCTCGACCGTCCTGAGCACGAACTCAAGCACGGAAACCGGACGCCTCGTCACTGGCCGCGAATGCATCCACCCGTCTCCGCCGCCCTCGGTAGTTGCTGCGCGTCATCCCTCGCGGCGCAGCGTGAACCGGGGTTGGCGATTGCAACCCGCACAAGGAGCATAGGAGTGCGATGTAAACCTTGACTATAGTGCAGATGCCAGCCTGCATCTTCTGGACTTGTTCGCTGCTGAATGGCTTCGAACTTTTCTGCATCACCGTTGCGTGGCGCACTGGTCCTGGCTCGCCATTTCAAGGTGCCTGGGACCCTTGCCAGTCTTCGAGCCGTAGGTGGGCGGGCTGCGGAAGGGCGACCTAAGGCTGACAGACACTGGCCGACTGCTGTCTCGGGTGCCGAACACACTGGCTGATTGGGTCTGGACGCCGCGCAGACCGGAGAACCAATCAACCCGAGACGTCCCACAAGGGGGGCGTTGATGAAGCAAGGCGTCACCGAGAGTCATGGCCCGCGCCATTCGACCGCCCAACAATTCTCTCTGACATGGCGTGCCGTGTTCCTTGAAAGGCCACAGGGCCACTCGCGCGATCCCGTCGGCGCTATCGCCGACACAGTATGAAGCAGTCCGCGTATGCTCGGTTGCTGCCAACTTGAATGTCGGAGCCCGGTATATAACGGCTTGGAGTCCAAACGGCAACATGGGGTACGTTGGGGGCACCTTTTATGCTTTTTAACGGGCAGTGCTGCGTGTCGTACATGTTTTTGTCCATTTCAGCGTCGAGACTCGAGAGCCAATTCGAACAGTTGAGTGAGACCAAGCTTTCGCGCTATGGCGGACCCTGGCGTGCGACGCGGGGCAGACTCGACGGCGTCTGGTCTGGTGTCACTGGCACTCCTCTGACAAGGACACGAAGAGTCAAGACCACGTAGAGCGTCAGTACAGAACTTCGTTTTGGGCGGCCGGTTCAAAAGAACGTCCCTGCTACAACATTCCCGTGCCGAGTTGCGCCCTACGTTGTAGTGCTACGGCTAATAACACGCCTACCTCGGCATGTCGGGACTAGATCAGCCTCGAAGTCAAAGTTATTCACCTACTCTACTAAATCAGCAAACGGCAACTTGAGTCATTACGGCAGGGCCAGATCGCACAACACTCACATACCTTACAGCGCAGCATCCCAAGATTCCATTCCGATCAGCCGCGTTGACCCCGGCTCATGAGCCGCATTCGTGCATCTTGCTTCATCCTTCTCAGGGCCGCAGACCTGCACAGCCCTGCTTTCTCAGCGCGAGGTAGTTGTTCTGACTCGACTGTACCGCTAGAGGGGAGCGTTTGAGGCCCCGGTTTGCGAAGTCCATATAACTTCCGAGCGCATTACCGGTTGGTGGCGTCGATCATGCCGTGCGATTTGGCGCTGCGATACGTACAACAATACTGCCAACAGAACCAACAATGTCGCGGGCACGCAGATGGACCACAATAAATAAGGTTGAACCGGGATGCAAACGACTTCTTCGACCACAGCTATCAGAGGCGGAATCGCGCGAGACAAAGACGCGGGCGTACCGTCGTGCTTCCCGCCTATGGTCTAGCAAAGCGTAGTCTCCGGGGTAAGCTACGGCACTCGGCTTGAGACGGTGAAACATCGCGAATACATGCCGCCTGCGCGAGCTGCGAACAGCCAGTCACCGCAACGTAAGCTCGCAGCAACGCCCAAGCTCCGTCATAAGCTCGGTCATACAGATGACAGACATTCTAGTAAAGGTCACCGGGCCGCGCGCTGGCCTATGTTACACTAAGCGTACATTTTAGTCTGGCAACATGACCATCGGGTTGTTGGGCGACAGCGCAATGGACAACAATAGACAGGTCGTGGTGTTTTTGTGTCGTTCGTCCGCTACAGATGCCAGGTGACGACTCGAATTCTTAAATACGACTGCTCGGGGATGCCCTTCTATGGCTTGTCGTACTGCTGCTCGTTAGTCTACGCGCGCGACTGTCCTACTAGTGGCTATTTTATCATCAGTCGAATTGCCTCTGCGATTGACCATACGAAAGACCAGCGAATCTGTGAAGGATCGCGTGATCCTGTGCCGAAGAGGGGAAACGTCATGCCCGGGCTACATGTTGTCATCGTCGGGGCTGGCGTTGCTGGCCTCACTTGCTCAATTACGCTGGCTCGTCATAAGAATGTCAAGGTCACGGTCATCGAGAAGTATCCCTCCAACAGCCAGGTACACTCCCGTCCGATGAGCCGGCCAGGGCCGGAAAGTCGTCCCCGAATCCTTTTCTGACGAGATGTCTGGCCCGTTTCAGATTGGCAACGGCATTCAAATACCTTGCAATGCTGCTCGCGTGATGCTAAAGCTAGGTCTACTGGACCAGCTCATCAAGACCTCGCATGGCGTATCTACAGGCACGATAACGATGAACTATTCGGATGGAAAACTCATCAATGAGCGAGATTTCACGAAATACAGCGAGCGATATGGCTCGCCCTGGCTGTTGGTTCCTTGCCTCCGCTGTGTCTGTGACAAGGGTGACTGATCACAAGAACAGACTCGCGCATCGCGTCGATTACATGAACGTACTATACACCGAGGCCTGCAGCCTAGGAGTCAAGTTCATGTTCGGATGCGAGGTCGAGGACATCGACTTCGATACCCCCATGGCGCGACTCACCAACGGAGAACCCGTCCATGGGGATGTCATCATTGGTTGTGACGGTACGTCGCTTTTACATGTCTCGCTGAGCCTGTGTCTTACAAGTGTGTACAGGAGTCAAGTCCGTTGTGAGATCGGTCATGCACCCTTCGATAGAAACCGAAAACGACGAGTCGTTGGCCTACCGAGCCCTGTTCACCCCGGAGCAGGTCGCCAAACTCTCACCAGAGGCCGCAAAGTCGATCAACCATCCCGGCAAATGCCTTTTCTGGCTGGGCCCTTACATCCAGATCGTTTTCTATAGCCTCAGAGGTGGCTCTGTGTACAACCTCGTGGTGTCAGTTATTGACGACGACCTCAACGCCAAGACCGAGAATGGTGACAGCCTCGAACTTTTGCGCGAGAGATTCGCGGATTGGGATCCCGCACTTCAAGAATTGATGGCTACGGCGGAAGGTGTAGCCCGCTTTCAGCTGCTCAAGGTTCAGGACCCGCCATTCTGGTCGCGCGGCAATGTAACCCTCATGGGTGATGCGGCACATTACATGCTGCCGTACCTCGGACAAGGAGCCGCGATGTGTGCCGAGGATGGGTTTGTGCTGGGCACACTTCTCGGCCGCATGACTGAGCACGTGGACGGCCGTGACGGCGTGCAAAGCAGTCCCAAGGACTACGCTCGTGCTGTTCTCGATGCCTATGAGGGCCTTCGACACCAACGGCGGCTGCGCGTAGCCAAGTACTCTCGGACAGCAGGCGAGATCAGCCACATGCCTGAGGAGGATGCGAAGCACATCCGCGGTGATGGAACCTATAATTACGACGAGGAGACGTGTATTAGCGACTGGCCATGGATCGATTCACGCTGCATCAAGTTCCTGCTGCTGTACAAGGCCGACGAGGAGGCTGAGGCTGAGTTTGCTCGACTCGTCGAATCTGGGGCCTTGGGCACCACGCCTGCGTAATTTGGCAAACGGAAGCGGGCGTTGAAGAAGAAAGACGGTCTTGGCACGGGCTTATGCGCTTAATAAGTCGGCCAGGCAGCTAAAGTTTGAGTATTTTGGCCCAGTCCCAGCGCGCCTTCAATGGATCGAGTTCGGCATCTAGAGACAATGCTTCCATGGGTAGGTTAGAGATGGTGTGCGACGTTGGAAAGCACTCGCCGGGGTAAGAAAGCACGTGCGAGAGAGCACACGATCAGTATTCGCAACATGACAGCTTCGTCACTCAGTTCTGCCTTAACCCTCATTGTTTTGCGCATCACCACATCATGTTGCGTTCATCGCATTTCCCGACCTTGACGAAAAGTCTACTTTTCTTTATTATGTACTTCTCTATTCGCATCTTACCCCCAGTATCTTGTACGTATGAATGTACCAACTGAGATTTGTAACAAGTAGGAAAGGACCAGGCCTGGTCGTATCTATGACATTTACTGCCATGTGGCGAGACTTCAACTCCGCAACCCAATGCAACAAGATTAAATGACGGCGAAACCTGCGACCCGGTGTGGATGACCGCAGCCGCAGATTTCGGTATAGGAAATGTTCAGAGCTCGTCGAGATGTATGAGCTGCGAGAAAGGTAGCAGAGATGCAAGAGGATTCGGAGGACGCGAGACGGCTACTCCTTCTTCTTCTTCTTCTCGTTGCCAAGGTTCTTCTTGGGCATTCGTGCCAGCCAGTAGACAAAGAGTGCGGCAAAGATGTTGAAGATGACAAATGCCCACAGGATGCCAAAGTTGCGCCACCTGTCATCGTAGTTGCTGCTGACGCCCTCCAGGAACTTGTTCGTCTCGGAGATGGGGCAGTACGAGCATTCCGAGGTGGCGTTGTTGTCTTGCAGGCGTCCACCAAAGACCTTGATGTATGATGACATGTAGTCGATGCAGGTCTTTCCTGAAGGCGGCGAGAAATGCAGGAACTCGTTGTCGGCGCAGATAACGTCCGTGTTAGCCACACCTGTTGATAACAGGCCGCTGACCAAATATGTGAACGGCGATACGCGATCTAGATTTCGACGTCAGAAAAGCGCGCTTCGAAGCGAAGGCAGAAGGCGACTAGTACTTACACATGAAGATCCAGAAGCGGGGAAGAGTGTTGGGCTGGGCGAGGACACCACAGAAGATGAGGCAGAGCGTAAACATGAGGTTGGCAAGGTTGCCACCAGCCTCTGCAGTCTCGAAACCAGCAATGATGAACGTCGAGAAGGTACCGGTGAAGAGCATGAACATCAGGAGGTAGAGGAACATGAGTGCTCCACGCTCGGTGACGGCGTCGGTTGGCTCTGCGTTGCGGTAGAGTCCGACGGGATAGTACCAGCACACGTACATGAGCACGGCCATCAAGCTGTTCCAGGGAAGCTCAACAATGATCTGGGAAAGCATAAAGACCTTCCACGAATAGACCTTTGAGGGGCGTTCGCGAGCTTCGTATAGGGAGCGTTGGATGACGAACTGCGGCATGGACTGTTGAACGATCTGGCCGAAGACGGTGAGAAGCTGGAAGATGGAAAACATCTGGTTCTGAAGGCCTTGAATGGAATTGGGCGCGCGGAAGAAGATGAAGCCGATGAAAAGCGCAACGAGGGTGCAGAGCGCCGTCTTCGCGTAGATATAAACCGGAGTTCGCCAGTACTGCTGGAAGACACGGAAAAGGTTCTCCTTCATTTGAACTGAGAAGGGGGCGGCAAACTCGCGGTAGCTGCCTGGATCCTCATCCTCGGTCTGCGAAGCAGTGCCCTGCTTTTCGCGCTTGATGTTCTCGAGTTCGTCCTGGACGGCCTTGTACTCGGCGCTCTCGCGCCAAGTCTGGAACCAGTCGATCTCAGTAGTCGTTCCGGGGGCGGCTCCAATCACTTCCAGCATCCATTCGGCAGGGTTGGCCTCGTCAGGACATCGGTGGCCGCCGTTGCGCTCGAAGTAGCTTGTCATGGTCTGGGAGTTCTCGCCAATATCACCAAAATAGACGGTCTTGCCGCCCTTAGCCAAGAATAGGAGTCGATCGAAGCGTTGGAAGAGCATGGCCGACGGCTGGTGAATCGTGCAAAGCACGGCCTGCCCAGCCTTGGTCAGCTTCTCGAGGAGATCCAGAATAGCCCATGATGTCTGCGAGTCAAGACCGGAAGTAGGTTCGTCGACGAAAAGCAGCAGGGGAGGCTTAGCAGCGAGCTCTACACCGATAGTGAGACGCTTGCGCTGCTCGACATTGAGACCTTCGCCAGGAACACCGACGACAGCGTCGGCATACTCGTCCATCTCCAGCAGCTTGATGACCTCTTCGACGTAGGCTAGCTTTTCTTCCTTCGGCACGTGGGCGGGCTGGCGAAGAAGCGCGCTGAAGTTGAGAGCCTCGCGAACAGTGGTCGTCTGCAAGTGGAGATCTTGCTGTTGAACGTAGCCAGTCTTGCGCTGGAAGGACCGATCACGAGGTTGACCGTCTACCAGCATCTCGCCCGTAATGACGCCCATCGAGGTGCGGTCCGCCAAACAATCCAGAAGAGTAGTCTTGCCGGCACCTGACACACCCATTAGGGCAGTGAGGGTTCCGGGCTTCACGTAGCCGTCGACATGGTCCAAGATGCGGCGCGGTTCACCCTTGATCTTGATGTCATAGCAGACGTCGTGCCACTGGAACACGGACGTCTGTTCTTGGAGCATTCCGCCCTCCTTGCCAACCTGGCCACGGCTGCGTTCAGCAGTGATGACGGGTCCAATGTTAGCCATGGCCGCCTCGGGGTCACGCTTCTTTTCGGCATGGCGAGCAGCGGCGGGCTTGTGGCCGCGGCGGTAGACGAGAACCTCGCCCTTGGACTTCTTTTCGGACACCAATTCGGCGGCCACCATGTAGCAGATGAGGAAGAACACCGTGAAGGCGATAACAATGCCGAAATTTCGCCACCTGTGGTTCCACTGGTAGTCGAACTGCTGATACACGTAATCATCGCCCCAGACATAGGATCGGCCAGGAACAGATCCGACGGCGCTGCAAACTTGGTTGTTCCCACCCACGTTGGCGTACTCGGAAAGCATATCCGCAGCTGCGGGAGTTGGAGCTTGAGCCGTGGGCACATATTGGTTGCACTCGAACTTGCGTTCGTGGAACTCGTTAACCATGAGCGCTTCGAACGCGTAACCAAGAGGGTCGATATAGCTCAGCCATCGGCACCAGCCCAACATGTAGCGCTTGGGCAAGACGAAGCCGGTGAAGATGACCAGGTCAAGGATCAGGATGGCGGCGGGAACGAGCGCCTGGAACAAGGTGCGGGAGGCCGAGGCGATCGTGCGGAAGATCATGGACATGACCAGAACCGTGACGAACGATATGAGCAGGAAGAAGAAGAAAGGCCCAGGCTCTCTCCGCAGGTTGGTCATGAAGTAGAGTGTCAAGTTGAAGACGATCGAGTTCGAAATCTTGTAGGGCATGTCGCACAGCATTGATGCAACGGCCTCTGCCGATGGGTGGTATAGAGCGTACCGACTGTGCTTCTCAACGATGGGTCGTTGAGCATACAGGGTCAGAATCTACGACATGCTGTTAGCTCATGTTCTCGCTTTTGCTGGGGTGGGGGCTATCAAGTCTTACCTCGAGGGCTGAGGCAAAGGCGTTCATCAGGCATGCGAAAAAGAGCAAGGCACCGCGCTGGAAAAAGCTGCCGGTCGAGTCGCCAAGATTGTAGAAGACACTGCCGATGATAAGAGCCATGATGAAGTTACCAATAAGGGCACCGACAGTCAAGCTGGGGTCGCCAGTCAACCGCTTCCAGCCTCGCCACAGGCACAGCTTGACCTGTTGGCTGAATGACAAGGTGTAGGGCGACTTTTTGCGCTGACCGCGAGCCTGCTGAGCGTGCTTGGAGGCACGGAAAGCCTCCGCATCGGGACCGCCAATGGGGTGAGCAGTCTTGTAGTCCTCAATCTCGACTTGCAGGGCCTTGTACTCGGCGCTGTTCTTCCATGCTGCGGCAAACTCGTCGGGCGTTCGCGGAGCCTTGCCCTCAAAGCCAGAGCGAACAATGCGTTCAAGAGGAGACGTCATGGAGGTAAGGAAGTCGGGGGTCGTCTGACGAGGAGGGCATTCGAAGCCGAGGTTGATGAAATATTGCTTTGCAGCATCGGCACGACCGAAGAAGATCTGTCGGCCTTCGTACAAGACAACGGCCTTATCGAAGAGATCATAGGCGCTTTGCGGTGCCTGGTAAATAGACACGCAGGCAGTGCTGCTGAAAAGCTCCGTCTGCAGACGAAGGGTCCTGCAGAACTCGATGGCGTTGGCAGAATCGAGGCCACGGGTAGAGTTGTCCCAGCATTGCAGGGGCGCGCCGGATAAGGCAGCCTCAGAAATAGTGACACGCTTGCGCTCACCACCTGAGACGCCTCGCACGTACTCATTGCCAACGCGCGTGTTGACGGTGTGCGAAATGCCAAACATGGCCATAACCACGTCGCGGAGATGGGCGGCGAAGTCATTCTTGTTGAGACCCTGGGGCAGCTGGCGGGGCTGGCGGGCACGAGCGGCAAAAGTGAGGGTATCGCCAACAGTCAACATGGGGAAATGCACATCCACCTCGGCGGTGTAAATTGCCTCGCCACGATGATTCGAATGCATCTCCTTGGCGCCAATACCTAATCGATTGGTAAACCATGTCAGCCAATGATCCGTGGCATCCGGGGTATTGTGTGTAAGTGATTGTTTGGCCTGGCGTGTAGCGCACGGCATGTTCCGTCGCCCTGTCCCACAGTTGGCCCGCCCACCCACGTTTCTTCAGCAGGTTCCCGCAGATCTGGGGCACACAGACCGAGACGGCAAATTCCGTCCCGATCTCAACCCCAGATGAACATGGGCTCAACGACATGTGCAATTGAAGATGATCGCTGCAATTGAATCTAACTCACCTTGGTAATTGAAATACGAGCCGTCGTCGACGAAAATGCCGTTCATTTCTCCAGCAATGGTCTTGAGGAACGTGGAGCAGCCGGATCCGGGCGGGCCCAAGACCACTAGCATTTCGCCCTTGTGTACCAGGCCGTCAAACTGACGCAGAATGTCGATCCGCTGGCGACCAGAGCCCGTGAGTTGGCGCGCGGTAGCCGCGAGGGACAGCCAAACATTGGCCACGTCTTTTTGGTAATCGGTCGACGCGCCAAAGCCGTGGACATTGAGGTTCTGGAAGCAGACGCCCGACGAGCGAAACCCGGCGCCATCCTGCGACACGAGCTCGACGATGGCCTTGGCCCACTCGCGACCGCTGAAGTTTGCCGAATTTGGGTTCAGGGGCGAGTCTTCCTCGGCGAAGAACGGATTCTCGCCTCCAGCGCCGCCAGGTCCTGCGGCAGAGGCTCGCGAGTACGAGCGCGCAAGGGCCTGCACGACGGAAGTGCGGCGCACCATCTCCGCCTCTGCCGAGTCATCGTCCTCGTCCTTGCTCAGCGAGTTGGGGGAAGAGCCAGGCTTTTCGTCGTTGCCGCCGGCCTCGGTGATGGAGGTAGCCTGCGTCTTGGTCGGGTCGGTGCTCTGCGCCGCGGCGGCCTCGAGCTCCTCCTCGTGCGCATCGTGTCGGGAGTTAATGGGCACGCCGGTCGTGGCGGCCGTGGAATCGTAATTCGCATTGATGCCGTACATTGCTGCGGCGGTGCACGCTCACGCGCGCGCGAGTGAATGATTCTGCGACGGGCAATGCGGCTGGCGTGGGCTGGAGTTGTCGTGGGAGAAAAGATTGTTCCCTCGGGACCTCACTGGTTTCGCGTCAGCCTCAGCACACTCAAGGTGTAACACGGATGCCTACCAAAGCCGCCAGGTGCGCGACGGGTACCAGCTATCTTGTTTCAGCCGGGGCGCGACGTGGGGGTGGACAGACAGGCTTCAAGTAGGCCACACGAGTGCACGACGGAGGACGTGACGGGAAGGAGGGGGGATGATGATAAAGTAGCAAACCCGATCTGGAATCAAGGATGACAGACGGTGGGCGCTCAGGGACAAGCGGCCACAGAGGTGCTACCTTACGGACATACGCACACACTGAGGTGCGGCTAAGTACAGTCGGGCAAAGTCCCCGGGACCCCGAGAACACCAGGCCGACTCTCGCCAACCAAAACGCTGCATGGCACCCTTTCGGGGCCGATTTCACCCTCCTGTGCCATCGGTCGCCATGCGACGCCGACTCACGCAGGCGGACGAGGCACGCATCGCGCGCCCGTGGCGGAAATTTAGCGAGTGCTGGACAGCGGGCGCAGGCGCAGCTTCTCCAGCCTAGCGGCTCCCAGCGGCGCCGAGTGGGGGCGAGCGTCCACGGATGGCGAGATCCCGGCAACCTCCCGGCCAAGAAAATTGTGCACAGGGGACGCCGGCCAGCGTTGCCCTACCGTTTGCTTCCTCCTGCTGTCTGGCCCGCGCTGTGTGGCCGTCGCCGCACCGCTCGCCCACCCCGAGGCACCGGCATTCTGAACCTAAAGTTTAGTGGATTGCGCGTGTGAGGCAAGGGATCGGAAGACCCGCTCATGTTACTTTTAAGGTGTGGTTCCTAGGGGGCCCGGGGGGCTCGTGCTTGTTGTGGAACTCCGCCACCTTGGTCGACAGTGACGGAGGCGGCTGCCGGACGAGGCTTCGTTTTGATCCTCACGGTCTCCTTTCCGCCCGTCCACCCCCCGGATGCCTGGGCACATGGGATAGGTATGCTGAGTCGGACCGTGGGGCATGTTTGATCCTCGCACGAGTCACTGGCACCCTTTGCACCAGCACAATGACATGTCAAGCGACGTGTGTGCTTCGTGCAGTAGTCTTGTTGCCGGCGCAAAGAAAGGTGAAGTCGCATGGGCATTCCCGAGTGCATCCTCGCCCTGTACTCGTACATACTCTCGCGTCATCAAAGTTCAGCCGTGATACCGCATTGCCCCCCCTCAGACAACCGTCCTATCTCAACGGCACGTCCCCACGTTCGCAGCAATATTTTCTGCTCGGAAGCCGGCGAGACTCATCATGAATCACAGGTCTGGCGCAGTGGGCCAGTCGCGGCCATGTTTTCGGAGGCCAAGACGCCCTGGCCACGCCCCGCGGATCCATACGAACGCGGCTGGCAGGGCCAGCGTCGGGGTCTTGGAGCAACCCGACAGCCCGCCCCCACCATCCCCATCAACGCCATCCCGCAGCCCACACGCGAGCCCAAAGCGCTAAAATCTTGAGCAGGGTGGCGCCGTGTGCGAGTACGTACTCTCCCAGTGCACGGGTGTGCTTTGTCGGATGCTTGTGTCGGTTCGGCTATGTAGCACAATTTGGCAATGCAGGCGCCTGTCGTCCAGCTTTCGTGACATGCTGGCGGCCGCGAGAGTGGATTGGGCTCCGCAGAACTTCATCTTCATCGCGTTTGCGTTTGATTGTGCGGAGTACGGGCCACGCGTATTCGTATCATCGGTCAAGAGTGAAGCAGACCAGCCATGACCCGGGACTGACTCTTGCGTTGTTCACTATGAGCTCTGAATCGGGCTCACGCCGGTCCTGGTCTCGGCGCCATACACACGTCACACAGGTTCGCCATGCTCCAAGAGCCCGAACAAGGCACATGCAAGTTGTTCACACGTCACCGCCACTATTATCCCGGTTGTAAGGGACGGCTCTCAATCAGGCGCAATAGTTGGCTGCTTCAGTCATGCCCGCCAGCGTACCCCACGTCAACAATAAGCACCTACCTGGCTTGGTACCACTGCTGTCGTGCAACCGAAACACGACTTTATCGTTCCAAGAGCTGAAACATGCAGTATGCGAGAGCGTGTTATATAGAGACTCACAAGGTTCTGATCATCCCAATCAAGGTGAATCCAGCCTGGTCGCTCGACAGTCAAACGCAGAACGGCACGTAGTTTCGAACTTGAAATCGCAAAGGCACGAATGCGCCCGAGGCTTGGCGGCAAGGGTCCACGTTTGGGATCCTGAATGAACCCTTTTTCCGTTCCCGAGAACCCTATCACCGGTACGTATGGGGAAGAACATTGGCCCATTGTATGTAGCTCCAAAGCATCCTGTCGCAGTTCCGCAAAATCCGCTCCGCTCCGCATGGTTGTTCGGCCCTGTGCGGCCACTGGCCTGCAGTACGATGGCCCGTTGGAACTTCGACGGGTTGCGAAGAATACCCCAGACCCCGGGCCACAGCGTGTGCGAGCCATCCCGACGCCAGGTGCGTGCCGCATCCGGGCGCTCGGTCAGCGGCTGTGAGCCGGATAACGGCGCCCGCCAGTGTCAGAAGTTAGAATCCGCGCCATCAACATCGCGTGCGTACCCCGACAAGTTGTTCCAAAACAACAAGCACCGGCACGGGTTGCAGGACCAACGCCAAGCTTCCGCTTACGCCATGCATGCATGCATGCATGCACGCACGCGGTTGGCGGATCATCTATCCTTTTTAATCTGCCTCATCCCTGATTGCGCAGGGTGGGTAAGCTGACGCTCTGCCACAGTAACCACATGCTCATTTCCTCACACGCCTGAAGAAGGCCCATCCAAGTGCTGCTTCGTATTTCCCACCATGGGGCGACACGTGGAGCACGAGAGATACGCTTCAAGAGGTTGTTCCTTTGACTTCGTATGTGCAACAGTTGAGATAAGTGCTTTGAGCGAGGTGATGCCTCTGCTGGTTCCGAATGCTTCTCGCCCGGCGTTGACGAGAGCATTGCAGGAATGGACGCGGCTGCCGGGTGATGTTGTTTGGAGACCGTTGTGTGACCAGTGAATGGCCTGGCCCGCGTGGCTGGTGGATGACAAGAGTATTTGTGCCCTACTCCTACTTCGTATATTCTCCCATCAGCTTCGCCGGCCTGCACTTGGCGGCCCGGCCCGAGAACGGCATTCAGCCTTGTGAAAAATGATTCGAAGATCGCTGGCATCTCGCATATCCATCCCCATATACAAGAGGCCGTCTGTCGTCCTTGATCGGATGCCGTCACGCGGCGAACTGTCGTGTTTATCGTGGGTAGCCTTGTGGTGCTCACCAAGCAGAGTGCAATGCGTAAATGAGAAGTTGACGCCGTCACATACTCCGACTGCTGTTGCCGCGCCAGACGTGCGATTCTTGCCCTGGATAATTGTGCCAGCCATATGATGTGATGAAGACTGGTCTCACAGTCTCACCGACAAAATTGGCATGGCCCACGCCAGCCGGTGAGCGGCTGACAGGGTTTCCCTAATTTGACCCCGTCGCGGCTGCTCACGACAAATCCTTCAGGCTACGCCCAGGTGCTTTTCGCCCATATCACCACAGTTGCTCCCACGACGTCGGGAGGCTGGCTTGCGCTTGCCATGTCTGCTGCAAACTCCTCTGACCTTGTAGGCTTCCAGTCCGAGCCCAACTGCGGCCGTGGCACGATTGGCATTCTATGGAGCTGCTTCACGACCATCGTCTTGTCCATGTGGGCATCTCTGCATCTCGACCTTTTCGACACGGGACTCACGGTTCGCATCGCCATGTTCATCGCGTGCCTGTTGCTTCCTGAAGCGGGCGTCGCCATCGCAGCAAAAGAGTGGGCCACGGCGATGCATTGGCGTAATGAGATACGCAAACAGCCTGGGTGGGCGGAATGGTCCCTCAAGCAATCGTTTCTGGTACTCATGGGCGGCGTCATATGTGATCAGGGGATCAATCAATCCGAGATATCGGCCACCAATTCTGCCGCTCAGGAGGGGCAAGCTGGCAATCGGAAGACCGAGAAACAGGACGAGACCACCGAGCTCGAGCAACAAGCGCTGCCGAAAGCCCCGTCAATAAGGAACTCTTCAGATTCTGACGATGAAGAGAAGATCGAGCCAAATCGTCTGACCTTGGACGTTCTCATGGACCTCATCAAGAAAGGTAATGAGATCGACCACGTCTCTGAGGAAGCAGGTCAGAAGTCGCCCCAAGGGAAGGAAGCCGGAAGCCAACAAACAAACAACCCTGCTGCTGCCTGCAAGGAAACGGGTGAATCTCATCGGGTCACTTTCGACATGTTCCCTTCCAAAAAGGACATCAACAAGCGCGCCAAAACCGACGCCATGGTTAAAGTGATCGCCGTCGGCCAGGCTCTATGGTTCGCTGCCAATGTCATATTTCGCCTGGTTGTCGGCACCAGCTTGTCCCTGCTCGAGATTGTCACTGTCGCATACGTGTTATGTGGCATTGTTCTCTACGCCATGTGGTTCGCCAAACCACAAGGCTTGGAGGAGGCCTTCACCGTGTCCATACCGGCGGCCGTCATCCCACGGAAGGAGGTTTCGAGGACGCCGAAGCGGGAGGACCCGTGGTCTAAGGGACAGGTGGCTCGGCTCGGCGCGGGTCTCGCCGTAGTTGCCTTGTTCTCGGCTGTTCACATTGCGGCGTGGAACTATCACTTCCCGTCGGTGGCAGAGGCGTGGCTATGGAGGGTGTCTGTTATCGGCTCGTGGGCGTTGGCGTCACTCCCCGTTTTGAACCCGATACTGCCAGAATCTTGGTATTCGAGCCCCGGCTGGTATGGTTCTTTCAAGAAGCCTCTGCGTATAGTCATAGCGACACCATACCTCGCTCTGAGGCTTGTCACGTTTGTTTTGATGTTCATGGCGTTTCGTGCGGCGCCACGAAGCGTGTATGAAGACGCAGACTGGACTTCATATTGGGTCAGCCTGGGGGGTTGAGGCAACGGGTAGATTAAGACAGGGCCTCCATGATTCCAATGCGTCTAATTACTGTTCTGTGCAGGCCAGCTCTATCTATCGATACTCTTACAGGAAGTTAATTCCCACTCCAAGCTGGAGTCCCTTGGTTCCGACCTCGCCTCTCCTGAGCACCAGTGGAAGGCTGAAGTTCAGTTCAAACCTAGCCACAGGATGTGCGTAGACGAGACCCACCCCCGCTGCCATGGTAGGAGCGCCACTTGCGAGGTCCTTGAAAGCGCGGAACATGCCCTTGCCCACGGCCCCGGGACGCATGCCCTGGGGGTCTAGTTTCTTCGATCTTCCCTCGTCTTGGAGAGCAACCAACCGGCCAGCATTGGCAAATACCTGGAACCGTAGGCCGGAGTCTGGGCCCTTGTAAGGCAGCGGGAGAAGCACATTAACACTCCCTGCGGCAAACAGGTCCCCGCCAACAGAATCTTGGCCGTCATGAGGTCCCAATCCACCAAGCTTAAATCCACGGACATCGGTGGGACCACCAAGCAGAAAGCGGTCATTGATGCGACTTGGAAGCGCCTTGCCAGCCAAGTTGTATCCCAGAGGCAGAGGCCATAGCATTCCCGTTCTGAAGCCAGCACCAATGGAGATCCCTGTTCGCTCTTTCGATCCGGGCAGGGGGATCGGGATTGCGCCACTCATCTCCAGTTCGCCCTTGGAGAATGCGACGTCTCCCCCCAGAGGACCAAAACCTGCAACCTCCAGCATGGACCGCAGCATGTATCCATCTTGCGGTAGTTGTGGATTGTCGCGTCTTTCTCTGTGAAAGGTGTGCTTGATTGCACTTTTGACTGTGTCGCCAGTGTCCTGTCGCACAGTCGGGCTGGCGCTTTGCGACAAGCCAGTGACTTGTCGCCAAGCCCCCGAGTACTCGATCGAATGCGAGTCCCTCAGGGCATTCAGCCAAGAGAATCGTAATGATCCTCCCTTGACGACTTCCTCATGGGACGCCCAAGGCTTCTCCGCCGCCGATGCCAGTCCTTCCAGTGCGATTCGCATGTCCGGATCACTCAGCACTGGAGCGCTTAGGTTGGCACTGTAGGCTGACCTCGTGCGTGTGCCAGCTTTGGCATTCAACGTGAGCATCTCTGCCCCACCGAACATGTTGCGCCATAGCAGCGAGCCGTATGCGGAGCCTTCACCGTTTCCCACGTCTGTACCGGTCTGTAGCTTAAATCGGGGGAGTTCTCGAAGGCCGACGGAGACACTGACATCCGACGGGGTTGTGGACGGATCGACCTGACTAGACTGAGAGAGATATACCTCGGGGGGCTCTCGCAAGATTTCTGCATCGGTCAGCCGCGAAACAGAAGGTGATCAAGTGGACGAGACATACGCAGCGCGGAGAGCTTTGCGCTGGCGACTTGCAGTTTGGAAAGCACATCCCCAACAGTCTTTGGCGAGTTTAGGCTATCCGCGAGCAGCGGGCTGAATATTGGGTCAAGGAATCCGCGTCGGATGTTCTTTGCGCCAGTGACGTTTACCTCGCTAACTGACATGGGCATGGACATCTGGTCTGCCATCTGCTGGACATTAGCCGGCCGCGTCACGGCTAGAGACAGCCTATTCTCGTACCATTTGCGCAATCCTGCGTTCCTTTGCCTCTTGCTCCGCATTCTGGAACTCAGGCGTCGACCGTGCATGGTTCAGGACATCTTGCGTGTTGGACTGGAGCTTGTCGAACGTAGCCGCCCCGGCCTTCTAAAGATGAGCAATTGAGTCGGACCAACGGGTTTGCCTGCATATGTGCTTACTTGCGCCGTGGGCGGGTTCGCGTCTGCCGCCATTCTGGGGTTGATGCACCACGGCTGCTGGCCGCGGGACGGTTTCTGGCGTTGCTCAAGGAATGATTCGAGCCGGCAAAGGTCGGGACGTTGCAAGAGCTCAATGAAGTGGCTCCTGTGGCGCATGTCGCGTCAATAGCGTGCCTAGGCATAGCCCGTGTGGCTAGTGCGTGCTCAGCTCAGCCACGGGCGTCAGAACGGGTCCCACTCCGACCATCTCCGTATCCGTCGATGTCGCTGACGACGTCGTCCCCAAACTCGCCTTCTCTTTCTCAACCCATCTCCAGGCCCAGAACGACACTACGGCCCCCGCCTCTCCGTCGCTTGTGCTCTTTCCAGCGTTTTGCAGCGGTGTTCAAGATTTAGCATTATTGGTTCGCTCAAACGGCGCTTCATTCCCTTGCGCGACCCACGAGCCTCCTTGGGCGAACTCGTGATCCGTCCTTGAGCGAGCCAACACGCGACATCATCCACTCCGCCAGTCGCAATGGCAACCAAGGCAGCGCAGAAGCGGGTACGTCTAGAATGCTTTATGATTGCGTCATGAAACCTCCGCTGACCCCTTTCGCAGTTGACCCGCGAGTACAAGACAATCTCGGAGAATCCGCCACCTTACATCACTGCCCATCCGTCCGAGTCCAACATCCTAGAGTATGCACGCGCTGCTTTCTATCATGATGTGCAAGTTATCTGACAAGTTGGCACAGGTGGCATTATGTCATCACCGGTCCCGAGGACACGCCTTACCATGGCGGACAGTATTGGGGCACACTGATGTTCCCTCCCAACTACCCATTTGCACCACCGGCTATTCGTATGCACACCCCCTCGGGCCGCTTCCAGCCTTCGACGCGACTATGTCTTTCCATCTCCGATTTCCACCCGAAGTCATTCAACCCAGCGTGGGAGGTCTCAACCATTCTCATTGGCCTACTCTCCTTTATGACGAGCGACGAGATGACTACGGGGTCTGTGTCCACGAGCGCCGCCGAGAGAAAATACCTTGCTTCCAAGTCGCGGTGGTGGAACTCCACTGGGGGCGGCTCTCACGTCAAGAATACCGCGCAGAAAGGTAACGTCAAGGCGGGCGACGGAGGAGCCAAGTTCCGGGCGGAGTGGCCGGAAGTGGACGCGGAGAACTGGGAGTGGATCAAGAAGAGCAAGCTGGATCCCGCGACGGGCACCCGCTTGGATGGAGACAACGGCTCATCATGCGGGCCTCAGCTGGGTATTGCGGGCTCAAGCGGCAACCAAGCCCAAGCCGTGGTGGATGCCGTGGTGCAACAACGGGACGCAGGCCGCGGCTGGGTATACCGAAACAAACTGCTTGTCGCAGGAGGTCTCGTGTTCATCTACGTCCTTATTTCGAGGCTCGTGCACGGCGAGGGCCTTGCATAATGCGCGGGGCGGGTACGATCGAGAATTCTAAGCGTTGCATTTGGAAATGTTGGGCGTCAGTTTTTCTTTATCGGGGTGCTGCATTGGTCCGGTGCAATACACGGGCAGACTCGGGTCTATACTTCCGAAATGCCTGCGTGATGTCTGAAGAGCGTGAGTTGGCAGAACTTACAAAAGGTTCGACTCCTCGTCGCGATATCATGGTCATGTCTCGACTAGCTGCCAGAGCCTGCAAGAATGCGAAGACCGGAAGTCCTCTAAACAAAGTTTATGTGACCTCCGTGCGCCGAGTGCGCACCGCGAACCAAGAGATCGAAGGCGGAGAAGCGGCACCAGGGGAACACAAGTGATGAGTGTCGGGTAGCACTCACAAGGCCTGGCTGGTCCCTCGCACGGGGAAGGGGCGGGGGGCCTGCTGCCGAATATCACCCGGTTGGCGGTAAGGATCTGCTGGGGTTGGGCTGTTTCAGCGATGTTGGCGGAAGCTTCGCGGGAAGCATCTGGCGGCCCAGCTGTCTTAGTGCCCGGTTCTGAAGGACGGGAGCCTGGAGGGTGTGGGAGAAAATTGTGACGCAGTGGAGGCGTCCGCTATTTGCAGCGCAATACCGATGCGGGCAGTGAGAGCCTCACCTCAGGCGTTGCATCCATCTCTTGACACTGAGCCCGGAGGAAGCACCATTCAGTACAAGCAGCCGTCACGTCAGCCCCTCGGCGGGGCCTTCCATCTACGAGTGACCCCAAGGTAGCCCTCAGAGGTGTCAATACCCATACTTCGGATTTGGGATGCCGGCCTCAATGCCCCTTGTGCTAGGCGCTTAGAGTGCCAGTGCGTTTGTCATGGGCTGGCGGGAGCGTTGGCATCGAAAGCTCTAGAGCCAGCTCCGCCCGCACACCCACACAAAACGACAACCCCACAGCCGCCGACTTCCGCTATCCTGATTCCTGACCTCGACCCACGCCCAGCGACCGACTTTTGACCTCGACAAGCACAGCACTGCAGGGCCTGCACTGCACCATGGCGCCGCCAAACGGCTCCTCCAAGCCTCGCAAGGCTGGGGCCTCCAAGCAGCCGGCCAAGCCTGTCGTGCCTGCCCTGCCGCTGCCCTACGTCAAGCGTCAGGCAGCCGCAGCTGCAGCGGCAGCTTCCAAGGCGGCTTCCCCGCGACCGACTCCGGCCGACCCAGAGGACCCAAGACGGGATGCCCTCGGAGCGGCCCAGGCGAACCCTTCCGCGCAATCTTCGACCTCGGGCACACAGCATCGCGAGGCTGAGTCACCGCCGAGCATGGTGAAGACGCCTGAGGCCAACGGCGCCGTGAACCGCGCCGCAGAGACAAACGGTCATGGGCAAACGGGACACACGGGTAGGCCCGCCTCGCATTGGATGTACGAGCGACAGACTGTCCACTGACGACGGCTTCTGCACTAGTTGCTTCTTCCGTAGCAGTTCCCGGTCCAGTTAGTCAAATAACTTCCGAGTCTGCTCGCGACTCCGCCGAGGCGCAGGCGGCTGACGGTCCGATCCCGCTGCCCAACCCTGATCGCCGTTCCGAGACAGCTGTCACCTCAGAGAATATATCTACGAACAGCGGGCGTACGGAAAAGCCAAGTGAGTTCGCGATTGTCTAATGGCTAAGTCCAGCTTAGTGACATTGACCTTGCTCTTAGGCGACCAGTATGAGGCCCAGGTGACCAAGTCTCGACCTCCACCAACCGTTTCGCCGACCCGATACCAAATGCCTCCACCATTCCAGCCTGCTGGCCGTCCGGTAGGCGCCATGATGAACGGAGATGCGCCTCGAGGGCCTCGCCCACATCCGCCGAGCGGACCGCACCATGTGCATCAGCCGCACCCCAGCAACGGGAGTATCCATTTCGGAGCCTTCCATGGTTCTCAGAATTCTTCTCCGGCGCCGCCTCACTCCGCTGGAGTAGCACCACCTCCTGGTATGACGGGCCCCGATGGCCGCCCTGGATACTTGGGACTGGCGAGCAACGGCTTCCCGCCAATGATGCCGTACGCCGCAGACATGATTCAGCCAAACAGTTTTGACAGCTACGGCCGCCCAACCATGGGCTACGGGCATGTTGATCAGTATCATCCATACGGAGCCGGATTTGCCCCATCTACCCCTCATAGTTTCCATGATTCTCAGTCGTCGGCACACCCTGACGAAAGCGGCATCTATGGTAGCCAATTCCCACCTGGGAACCTCCGCAATGGTGTTGTCATGCCCGGTGAGGATATGCACTCGCAGAATCCGCAGACGCGACTGTTTGGACCTCCGGACTACCGAATGATGCCCAACGCTGGTCATCCGCCTATGATGCCCCATGGCGATCATGCCGATGGTCTGGTCGGATACTTGCAACAGCAATTTGCTTCTCCAGAGCTTGCTGACTGCACGCTCGAGCTTAGATACGCGGATGACAGAGCAAGGCCAGTTCGTGTTCCTGGCCATCGTGTGGTATTTGCGCGGAGCCGACAGCTTGCTGCCTTGCTTCCCGGACAAGCCTTCCAGCCAGATGCCCCCGAGCGCGCATTGCAGACTTTGCTCCTGGAAAGTGGCAACAAGTGGATTCGCTCCGATGCTTTCTACATGGCAGTTCAAAGGCTTTATGGTCTTCCGCTGCTCCCAATGCCACCGCCTCGTGGCCCCGACTCAGCGGAACTGACCGAGGCCGGGTCCGCTTCCGAACAGTTCGATTTTGCCCTCTCATACGCCGCTGCTGGCCGTCTTCTAGACTGGGTGCCTGTTATCAGGCGAGGATGCGAGGTTGCAACTCAATTGCTGAACTGGCAAACCATGGAGAAGGGGCTCGAATTCGCGCTCGATGGTTACACCGACAACGGCACACGCGAGTCTTACAGTTATGGCGATGGATCTCGCACCTTGCTGAACGCCGTGGTCACGTATATTGTTCACAACCTGCCCCCCAGCTTCAATCTCGACACCGCAGCAGACACGCCAGAGAGCTACGCGTTACTCCCGGCACACCCGCCTTCCTTGCCACCGGCGACAGCGGGCCAGGCGGACCAAACTTCGACGCCTCCTATCGCAAGAGGCTCCTCTGTGCAGCTTGGCAAAGGACGACGGTCGCAACAGATTACGAATATCCAGTTCGGTGACCTCGCGCTATCGGAAGGCCAAACTGGGCCGGAGTCTGAGACGCCGAAGGCAACACGCCAGGCTCAGCCTGTATCGCACGCTGTCCTGTCCCGTGTTCTGCTCAACCTGCCATTTTCGCAGCTCAAGATGATCCTTGAATCGTCTGGATCCGGCAATGTCAACGGCTGGGCTAACAGCGAGACTCGGTACCGCGTTATCAAGCGTGCGGTTGAAGAGCGCGAAGTGCGTCGCCTTCATGCCGTTGCTGCGGTCCTCAATGGCCATGTCGCAGACTCAAACGCCATCCTCGCAGGTCTTCGCAGCCCCAGCCCGCAAGACCTTGGCAGATGGACCACATTAGGATGGCAGGAGGAGCTGTTGCCATATGGAAACCCTGACGGCCCTTCGCTGGGGCGCAAATGGGTTCCTCTGATGGATGCGCATGGTTTAGCAGCTGCCGAGTATCCATGACGTGCATTGCCGACGGATTTATGAATGACGACATTTACACTCATGAGATGGTGCAGCCTGCAATCTGCATGATGCGAACATGCTGGAAGCACCGCATCGGCGGAAGGCCCGACTTCTGAGGCGTGGTGATCGCTACGTCTGAAGCAGCATGTGCTACTGACTACATATCGAATTGAACCCGGGCTCTGGTTTCCTACGGACATCCGCAGTTCTTGACGACAACTACGCCCGACTTGACAACACCTGTAAGTCGAGAGATAGCACCAGGCTTCGGGATCCTCGTATCATCTCGAACTGGAGGCACAAAGTGGCAACAATGGCCGCGTGTGGGGATGCACCGTAAACGATCGGATGGCCAGCACACGTTGCTGGCGGCAGTTAGTGATTCTATGGTGGAGGACGAAAGACGCTGACAGATAAACGTTTGTGCAATCTGGAAGCAGGAGGGTCTAATCCGCGGCGCGAAGATCACATAGCTGAGGTCCAGATATCGACGGCTTGCGTTGGCGTCGCGAGGACATTCTTGAATGGATAGGGTGATGACTTGGGCTTGCGAGGATACGACCAAGTTACGGAGCTCTTTTCCTGCGATCAAAAGTGAGAACAATACAAAAACACTCCAATTGAGAAAGAATTGATCACGTGCTCCGTCGTGAAGCTGGTGGTCGATTTGGTTGTCTGCTCAAAGGTGGACCAAGTCTTTACGACGTTTGAACGAGCAGAGCTCGCTGTGTTACCAGTTAGAATCCAGACGCGTAATGGTCTGCAATTCAACGCATGAAGACGTTATTTGGCGGTTGCACGTCTCTTTCGGCGCGGATGACCAGATGGAGTCTTAGCATCGGCGAAGCGTCCGTTCACAGCGGGGAATCCTTGCGAGCCGTGGAGAGTGGCCCCCACCACACTTCTCCAGCGCGTGCACCTGCCCAGCTCAGCCGAGGTCGATTGTCGCGCGTCAGCTCTTGTGAAAGCATTCCAGCCCTTTTTGGGCCGACTCACCCACCATCATCAATCGGCTTCCACCCGCTCGTCCCGCTCAAGTCGTCATCATCTCGACGCGACCCTTGCCGCACCACTTCCTTCCGGAAACAAAACACGTCTGCACTTCTCGATTTGCAGAGCAGGGACTTGCTCGAGCTCGCGCGACCGACCGTCAGCGCGTAGCCCTGCGGCGTGTTCGACTTGTCGATGGAGCAGTGCTAGATTTGCGACAAGCTTGTGATTGCTGGATTGCTGGCGTCATCAACGACCTGCCACATCAACGTCAGGCGAAACTACGATCCTCGCCGAAACGCACCTCGAGGCTCCCGTCCCCCCTAGGCCGCGCAAAGGGCCTCACGCGTTGTACACTATCCGACGACAATGGCATCAGCGCCTTCGGAAGGCGCCAGATCGGCCGGCGCACCGCCAACTCGGCGGGTGTCATCCTCGACGCCCGGCTCCGGCTCATCTGCACCCATCGATCCGATCTTACGAAACACGTTGCGATATACCGTCTCGGCCCGCGAATACGCGACTCTGCACAAGTATATCCTTTCCCGGTCGCGTCTGCTACGGCGCAACGCACCGAGCCCCGGTGCTGTCGATAAGGCTCTGTCGGCGGCACCTTCGAGTGGCAGCACCGTCAGCAAAAAGAAGGTCGGCGGTAGCGATGACTACAATGCCAGGGCAGTGCGACACGCGCTACGTGTGTTTGCGGCCACATGGGTTGGCATGAAAGGATGGGAAGCCATATCTAGGAGAATGAGCGACAAAGAGTATGTTCTTCCCGTGATGCGAGACAGTCACGATGTAGCGGTGATACTGACGCGGAATGGAAGCTCTAGTGCAAGCGGGAAGAAACAGCCGTTCTACAAGTCTCCGTCACTGCGGCTGTCGCTCTCTTTATCGACCATCCTGCTCCTATACCGGTTTCTTTTCCGCTTCCTCTCTCGCCTGCGTGCGCATCTCATGGACCCTCAAGCTGAGCCCTTTCGACGTCGAAATCCTCGCACGGCAGCTTCCTTGACCTCGCCATACGCACCCGCGGTCGGTGCTTCGCTCGCAGGCCTCGCACTCGGCGTATACCCATCGCAGCAGCTGCGGGTTTCCATCACCATCTACATGATGTTCCGCGCGCTTGAGTTTGGCTGGAACATGTGTGAAGGTGAGGGCCTGGTATGGGGCACAAAGAATGGCAAGAAACGAGAGAGGCCGTGGTGGTTTGGGAGCTGGTTGCTGCAACCTCTGGCCTTTGGGCAGCTGCTGCACTCGTGCGTGTTCGATCGAGACTGTTTTCCGGAGGTGAGCTCAACCCTGTTCTTCCTCTTTGGCTGGCGGGCTTGCTGACCTCAATTCCCAGGCGTACGGAAACTTCATCTTCAAGAACTCCACTGCATACTTGCATGGCCGACCTCAGGATTGGCCGATCAATCTCGGGTGGCCGAAGGCCCGGGACATTGTCGACAATCTGGCCCAGATGGCTAGGCTCAATTGGCCGTGAGTTGCCTGCTTATCATCCGTACGCGCCAGTGTGAGCTGACAAGCAGTTAGTGCCTATATTTCTCCCACCATGTTTCCGAAGAAAGAGGTGCTCCCACCCTCGCTCAAGGGAGTTGCGCCGCTTTCTTCCCAGGCGCACCCGCTCATTACGTCTTTGTCGTGCGCGACGCTGCATCCTTCTGACCCGTCCTGTCTCCGGACATACCTCACCTTTTGGCTCAACTCTTTCCCACCGCTGGCGCGGTTCTTCCTCGTCATCTACTCCGCCCTCACCATCGTACCGCGGTTCAAGAGCCTGTATCACTTCCCCGCCACTACGATTCAGCGTATTCTTTCCCGCGCTCTGCGAATGTCAACCTTCGTTACCGGCTCCATCTCTACGGCGTGGGCCTCAATCTGCTTCTTCCAGGCGTATTTGCCGCGCCATGTTCTCGCGACGCAACGCTTCTTCCTCGGCGGCTTCTTCGCCGGTCTGTGGGCCTGGGTCGAGCGGAGACACGGACGCGGTGTTTTCTTGTACAGCGCTAGGGCAAGTGTCGACAGCCTATGGAAAGTTGGCGTCAAGCGCCGCTGGTGGAAAGCCATGAAAGGGGGCGACGTTTGGGTCTTTATGCTTGCGCTCATGGTCACCGGCGTCGTTTACGAGCGCGATGCGCAGGCGATACGTGAGGGAGAGTGGCGCAAGGGCATGAGCTGGGTCAGAGGCGAGGGTTGGAGGGATTGGGCGGCCGCTGACGAGAGCGATGCCGATGACGAGGGTGGCGAAGGGGCGAAGGAGGACTAGGAATATACCACAAGGACGACCATTCGACGATAATACTGCATATTGACTTTGGCCATTCCGTCCACATGGGCAATCAGCAGACGGAGCAGATTGAGTAGCAGAGGTGACACGGCGTTGCCTACATAGAAATGCTGTTGCTTGTATCAGTTCCTCTGCGAGAAATGCGGCAAGTCACGAGGGCAGGGGCGGTCCCGCCACACAGGTGCTCATCCCAGCCTCGCTCCAGCAAGAAGGGGGAGAATGTTGCCTCCGCCGGCGTCGTGATAGATGACCTCTCATTGGAGAGGTTGATCTCTTGAGAGATGGGTGTGCATGTGTCGCAAGGGCGGCGGGACAAGGCTGACTGGATAATGGCCGACAGACGAAGAATCACGAGAAGCATCCAAGAGAAGCCCGCCAAGTGTCGACGGGTGCTACGTCAGATCAGCGCCGAAAGAGCCGAATGGGGGAATTAGGGTAGCCGTCTTGCTGGATCCCCGTGAGTCGGCGCAACGTCTCCGCATATTCATGCAACCCGTGGCTGCTCCTCCGTCGGGTTGACGGGGATACGTCGGCGGGCTCGGTGTCTTGCGAGCTGCAGCGAAGACACTGAGCTGGCGCGCGGCAGGGGCGGGCAGGACGGCACAGACACAACCGCGGGCGGATTACTGGAGGCCTGGGGTCCTTTGTGCGCTGACTCTGCCCTTGGCATTAGCGCCGACTCGTCGCAAGTAGCTCCCGGCATGGTGAAAGCTCATATGCTCATGTTGGAGGCAAGCAAATACATACAGTACAGGACTGTATTAGCATGGCCCAGCCCGAAGCCTCTCGGGCGATCAAAGTAAACGTAGAGGTGTGAATGTGGCATGTCAGATCCCGACCATGTCATGTGGTGCTGAGTGAGATGGCGTTGGCATCACAAGCGGCACTGCTTTTGTATCGGGCTTGGATGGCCACTAATATACTGTACTGTATCTGTGTGCGATGCCTGACCTTCCCGATTGCGCGCTTCGGTTGGCCTTTTACCTTGTGACTGTGTCCGTGCGTTTTAACCATATCTCCTGTCACGTCGATTGATAATGCGCTCTAGATTCGCTTACTGAACATCAGGGGAAGCAGAGTCTAGCTGTTGGCTTGGCGCTGGACATGATCCGGCCATCATTGGTGGGGAAGGAATGCCTGGACCCTGAGCACCAGCTGTACAGCTTCCTTACTCGCCCATCTTGTTGGCAGCAAAGACGGGGCCATAGATACGCCATGTGGAGAGCGTAGTACGGAAGGCCGTTGGGCAAACTCACGTCTGGGTGAATGGGCTGAACTGACTGATCTACAGCACTGAGGTGGTTGGTGCTGCTCGGACGGTGCTGAGGTTGATTTGTCACCTCCTCTCCAGTCAGCAAGGAGGAGGTTGGTATGGATGGCCAAGAACTGCCGAGATTCAGGAGGAGCCTCTGAAAGTACTGACAGTCAAGTCCAAACTGGTCGTAAAAGTTCCCGTAAAGTTTCCGAAACACATACAGCTTCCTCCTGCTACAGTATATGTGGAGACGCAGCTGATGGCAATACAGTGCATTGGTGCTGCAAACGTGTAGTCTGTGCAGGCTGGAGTGCTATAACCGGCCGCAGATATGTTGGCCTTGAATCTGATGGGCTCATGTGGGCCGCCAATATCACGGGTCGCTGACTGAGGCCGCCGAAAGTGGAATTACGAAGACTCGGAACAGTGACAAGCAGGGTTGTTGGCTCGTCAACTTCTACATACCTCCTACATGGAGCGCAGCAGAAATGTTCCGTTGTTAATCTCCAATGAGGTACTGTACTGTATTCGGGCTCCATGAACGTCTCAATAGCGTTTCTTTGTTTGGCCTCAATCTGGTCCAGCCGAACTCGAAGCCGATGATCGGAATACGGGCCTGATTTCAGGATTGTCGCGTCGTTGATGATTGAGGATGTCTCGCGCCAAGGGCCTCAGCCAGACACGCACCACGCGGATGTGCCAATGGGCTGCGGGCGCTCTATGAGCCCTGCCTCACTCTGCGTTCCAATCATTGACACCAACCAGCCCATGTGCTTGCTCTTTTGACCGAAAGAGTGGCAACGGAGGTTGACTCGCTTGACTGGCGTCGAGCACCAAATATGTTGTGATGCGCCTGCAGGTTAAATACTTGATACATTATCATCAATCTTGCGCGGGTGAAACCGTGGCGGAGCTTGACTCGTCCGTACCGAGTTGTTCGTTGTGCGCCTCCTGTATCATGAAGCCAACTATGTTGGACACGATGTGCGCTTGCATAGGTTGGCCAACAGCAGCTAGTACAGTAATAAGCCATTGCAAAAGGTTCCTGATAGGATATGCCGCCTCGCCATCCCGCGGCCCCGTGATGTCTACAGGAGACGCCAAGAACATTGACACCGCTCTGGATCTTATTTCCATGCCGGCGGGAGAAGGTGCTGGTCCAACCAGACAAGTGTTGGGCCACACGAGGGTATGTGGCTCTTATACTGTACCGCGTCTGACTTGAGACAATCTGGTGACCGACAGGCAGGCTGGAGTTGGTTCATGTTTACTGCAGCACTACAGTACAGTACTGTATCGTAGAGCACAGATACTGCAAAGGTTCCAACGGAGCCATAGCAGACACAGCACAGCACAGCTGTACCAATGGCCGTTATCAGCAGCACGACCATCCCCGATTTGCATACCCCGTACGGAGTACACACACCGCAGATGGTGCCAGCTCTCTTTCACAACCTGACAAGTTACGTTGCGCGCCTGCTTGCTTGGCACCGGTCCGCACTTTAGTTTCCAGTGCCGGTAGCCTTGAGCCGAGGCGCGAACAACTCTGGTTCTTTTGACGCAACCACAAGAAGACCCCTGTGTGATCAGACCAGATTCTCAAGTCTTGTCCGATTATGCCCCTGTCGAATGGCGGCCTGGGTGCAACGCCTAAAGCCGCACGACCAACCGCCACATGCAGCTGTTCACAGTGCTGCAGGTATCGCATTCACTGACGCTGGAGCTAGCCGCACGTCATTGACCTGCTATGAAAGGGCAGATGACCCTCCTCACCTGGATCCTCCGAGTCGGAGCAGCCTCTGGTCTCTATCTGGGAGCAAATTTCACTCTACGACGAAGAATCTTCAAACTCAGCCCTGCTATCCCAAGCGACAATGGAGAAAGCCCCTACCGGGGGCGGAGGTGCTACACCTCACGATGAGGGAGTCTTCCACAAGAAGCAGGTTGACGTTGCGGCGGAGCATGTTGTACGTTGGTGGTGCCCCTGACGTGTGCAGTCAATCCGTCCAGACCTAAACCCAAGCAAAGCCTTCAGACGAATACGACTCAAGCGCTGCTCGTAAAGTCGAGTTGTAAGTTTAATTTTACACATTTCTATTCCAGAGGCTTCAATGCGACGGGCTGACGTGGGTGTGAAGGGATCTCAACGCTACCGAAGATGACATCCTCGAGGCAAAGGAATTGGCCTCGTCGATGAGTCTTGAGACTGTTCGAAAGGTAGGTCGGCCATGCCACGAACGGCGCGCATCCCTCACTAAAGTTTGCTTCAGCTCACAGAGTGCAGTTGATGACCAATATATTGGCAATTCACGAAGGCGATCCGAATTTTCCTTTCGTCACCCTCGAACGCATTAGGGCGTTCATGGGTAAGTGATTGTTTTACCGCCGTTTTCCCTTCACTAACTGTCAAAAGCCAATGAAGATATTGTGGACAACCCAGAGAAGCATGAAGACCTCGTCCAGGAGATGAAAATCGAAGCAGCGCTTATCACTAACAACAGTCCCTATGCTGAAGTTCGAGCCATCGTGGACAATCACGACGACCCGAACATGCCTGTGTCAACTATCCGTGCCTGGACCTTGGGATGTTTCTTTGGAATTTTACTTGCTTCTGTCAATGAGCTGTTTGCTATCAGGCAGCCCTCAATTACCTTGGGCACAAATATGGCTCAGCTCTTGGCTTATCCCGCCGGCAAGGCCTGGGAGCGCTGGATGCCCAAATGGGAGATCCCGATTCCATTCACTGGTCAAACCGCCAATCTCAATCCTGGGCCGTTCAACAAGAAGGAGCATATGGTTATTGCTATCATGTCTGCCACTGCTAAAAGCAATCCATACACTGGCCTTATTGTATGGCTGCAGGTCCTCCCGCAGTACTTCGACCAACAGTATGCGCGCAACTGGGGCTATATGGTTGCCATAGCCTTTTCCGTAAACTTCTTGGGCTACGGCATGGCGGGTTTGACCAGGAAGTGGCTCGTTTATCCGGCTTATTGCTTGTGGCCGACGTCACTTGTCGTCATTGCACTTAATAGTGCGCTACACCAGGAAGATACTCAAAGCGTGATGGGCCCTTTCCGAAGGATCTGGACCATGACCCGCTATAAGTTCTTCATGTATGTGTTTATCGGCATGTTTATCTACTTCTGGCTCCCGAATTATATTTTCCAAGCCTTGTCATACTTCTCTTGGATGACTTGGATCTCTCCGCGCAACCGGGAGTTAACTATTCTCACCGGGGTAAATCTCGGTATGGGGGTAAGTATTGTTTTCGAACCTTATGAGCAACTGCTGATGCCACCTAGCTTTTCAACCCCTTCCCAACGTTTGACTGGAATATCATAAGCTACTCCGTTGATCCACTAGTAAGCCCAAACCCAAGGAAGTACACAGCTCCAGTCTAACGTCCTCCAGATGCTCCCGGCGTTTGCGACATTCAACAGTGGTTTTGGAATGTGGGTCGCTGGTCTGGTGGCACTTGCCCTATGGTATTCGAATGCTTGGCATACCGGGTCCATGCCCATTAACTCGAACAGAGTCTGGGATCACTTCGGAAAACGCTACAACGCCACACGAGTCCTTGACGAACGCGGCCATTTTGACCTGGCCAAATATGAGAAGTACTCGGCGGCGTATATGGGGGCCACTCAAGTACTCGTGTACGGCCTGTTCTTTGCTTGCTACTCGTCTGTCGTAACCCACGTGGCTTTATATCAACGCCACGAACTAAAATTGGGGTTCAAGAATTTCTGGAGCGCGTTTAACCCCTTCAAGTGGACTAGCAAGACGAATGAAGGCGCCACTCAGCGAACTGAGGATGGCGCATACACGGATGTCCATAATCGTCTGATGTCGGTATATAATGAAGGTATCATTCCTTGCTCTATTCAAAAGGCATTCTGGTTGCTAATGTATTGCAGTCCCACACTGGTGGTTTTTCATTATTATGGTTCTGGCGATCGTCGTCGGCGTTATTGGCCTGACTGTGTTTCCAACATATACCACACCAGCGGTACCCCTATATGGCCTCTTGCTCTGTCTATTGTTCGTCGTGCCTGTTGGCATACTTAATAGCATGAGCGGGATCAACATACCTTTGAACGTTATTGCCGAATTTGTCGGTGGCCTGATCGCAAACGGCAATCCATTAGAAATGAACTTCTTCAAATCTTATGGGTATGAAGCCCCTATCCAGGTTTCCCTTCCAGAAACTAGTTGAGCAAAAAGCTAACATACTCCGTTTAAGCTACGTGACTTGTTCGCATACCCTGAAATTTGCTCAAGATATGAAGATAGCGCACTATCTTAAGGTCAGCTTACAAATTCGAAATTTGATCTATATCTCACCAAAGTAACTAGATTCCGCCTCGAGTGACCTTCATAGCTCAAATGATTGCGACATTCATAACAACCTTTTGTTCCACAGGTATCATGATGTACCAGGTATGTTCCCCGAGGCGTGCGTGATATGCGCAGTTCTGACTTGTAGCCCCGCAGATAAATATCAAGAACGTTTGCACAGACGATGCGCCGTCGAGGTTTTACTGCCCGGATAATAATACGTTCATGCTCGCCTCGGTATTTTGGGGGGTTATTGGCCCACTCAAGGTGTTCGGGATCAACGGCCAATACAAGTGGCTCCTATTAGGATTCCCACTAGGCATCGTCTTCACGTCTGCCATGTACGGCCTGCAGAAGGCATTCCCTCGAACCCGATGGTTACGGCAAATTCACCCAGTCATCCTCCTTAGTGGCGGCCTCAACTGGGCGCCCTATAGCTTCTCGTACATGTGGCCAGCCGTGCCCGTTGCTTGGGCTTCCTGGATATACATTCGTAGTCGCTACCTGGCTTTCTGGTCTAGGTACAACTACGTCTTGTCTGCCGCATTGAATGCTGGCGTCGCGGTTTCCGCCCTCGTCATGCTCTTCTCTGTGCAGTGGGTGGATATCAATATCGACTGGTGGGGCAACAGCGTGATCGAAATGGGTTGCGAAGCCAAGTCTTGCTTGTGGAAGCCCTTGGCTCCGGGCGAGCGATTCTACCCCTGGTGGGATAGCACCAAGGTCCCAGCTCCTTGAGCGCCATGGAAGTTGGCCTTATGTCTGGTCGTTTCAATCTGGGCCCGCGAAGCCCATGGATAATCTGATCCATGGAACCAGATCAGCCATGGAACTTGAACAGGTAGTTGAGCCGAGCCGGCACAGGCAGTCAAATTGGATGTTACTCCATAGTTCAGTAGGGAAAGTCAATCAGAGAGGTGCACAGTTCTCACTGGGAATGACAAGTTCATTTTGGACTCTTCATGTTTTCGTGTCACACTGACACCGCTTCATCCCAGGACTGTGTGGGCTCATGGCCCTTCGAGCCTATAGCTCAATCTGTTGCATGGGCCTTGATGACACCCACCGGGTCTTTCGTCTCCGTATCACCCCATGTTGCTTCCCATCCGTGGTCTGCTAAATACACCTTCCACGCGGCGTCGTCGTCATCAAGTCGCCGCGAGACGTCTGGAATGACAAAGAAAGCGACACAAGCCCCCAGTACGGCAAAGCCCGATCCAATGAGAAACGCGACCTGATCGCCTTTGCCAGGGTTGTCGCTGTAAGAGTTGAGTATCGCGGTAAATACTTGCGTGCCTATGGCGGCACCCGCCTTGGACCAGGCGGCGATGAAGCCCATCATTTGACCACGAATAGACGTCGGAAAGCATTCTGATGCCGTGAGGACGACGGTACTGTTGGAGAGATTAACACACACGGTCTCAATTCCAGGGGGTCCTGAGAAGACTTGCCTGCCAGGGCCGACTTCTCCGAGCGTCATGAAAATGCCATACAACACGACAAACAACGGGAAGATAGTCTGTATAGGCCCGACGGCTCCACCGAGTATGAAACCTAGGATGGCCTGTAGGAAGAAGCCGAGGGCCATTGTCTGCCGTCGACCAATCCTGTCAGACAGGTAGCCGCCAATGAATGGTCCAGGGATGTAGAAGCAGTTGATTAGAACACCCCAGCCTAGGTTCTTGACCAAATCCCCGCCGGGGTTTGTCCGGTTGATGATTGTGGAACTGAAAATGCCGAATGGGATGGAAATCCAATTGTAAAGGAACCAGCAGGTTGCGGATCCGATAAGTGGCCGATAGTACCTTTTGAGAGCCAACCAGTATGGCACACGCTGCTTCCGCATGGCAGACTTGCGATACGCAGTGGCGACAGCCATGCGCATGCGAAACCAGAAGATGCCTAATGGTGGCACGGCTCCGAGAGCAAAAGCGGTGCGCCACACAATGCCATACTTGCTTTCGTCTTTTCCCACGCAAAGGAGTAACAGCAAGGGGACGAGGCCACCCCAAACATAGCCCAACGCGGAAGATAAGTCGGCGAGCATGGCAAACATGAAGCCTCTGTGCTTGCGGTACTTGCCGCTCTCATCCGTGGCTTCTGCCGCACCAGCACCGGACACGGGATACTCTCCTCCCGCGCCCACACCAGCGACACCTCGTGCGACGATGAGCATCCAGAAAAGGCCAGTCGGAGACGTTCCATTTGCAGCAGCTGACAGGGCGATACCCAGCACGAGGAGAATCGTGGTGGCAACGGCGCCAGTCTTGCGACCAAGCTGATCGACCACGACGCCGAAGAAGAGCATCCCGATGATCATACCAATCAGGAACGCGTTGCTAAGGCGTGTGTAAATGGAGGATGTGAGGTCATCTGGATAGATGATTGCCAAAAGCAGCTCCACATTGCCGATAACAGCAGCATTGCTAAGGGAGAACCGTGAGTCCTTGTCTTCCTAGAAGAGAGGTGGAGGGGAACGGCGACGAGGCTTCGGTTCGCCGCGATCAAGAGTGGCAATGCTTCTTACTAGCCGTCAGATCCGATGGCGAGACCTGAGAACAGGACCATCAGCCATACGGAGAGCTTGCTGTAGGATCCCTTCTCGCCTTCATCGACACTGGCGGCTTCAATTTCCGCGCCGTCTTTGCCATCACCGACAGACTTCGCCTTTGACGCTTCCACGTCATGCGAACCGACGGCCTCAATCTCAGGGGTGGAATCTTGTTCTGTAGGTGCACCCATCTTGCCAGTCCACTTCGCTCTAGGTCAGAAAGGGCGTTGTAGGCGAGTGTCTCGCACATGCGTAGGCGGAATGGCAGCACCTGATGTTTCGAGGCACGAACAAGGAGAAGTTAGTCAGGATGCAAGTTTTTCGGGATACATGGAGATTAAAAGAACGGCGCAGGAGAGTTGGGATAGCACGATGACGCTGAACTGTTCGGTCAACGGAACTACTCGAGTCGACTCGACCATGATTTGGTCAGAGCCATCGCTCCCTCCAGAACCCCACACGGTGACCAGGGCAGGTTTGCCGATGCCCACTCTGCCGATCTTGGCGAGGATATCAACTGGAGGAACGCGCGGGTCGCGTGGGGGTGGCACCCGCGGACCGCAATTGCGGATCCCCATGTCTTTGTGGCTGCCCGACAAATTGCCCATCTGACAGATCTGCGTTTCGCGCAACGCCGCCTTCAACACCAAAAATTCGACAGCGGCTTGAGCTGGCAAACGTCGTTTAACCCTTGGGATCTCACTACACACACAAGAGCGTCTATTTTACATGTTCAAAACGGGGAATATATGTACAGGTCAATTGTTCCTGCACGACATGTAGTTTGGCGCCCGTTAACCCCAAAGAATGTTCAGCCTCCGCCATCCTTTGGCGGGCGGTGGTGGGTCCTCTGGGTTCGCATTTGCAATGTCAATGAAACCGCGGATGGGCATTTCATCGAGAGATACCAGCTTCGTCTTTTTGCCAAACTTGTATCCGAAATATAGCAAGAATATGAGTGGGATGTTGAAGTATGAGGACACAAAGCTCTGCGGGCTCCAATGTCCTTTGATGAAGACGGAGAAGCCTCCAGTCAGCAACAGGAGGCTGAATGACAGCAGGCCAATCCAGGCAGCGTAGGGCTGGAATGGTCCTTTCCAGGGAAGCTCGTCGCGACTAATGTTCTGCTTCTTGCATCCGTAGAAGAACCGCAGGTACACGATCTCAATGTTGATCCAGTGCACAAAGGAACCGGCGGAGACAAGATTCTGGAGCCAGTCGAAGACGACGGAGGCAGCCGATGAGAGCGTCATGTATCCCAGCGCCATAGCGGATCCAACAGTGGCTACAGCCAACCAAGGAATGCCGAAACGATTGGTGCGAGTTAGTATCTTAGGCGCGTGGCCTTCCAAAGCGAGGCCATACAGGGTCCTGGTGGCCACAAGCATGGCTGTTTTGAAGTCAGCCTGTCGATTCGCGTATTCCGAGCTCCTGATGGTTTTCCCTTACCAGAGTTACCCGCGCTCCATGCGCTCGTCACGACAACCGCATTGATGATGGACGGTACATATTTGATACCGGCGTTCTTTGCTGCAATCGCAAACGGGGAGGCTCCAGCATCGCCTGAGTGGGCCGTCAACGCTTTATCGCTGGACGACACAATGAGGCCAACGAAGAAGATGGTGATGACGTAGAAAATTGCAATCCTCCAGAAAACACGCTTGGCTGCTTTGGGGATGTTGTAGCGAGGATTTTGAGTCTCTGCCGCAGGCACAGAGATGTTTTCGACGTTGGAGAAGGCGAATGCAGCGCTGACCATGACGCGCCAGAAACCGAGGAAACGGCCCCAAGCGCCTTCGATCTGGAAGTACTGGACGAACGGCCCTGGTGTGTGCCAGAAGCGGAAGCCGATGGCTTCTCCCGAAGGCCCTGCTCCTGCCGCGATGCAAATGCTCTGGAAAATCCCCCCGTCAATCCTTGCAGTTCTGAATCGGGATCATGTGCAGCAAACTTACCATGATGTTCACCCCTACAATGAGAATAATCTTGAGAATGGCAAACACGAACTCCATCTCACCATATATACTGATCAGGAGCATATTGCTCAGAATGAGCAAGCCGCCGAGGGACGTAATCCACACGGCATGATTGATGTGCGACCAGTAGTCAATGATGACAGCGCAAGCGACCATCTCCGCCGGCAGTAGAATGGAATTTGAATACACGCTGTTCCAGCCCTGGGCGAAAGAGAGCGCCGGGTCAACGAACCATTCAGCGTGGCGGATGATGCCGCCAGAAAGCGGCACGAGGGCGCTCAGTTCGGCCACGGATATGACGACGCAACACATGAGCAGCCCGACGATAGAGTATGAGAGAAGAATGCCAAGCGGGCCGCCTCTTGAAAGAGCCTGGCCTGTTGCCAGGAAAAGCCCCGTGCCAATTGTACCGGCAAGGGCAATCATCTGAATATGTCGTTGCTTCAGACCACGTTTGGATTGAGACAGCTCCGCAAAGGCGGCATGCTCTTTGAACTTGGGGCCGTCATCTTGATCAACTGGAGCGATGGGGGTTTGCACAACGTCGATGTCATCTTCCCTGGGTCGGGGACGGACCGCCTGCTTCTCGGCGTCCGGCTGCATACCTCGGTGCACGGCGGACGGTGGCTGGAGTTGGGCGCTGCGCAACGAGCCTCGAGGTCGTCGTGTAAGAAACAGGCGGAGTAGCAGAGAGTTCAGGGGCAGCTTCCTGGCAAGCCAGTGACAATATTGAGATGGAGACGCGCACCGCCGATTCACTACGTTGTCGAGTCGAACAAAGATGTCTAGGATGAAGCTGCCTCCCTCAAGCCCTTATTATGCTTGCGAAGCTGCAGACGTTGGGCTTGGATTTGCTGCACACGTGGGCAGCGTGCCGCCAACACCAACAGCCTGTCTCATTGCTTCCCGGTAGCCTGTGGCAGGATCGACATTTTGGCACACCGCTGGATGTTCATGTCCCAGCCATCATCAGTCAGCACCACGCAGCAACATCTGTTGATTGTGGCTAATCCTACATTCAACAACATCCAACGTCGATGGGAGAGACTCATTTGAGACAGGTCATCTGCAGAAGTGTGAGGAGAAGCCGCTTGATCGCTTACTGATACGCTTTCACGAGCGCGCTACGTTTTCGCAGATAAGAACGACGGTGCATACCTTAGAGTGCTTGGTCGCCCGAGGCACCCACTAGGTACGCAACATGATCGCCAATGGGCCATTGACCAACGTCCCCGCCACTAAAGTGCCCGCTGCACGTCAGCTAGCGAGCGGCACAGCGGGGCGCCGACGCTGGACTCTGCACTCCGCAATCTTCTCGCGGCTACCAATGATCCCAGCCCATTTGATTTCACCTCGCCTAAACGCCAGGAAGGCTCTGTGCTGCGAGCGAATTCTCACCATGACCGAAGCCTGCGAAGATTACCAGGATGTTCGGGTGTCGGAGAGGGACCGACGGCACTGGCTTGGCGCGTGGCAGGGGGCCCGCGCTGTCCATCCGCTAACCTCCGCCACTTCAATGTGCTGTCCGTGGGGGTGGTAGCGTGAGCCCACAGCCGACAGACACCTACACTTGCTCCATTCAATAGGTACCTGGTCCTGGAGACTAGTGATGGCTGCCTCCACTGGGTCTCACCTGTAGCAGCGTTAGCTTCCCCGCCTTGGATTCAAGCCTGCCGGTGAACGGCGTCATTCGCAGTCCAGCCATCCGCTCGGATAATGATGCCAGGGTGGATAGTTGCGCGGATAACTTATCCCTGATTCTTAGCGAACTGGACTCCTCGGTTGAAAAAGTTTGGCGAAGCCGCGGCGCCCATGTCCGCTGCCACCAGGCGTCATCGTCTGTGCCTTTGGAGCTCGCAAATGCTCAGTCTACCGGAAGCGCACGACTCACCACCACGACGGCAGACAACCAGCGACCCAAGATGAAGGCGGAAAAGGTTGACCTTGGCGAGACTTCGCTGCTTGAGAAGCAGCAGGGGTGGACGAAGAGACCTCAAAGATTTGTCCATATCGTCATCGCCGCCGTCATCCTCGCCGCGCTGCTTGTAAAGCAAGGCAGTACTTGGACAGGCTTGCAAGCCTTGGTTCACCAGAATCCGTCCAAGCATCTCAACAAAGTTCAGCAATGCTCCATTGACAATTTCCACCAAGATCTTGGGTTTCTTGACCACGCGAAGCCGATCGAGGCTCATGAGTTTATTCAAAGGAGAGATAGACTTGCACAAGCACTCGCCCAGAATGGTGTCGACGCCTTTGTGTTGGAGCCTGGATACACCTTCCAGTGTGTGCTCCTGTGCATCCGCAGGCATTTAATAGTGTGTCACAGCTAATGAATGAGCTGCAGATATTACGGCAACATCTCTCAGACAGAGTGGGAGCCATGGGAGCCTGAGGAGCGTCCCTTTTTAATGCTCGTCCTTCCCCAGATCGCGGCCGATGGGTCCGTATCTGCCAAAACGGCCTTCCTCGCGCCTCACTTTGAAGAGGGCCGTGTGCGCATGCTCGGTATTCCCTCGCGCGATGCCGAGCTCGACATCGTCATTTGGGAAGAACACTGGAACCCATACAAGACGCTGCTCGAGTCTTCACTCTTCGAGGGCAAGAAGCAGCCCACGCTCATGGCCGACGAGGAGATGCGGGACTACATCGTGCGAGGCTTGGATAATAACGGGTTCAAGACCGTGGGCCTCTCTCCGGAGGCAGAGTTGGTTCGGCAGACCAAGTCGCCAGCCGAGGTTGAACTGCTTCGAGCGGTCAATACCGGCACCGTCGCCGCTGTGCGCGCTATGCGACCCTGTCTCGTACCCGGCCTGACCGAAGATGAAGTCACGGCCATCCTGGACAACACGTTGCTCTCGGTAGGCTTCGGGCTGTTCTTCAACATTGTGCTCTTCGAGGAACACGGCGCACTGCCTCATGGCGGCTTCGTCACTGGGGGCAAGAAGCTCACGCAGGACAGCATGGTCGTCATTGACGTTGGAGCGCATTATCTTGGCTACTCCTCCGACATCTGCCGCAGCTTCCTCATCGATCCGCCTGAAGGAAAGGCTGCGTCAGGGGACCCTCGACGGGCTGAAAAGGAGAACGTTTGGCAGATTGTCCTCGACGCGCAGACTGCTGCTGCGGGGGCCATGAAGCCCAACAACACAGCCGCGAGCGTGGACATTGCCGCGCGATCTGTCATCGAGGCTGCTGGCTACGGGTACGGCTTCACGCACAGGCTCGGTCACGGCATCGGGATCAAGGCGCACGAGTCGCCGTACCTGAACAAATGGAACACTGCTGATAAGCTCGGCCCTGGAATGACGTTCACGAATGAGCCTGGCATTTACCTCGAGGGAAAATTTGGCGTGCGGCACGAAGACATTTACCTGGTCACGGAAAACGGCGAGGCCGAGCTATTGACTGGACGGAGGGCGCGAGGCCTGTACGATCCTTGAAATTGGGGTATCATATTGTTGCGCTTGATCTAGAAGGCAAGTCAAAAGACTAAATACCGCACACAACTCCGCGCACATGTCATGTCGCTGTGCGCTCCTGAACTCCGTGAACAGGAAACCCACTGGCAATGGCTGCCCCTTGCATCCGGCGCAGCCACGGCAAGCCATCGCCCCTAGGGACTGGCCGATGAGCCAAGCTGCAATCGACGTACACTGAATCGTTCAGATAAGTCCAGTTGGAAACCTCTGCCGCGCATTCGGAGAGTGCGCCGGGAAACGGAGACGCGCTGAGGGCTGCACAGATCCAGCACATTTGCTGAAACACTTCAATCATCGTATGTGTCCACGCGGAGACACTCATCCGAATGACCGCCTCCTCGACTTCAATGTGGATGAGCCGTAGTCCGGGGCAATGCGGCCCGTTCTCATCAGTCCCGTCCCACACCGACATGCCGGACATGGGCTCGCCGTGTCGGGACGAGTATGAGGCATTACCCACAGCCTCCTCGAGGCAATTCAAGACCAGCTTTCCGCACCTGGGCCACTGCGAATTGACGTAAGCGGACACCGTTGTGTACATGCAGTCATCGGCAGTTCCAGTGATGGCTGGCAACGTCCCGAGATTGACCAGCTGCGGGTCCGCGATGCCGTCAAGTGGCCCAAACAGCTGACACTCGTACTTGAATTGGGCAATGTGAAAACCATCTGAAGGTGGGGGATAAGGTCGTTTCGACAGGAGCATACTCCAGATGGCGGATTCGGCGAGGTGCATCTGAACGTAGTGCGGCGACAGTAAGACCTTGCGGACCTCGGATATGAGATTCCTCGCGGCGCTGCCGCTGATAATTTTGCTATGCAACGAGCGAGCAATGTCGTCTGGCGAACCTCCCGGGGACTGCGACGGCATTTCTCTATGCCAGTAGCTACAGAGGAGCTGCAAGGCGAGGGGTAAGTCAATGCCGCCGGCACTGGATGACCATGTGGATTGTCTCTGCGACAACCCGGGCCCGATTTTGTCGAGGATGCATGGTGACGTCTCTGGGCCATTAAGCAGCAAGACGATTTGGCGGATTGGACCTTCGAACAGGCGCGTGACTTGGCGGGAAACCTCTGCGCCAGGAGGGCTGTCTTCCTGGTAAAACTGGAATAACTCGTCCCAAAGCTCATGAGTGAACGTTGACAAAAGGCGGTCGATGACGCGATCGAGATTTACCCGGACAGCTTGATCGCCGAGGTAGTAGTGGGTGAGAAGCTCGTTCTCGAGGCCGTCGGCAAGAGCCTTTGCGAAAGCGGCGACGAGTGCGCCAGCGATGAGGGGCGGGACCTGGACCTCGATCGGCTTTGCCTGTTGAGAGAGGCGCGTGGGGAAAGTCGGGGGCGGCTTGTACGGCGAGGCGACGACTGCGCCTGGCCTCCTGATGGCACTGTCAGGCAAGCCAGGTGTCGTCGGTGGCATGTCTGATGCTGGTCATGACGGAGGGGCGGTCCGAAAGAGGTGCAGGGGGGCCGGAAAACGAAAGGCAGTGCGTGCAATACGCAAGATGTGCCCCTACCACGAGTGCGACGAAGATGAAAAAGTATGTAGTAGCGAGAGTCCTCTATATCCACGGTTTTCCTCACGTTGCAGCAAATTTTCGCCGCCGCATCATCGCATTCGTGTGCCGCACTGTCGCTCGCGGGCAAAAGAGGAGAGGCAACGCCAGGGCTGACGTTGCTTCGAGCCCATGTATTGCGCGTCCCCTGCTGACAAAGAGGGCAAAAGGCGGCACTGGCCGCGCCAGACCCATCGCAAAGGGGGGCGCTCGCACATCATTATTAGGGGGAGGCCAAAATCCCGTACCGATTCGCAAGGTACTTGAATAAAGTGCCGGGCGGTTTGCAGCCTCTTTGTCTACCCAGTTCAGTATAAATAAGCTCTGGGTGCCGTAGCCTCAGACTGTGTCGTTGTGTGCATGTCCGAGCCCCCACGCCCCCCGGTATGCTGGCGGCGATGCCATCGCGCCTGGCCGCTCTCGACTACTTGAACACAGCAATTGAACGGTTGCGCGGACATTGCGCAGATGAGAATCGTCTGACTCGCGGATTGGGAGGAACACTGCGAGTGCTGCAGGAACCTAGACTTCTGGGCCGGTATCGACACGAGTCGGGCACGATGAGTCGGCCAGGGCCTCCTTGCCATCGAGTCGGAGTTGCTCGTGACGGCCTCGCTGGGCCTGGAGCCGCAGCGCTGGACGCACCACAGAACCCATGCGTGCAATCACGCGCGTGTGTTCCGTTGGGCCTAGGCTCGAGGAGGGCCTGCCGCACCCACGACAGCACGCTTGAGGTTCCTCACTTGGTGCTCTGAAGGTGAAGAGCGGCGTCCTGGTCGCGCCGAAATGGGCCTTGGGGACGAGTATCAGGGGGTCGCTACGGTAAGACGACGAGGTCGATCAAGGACTGTGCGTCTCGGACCTCAATTGCAGCGTCAAAGTAGGTACAGCAGGTGAGTCAAGCAGCCCTGGATGAGACGAGGCCTGGTTGTCTTTCATCTTCCAGCTACCACTTTACGGGATGCTTCACCTCTCAGCCGGTTGTCTGCAATGCCTCAAATTGTGCCTTCAGCAGCTGTTGCAACCCCACACGGGACGGCCGCGTCCTCAGCAGGTCAAGCGGACCATCACGCGTCTCGGTGGCCTGTTCAACCCTGTTCGGGAACCAAAGGTCCGAGTCCCCGCCCGACTCCACTCCGCTGTCAGGTGCCGGCTGGGTCGCGATCCACTGTCAGCTGTCGTCATCGGGAGCCAAGGTGAGCTCGGTGACTGCGAAAGAGACGGTAGAGAAGATGAGCCTCAATAAGGGGCAGCATGGTCTCAATTGGGATCTTGATCGCACGAGGTCCCGAGGTGAGTTGGTTGCACCCAAGGCAAGGCGTGCCTGGATGTCACCAGGGAGAGCTCCCCCGACCCCTCATGCAAGGTCGGTCTCCGAGTGCGGCGGGGGCGTTGGAGGCATGGATGGTCGTCTGATGCTGCTCCAGGTGCGGGCTGCCGCTGAGACTCCGGCAGGGCGAGGCCAATTGATGGGTGCCACAGCACTCCGCTGGCATTGCAAGGCCCAGCCTGGGCTCCCGTGAATGGCGGCGCGGGCGCGCGGCAGGTCCCTTCCCAGCGGCTGCGAAGCCAGCCTGGTTGGGACCGTAGGTGCACCCTTGCGTCCCGTCCTCCACTTTAAGATTGCATGCCTTTGCTTGCAGTGTTGCAGCCAGGTGGTGAAGTACTGCTACCTTGGGTACTCAGCCCAGCCGAGCTCTCCGTGCGCCGTGGCGCTGGCTGGTCCAGGCCGAAGGCTCCGAAGAGGGGTTGCCCAGGCTGATCCCTCGTCCGCAGCGCAGCACTGGAGGAAGGTTGGAGAGGTCCCCAACACGCCATCCAATACAAACTCACCTCTGGCGATGTACACACCCACCATTCCCACCGCTTCGCCCTGGCGATACCGCAGACATTCGCAAGCATTGAATGCTTCCACGGGCGCGTTTGCTCCTCCCCGTCTGCCATGCGAATGCCCTCGCGCCCCTCTGGCTCCCCATCAGCTGTTCATCAGCTCACTAAGTGCGCTGCGGTGGGTCAATCGACATGCTTCCCCGGATTCTACCCCGGACCTCCGATCAGGCTGGCCCTGCAGCTCTAGCGCTAGGCCCAAACAGGCACCAAGGTCTGAGTACCACGGCGCCCGTGTACGTCGCAGTCACGCGATCTTAGGAGGCAATGGCAGTGACGGCCGCTGATGGCACTTACCCCGCCCGGTCTGACGAAACCGTAGGGGACATGCTGGGAGACCAGCCCGGCAACAGGACAGCTCGTTCCTGCTTGGGTCTCAGCACCTCAGGCACCTCTGCCCTGCCCTCCCGCCGATAATAGGACCTCCCCTCCCTCCCCCTCCTCGTTCCCCTCTTCTTCCTCTCTTCATCACTGTCATCATTGATACACCCCGACTCATCTCGCCATATCCCACTTCCATCACAGGTTCGTCTTGCAAGCTCGTCCGTGGCACCCGAGCCACAGTTCGGCTGCCCCTTCGTTGCCCAAACGCTGACCCCAGCTTCGCTCTAGCGATTACCGCCGCTCTCTGGCCGTAGTCAATAAGCACATTCCACCATGACTGAACCGCTCTCCAAGGTCGATTCCGCCGTCCAGGGCTTGTCGTCGTCGCCGCCCAAGGAGAAGGGCCATAGGAGGCAAAGCTCCAGCGCGACCGGTGTGATGAACATCAATGATCTCGGTAAGCTCACTGGCTCCCACCCCTTCCCCTCGCCACCATAACGCGCTTTGGGGTGCATCACAGCGCATGCTATCAAAGACGTTACATGTTGTAAAGCGCATGAACTGACACATGCAAACTGCAGAGAAGGAGAAGATTGAGATTGAGCTTCCTGTCGAGACACAAAAAACGGGCTGGTAAGTCATTGCCGTTTCCCCACCCGCCCTTCTCCGCATAACGGTCCTCTGGATACGTTCTTGCATAGTGGCAGTGCTGATGGTTCACTGTATAGGAAGATCAACTCGAGCCCCATGACAATCGATGACCCGGCCATCCTCAAGATTCCCCTGACCAAGCCTCCGGTCAAGAAGATTGACCTGCACTTCCCACTGGGCATGGAGGTCACGGCAAGAAATCTCAAGGGCGTTACCATCAAGGATGCGATGGACGCGATTTACAAGGCGTACAAGAAGCGGGTGAGTCTGCAGTGATCCGCGTCACAGTTTGCCGTTGACTGACATGTCCCAAGGCCGACGATGAGCTGGACAACCCGTACCTGGCCGGGTTCGAGTGGGATAAGGAGGAGTCGTGGACACGGTTGGTCGTCCACCTCCAGAAGCAGCCCACGTCCGGCGGCGGTGGCGGCGGCGGTGGCAAGAAGAAGAAGAACAAGAAGGAGGAAGAGTAATAAGCCCCAACACCCGATATCTGTTCCAATATTTCCTTCAACTGTCTTGTTTGGCTTCGCTGGGTTCGTTGCGAGTCGGCGCCCGGGATATTGCGATTAGATACTCTCGGTAGTGTTAGTGTGGAGCGACTGCTTGAGGCGTCGCCTTTTGTCTGCCCTTCGTGTCGGAGCCGCCGGGGCTCCGAGCAATTGATTCCGAGGTCTGCTGGAACCTCGCTAGCTTTTCACCTCATCGCGTCGAAGCCTCTTTGCCTCTTGTGATAGACGTAGCCCTGGAAGGCGACGAGTGACCATGGGCATGCCCTGACGTCGTCGCCGTACCGTCCATCGGTACTAAAATGGGCGGTTGGCGTCCGTTTATCCTGCTGCGCTAAGATCCACCACTGCTAGATGCATCTCACGCGTTTCGAGCACGTGGAGTTGCCAGTGTTCCAGCCCTGCCCAAGACATTCCAGTCTCTGTGATGGGCTGCCAAACGACGAGCAAAGGCTGGCAGGATTCAGCTTTCGAGGATGCCACTGTAGATGTCCGGCATCGAGGATTGACCGACATCGCTGGGTTCATTCCGAGGACGTTTCAAGAGCAACCCAACGCCGTTGGCACGGACGGCAGGACTCGCTAACTATCTTCTCCGTGCCTGTTTCGTAAGTGAGCATGTTAGTGTCGGGCAGTGATTCCGCGCGGCCCAGGAAACCTGGGCCCCGCGCGGAACGGGGGAGCTCATGGCCGCGCCCCGGGATTGGGCGGTTACTGTCGGTTCGCCCCTCCTCCGGTCTAAGCTCCCCACGGCGGAATAAGCGCGACACAACCACAAGGCTCGGAATCGGATTCAGCGCTCACGTCATGAAATGCGAGGCACAGGGTCCCCGGGGTCTTCGGGGCCAAGAGAGTTTAAAAGGATGAAGGCCTGCTCTACCCGCGCGCTGGGCGGCCCTGCCTGGTTGCGACAGGGACGAGATTGACGTCTGTGCATCGCGCGTTGCCCACCATGCCCGTCACGCAGTTCGAAACCAAAGAGAAGTACCGTTATCAGAACGGCTTCAACTGCCATTTTGAGTATGTTGCGCGCTTGGCACGAAGGACAATTAATTGCAAATCGTCAATTCGCAGCTCCTTTGGCGATCATTCTGGCTGACTGTCTGTTGCGATTCAGGTCCGAGGCCGTCGAGGGCGCACTTCCCATCGGCCACAACTCGCCCCAAAAGCCCCCGCTGGGTTTGTACGCCGAGAAGCTCTCTGGCACGGCTTTCACCGCGCCCAGGCACGACAACAAGCAGACATGGTTGTACCGCGTCTTGCCGTCGTGCGCGCACCCGCCCTACCAGCCCGCCGCCGAAACCCGCACCGCGTCCGGGTTGCCCAAGGATGACGCGTCCAAGATGCACTACATCCCCAATCAGCTGCGCTGGGATCCCTTTGACCATGACGAGGCCAAGGACCTGGACTTTGTGTCGGGCCTGAGGCTTGTCGCCGGCGCCGGCGACCCGACGCAGAAGCAGGGCCTCGGCATGTTCGTCTACGCCGCTGGCAAGAGCATGGCCAACGACGCCGTCTACTACTCGGCCGATGGCGACCTGCTCATCGTCCCGCAGGAGGGCGACCTGGACATCCGCACCGAGTTCGGCTGGCTGCTCGTGCGCCAGATGGAGATTTGCGTCATCCCTCGCGGCGTCAAGTACCAGGTCCACCTGGTCAATGGGCCGGCGCGCGGCTACGCACTCGAGCTCTACCAGGGCCACTTCAACCTCCCGGAGCTTGGCCCCATCGGTTCCAACGGTCTTGCGAACGCCCGCGACTTCCAGACCCCCGTAGCTTGCTTCAGCGAGGACTTTGGTGTGACAGCGTCCGAAGGCCCGAACACATTTGTCGTCACGGTCAAGTTCAACAACAGCCTGTTTGAGACAAAGCAGGCTCACACACCATTTGATGTCGTCGCTTGGCAGGGCAACTACTATCCGTACAAGTACGACCTCGGCCGCTTCAACACCATTGGCACGATCTCTTTCGACCATCCCGATCCCTCCATTTTCACCGTCCTGTCCGCCCCGTCGCCTGTTCCCGGCACCGCCGTGGCCGACTTCGTCATCTTCCCGCCACGCTGGCTCGTTGGCGAGGACACCTTCCGACCTCCTTGGTACCACCGCAACACCATGAGCGAGTTCATGGGCCTGATCCGCGGCGGCTACGACGCCAAGCGTGGCGGTGCCGGAGGCTTCGTACCCGGCGGCGCGAGCTTGCACAATGTCATGAGCGGCCACGGGCCGGATGCCGAGAGCAACGAAGGAGCGCGAGAGGCGGAACTGAAGCCCGTCAAGGTTGGCGAGGGGAGCTGCGCCTTTATGTTTGAGAGCTGCCTCATGGTCGGCGTGACGGAATGGGGCCTCCGCACATGCCAGAAGGTACAGGAGGGCTATAACGAGGAGAGCTGGGGCGGTGTCCGATCGCACTTTAAGCTGCCCGAGGATAAGAAGGTGATCAGCCATCTGGCCCAGTGAGGAAATGTTTCACGACGCGACGAAAAGGAAAGCAATATTATTTGGGACAAGGCATATGCGCCTTAGGGTCGAGGACTGTACAGCATGTGACTGAAAGAACGCATTGTCAGACGAACCGCATGACATATGAATATCACTTAGCTTGAGTGGGCATAGAACGAATTCTTCTTTTGAGATATTACCTGTTAGCGGACAAGCTGAGGAGCTCTTCATGTGCTGATGCTGGGCGTCTACGACACCGAATTTTGCAAACGCTGCACTTTGGTATGTAGCCAGCCTGTTGGTTCTATGTCTTTCACGTCGCTCGTAGCGTGGGCAGAACGGGGATCATTGCGCCATACTCTGTAAGACAAGAATACTGCTCTTGTGAACCCGTAGCGACGGATTTATGCCCGCATTGGCTGACCTTCCGACGCGCTTAGAGGACGGCGTAGCTGGCGATGTAGCGTCGCAGGGATGCTTTCAGAGACGTTGAGAATTCTTAGGGCTACATTGTCGGGATTCGAACCGCCACGGGTTCCGTGCAAAGCAGCGTGTTTTCGCGTGGTGCGGCACGCTGTGAACACATGGTTGCCAGCTGCCACCACCTGCACACAACCGTTTGCGCTCCGAACGGCCCGTTTGCGCTGAACCTCTCCTCCACCATCACCTCCTTCATCCCTCCACCTCTTCCCACAGCATCATCGCCTTCTCGGCTAGGTCTGAAGGTGAGGTCTCGGTGGTCTTCTTCGCTCACTTGGGATCGCCGCCTCTTCACCCTACTTCTGCCCTGCGATTCATCGCTTCGCCTCGGCACTTTTGCAGCCACTTCCAGTTCTTCTTCTCAAAACCGCCACCCGCGAGGCTTTCTACCGTTTAGCAAACATTCCCACTCTGCCTACAAGCGACCTCCGTGCTCTCCAGGCATCAACTCGCCGCACGCCGCACGCCACAATGGATCTTCGTCTCCGCGAAGCAGAAACTCCAGCGAAGGGTTCCGCAACGGGACCAGTTGCGCTCATCAAAGCCAGGCCCTCTGCAATCAAGACTGAGGACACAGAAGACGGTGCCGCCCGATCTTCTAAGAAGAAGAAGAAGAAGAACAAAAAGGCGGAGCACGACGCCAACACACCACTCCATGAGCACGTCAAGAAGCTCGAGGAGAGAGAGAAGAGACTCCGCTCTGATAAGAAGCAGCTTGAGAAGACGGAACTCGAACTTGAAGACCGTCTTGAGAAGGCAGAGCAAGAGCTGCAGACGGAGCTTGTGAGGAGCAACCGCATCCAGAACACGAACAACGCGCTGCAGAAAGCACGCGATGAGCTCTTCAAAGAAGCTGAAGATACGAAGGCCAAGCTCGAGGAAGCGAATGCGCTTGCCGAGAAGCTGAAGGAGGAGCTCGACACCCGCGAGTTCGAAAGCCGCAAATTCCGTACGGCGCTTGCAGCGGCTTTCAAGCTCCTGACGGAGCTTAAGGACCAGGTCACGCTTAAGAGCCTGCTGCACCGAACGGACCATTTCCTGCGACTCAAACTTGGCCGGCTTGGCGGCAACGCAGGTGTTGCGCCGGCATCGACAGCCCCGTCTGAGCAAGACGAAGCGATCGATGATGCGTTCGGAACTGAAGATTCGGAGGATGACTGCGATTTATACGAGCCTGACGGAGCGGCAGTGGCTGCTGGCATTCAGGCCGTTAACGAACGACAAGCTCCGTCTGGAATGGATCTCAAATACGAGTCGGACTCCGACGACGACAAGCCGCTCGCGATGCTGCTCCGCAGCGGCAACAGCCAGGTCGAGGAGTCTGCGGATGGCCTTTCGGATTCCGATTCTGAGGATAGGGCTATGATGAAGCTTCGGGCTCTCGCCGCCGACAAGAACATGCCGCACTCCTCGTCCTCGGGTACGACTCAGACACCGGACGCGGCACCTACCTCGAAGAAGCATCTGCTGCTGGAGGAGGATCTTTGGGACGAGGACGAGGACGAGGCAATCTTTCTACGACCTGCGAAGCGCGTCAAGTTTGAATCAGACGTCAATTGTGAGGCCGACGACTCAGCGGCGAAGATGGAGAGGGACTCGCGCAAGTGGTTGTAGAGCGCCATCGTGGGCCTCTTGCCGCACGTTGGAGCCTTCCTCTCGACCACATTGCAGAATTCCTGAGCTCGGTCACGCGCCCGGGAGGGGGGAAGTTCCCCTCGACTTTGACGGCTCGCTTACGGGAATGCGCTGCAATACGACAGGGTTGCACTGCCGGGTCATCTTGCCTTCGGGTAACGATATACACTAAAAGGGCAAGCGAGCTGTGGAGATGATACGGGAATCCATGGTGGTGGCATACCACCGTTGGCTGGTAGCGCTTCATCCCACGATGAATATGAACGCTTAGTTCAGGCTAAGGATAAATAAAAGCTCGCTCTGCAGTATTGCTAACTTGCTCCCTGTAACGCCTCGTGTTGGCCATACTGTTCCTGTGCCGGTTTCTTGCCCATTACACGCCATATCCAGCACGGTCTCTAGCTTTGCGGACTACCGGTAACCGTTGCTTCCGTAACAAATCAAGGCTGGTTGTTTCCCACTCCTGAGCTCGCAGCGCTCTCTCCGACTTTTACTTCATCCTCTGGGACCCCAACGCCGACGCTACTGACGCTGGCGACGCTCTGGCTCGTCATACCTCGACCTCGCTCCGGCCTCGATGCTACCACGTCGCGTGGCCCTGCGATACCGGCGCCCCCTGCGGTCGCAACGCTCGCACTCGCTGTGGTGCTAACACTCTCGCTCCTAGTGCGGCTTGTTTCACTCGCTCGCCTGCTTTGAAGCATCCTCTCGAGATCCCTGATGCGCCGCTTCAGCGCCTCGTTTTCCTTTTTCGCGGTTTCGAGTTCGCTTCGGTAGAACGCAGTCTCTTCGTATCGTGTCGTTGCTGCCATCATGCCGGGGCTCATCTGGTCGGCGATGCTTCCGCTTCCAGGTGTGGCCGCAACAGAGCTCATCGGTACAGACGCTGCCGGTGGGACCCTTTGCTGGTGGAAGTAGCTTGAAGGATCTAGCGACGAGACTTGCGGACCGGGGGAGTTTGTCTGACTGCGTCTCGAGGCGGCGCTATCCTGCCGTGAAAGTGGTATTGGCTGCGGGGGACGAGCAGGGATATGGTGTCGGGCCTCGTACGATGAAGCGAGCTGGCTCACGGCGATATTCTGTGACGCTGAAGAAGAATTGCGGTGGTGCCGACGCGTCGTGGGAATGCTGAATCCGGAGCCAGAAAGGAGCGAGGCTTCGGCGATCGGATCGTGCGTCGAAGTGGCAGCAGACGTGGACGAAGTGTTTGAAACGACGGACGCGTTCTGGGCCGCGCGTAGAAGAGACAGCTCTCGTGTCAGTCGGTTTACCTGTAATCGCGTCAGGAAAGCCCTTGTAAGTGGGAACGAGGCTACTACGCACCACTGCCTCTTGTTCTTTTTCCAGTTGCGTGTGCAATTCCGCAGCCGTCAGCGGCCGTGGATGTCGCAGAGGGCCGGGCCCTGGTCCCACGCCGGGTTCTGTGAAGGATGCCAGCTGCGGCTGCAGTGGCTGGGACGCCGCGAGCTGTGGTGATGGCACAGACGAGGGGCCATGGCTCAAGCTGTGATGACGACTGTGGGTATGGCTGTGGCTGCTGTGCCCGTGACTGACGACATCTTGGTTGGAGGGGAGGATATTGAGAGACGGCGACTGGGAAGAGGCCGGCGGAGGCATCTGGTGCGAGGACTGTCGTCGAGACGCGGCCAAGGAGTGCGGCGAAGCAGGCACCGAGTTGAGGTCTGGCATAGCTTGTTTTCGGGACGAGTGGTCTGCAGACTCGGTGGTGACTGCTGTGTCGAAAACAAGCTCCAGAGCCGCTCGTCGCGTGAGAACGGTGTGCGGAGATGAATCAGGGGACGAAGGGTTTCGGCACAAATCTGCAGCAGTTGAATGCTTGGCTAGGTGGAGGGTGGAGGACGGCACCCGTCCGCCTCACCACAGGTGAGTCCAATGGAACCTGCGGAAAGTGCCTGGCGCATCACAGACCGGTGGTGCGTGGTGGGACGGCCGACGGGCGCTAAACTACTTCCACCAGGCTCTCAAAGCCCCTGAGACATCGCTGCCGGTCGAGCCCCAGCGTCCCCAGCGGGTACCTAGTGGTAAAGGTGGCGCCACAACGGCTGTGCTGCGACATTAGGTGCCAGAGCTGGTGCAGCGGCTGGAGAATTGAGTGCCCTTGGTCGCTTTACATCAGAGTCGCGGCTTGATTTTCCGACATGAGATGCTTGGTGGCAGGGCACAGTTGACAAGAAAGAAAGGACGCATTCTTAAGCAGCACGCCGAGTCAAGTTTGAGTTTCGATCGTGTCCGCTGTTGCGTCCCCGGACGCTTGAGATAGGCGCTGTCGAGATTTGAGGCTTTGGGCAGTAGCAGTCTTCCCGAGACACGAATCTTGGGGGGAAAAAAGGGACAGAGGATAGGACAAGCAAGCTCGCCAATTATACCATTCCGACAATCTATAGTTATCTAGCGGCCCAATACTACACTGCCTGCTTCAAGTTGTTCCTCAACTGGCAGCGTGCGCTGTAATCCACTAGGGGCTCCACCGAGGAGCATTTGCTCCCCAGAACTCTCGTCATCTTGACACCATCTCGATCATGCTGTCAACTGCCGCACTCTATCGAGACACTGGCAGCAGGTGATGATGTAAGGGACAGCTATGACGCCATAATCTTTTCCTGTGCCATAAAGGCCGCTGAACGCCACAAGAAGTGAGCGAGAACGCCCAGTCAAGCACACGAAAACGAACCTCGTGTATCATTCACAAGCTACCTGCAACAAGGAATCGCAATACCAAAACAAAACAAACCTGCACAACCTCTCAACATGCCCGAAGGCCATCAGTCCCCGCCGCCAGAGCAGCAGTCTGGCCGCCAGCTACATGATCCCCCCGCCCATGGCCAGGGCACAGACGACGCCAAGAATAAGGACAAGACGCTGAAGAAGGAGATTGAGAACCTTTCATCAAATCCAGAGGGGCCAATGGATAGCTCCCTCAAGGACAAATTCTCTAAGAAGCAGGGCAATTGTAAGTGACATCGCAGGATGAGGCTATGGAGGTGGTTACTGACCATACTTGAACAGAAACCCCTACACTTTTGGCGCCTTTGTCGTATTTATTTGCTTCATTCATTACATGCGATGTCAAAATATTGGGCTAGGAGTTGAACTAGTAGTGAACCATCGGATAGAATCATATACTCTGCATTACTATTGCTCCTAGGAAATTGAGGTACCGGCAGCTTGTGGTCGTGCTTAGGGTCATGAGATCGATCGCGGCCACGGACAAGCACCCCCACCACTCAAGAAACAGCAACTAGGCCTTCTTTGCCTCGTCAATGTTGACCGCGGGAACAGCCTCGGTGGGGACAGCTTGAGCCGGAGCTGTCGTCCCGACTCCCGCTCCGCCGGCGCTTGGCGCTGTGGTCGCCGCAGCGCCCTCTGCTGGCTTCTCCTTCTCCTTCTCCTTACCAAACACCCTCTCCAGGCCAGCTGCCTTGTATGCGCTACCGCCGTGCTCCTCCTTTTTCAGATCTGCCAGCCGCCTCGCCTCGTTGTGGATATCCTGCACCTGGCGCGAGCCATCCGTGTAAAACTTGACGAGTTTCTTGCCCGTGGGCGTGTTGCTGGCCTTCTCGAAGTAGGAGCTGATCCCAGTAAGGAGGCTGTTTGCCCGATTAGAGATGCCGTAGCTCTGGTCCGTCGCCTTGGCTCGGTCCGAGGCGTGGTACTTTTGGTCCAGGCCCTGGAGCGTGCTGACGAAGCGGTTGGAAACGCCGTGCTTGGTGTCGAGATCGATGGCACGCTCGATGGCGGCGTCCCCGACGACGTATCCGTGGGCAAGGTACTCGGCCAGGATTCGCGCGCGGGGCTTCTCCTCCTGCGTGAGCTCGTCCGAGTCGCGATCGGCATTCTTGGTGTAGTGCGAGCCGTCGTCGATGTTGTCGCCACTCGCGCTGGCGACGGTAATGTGGTTGGGCCCAAGTTGGGTGTTGTTGAGGAGCAGGGCCGTCTTCATGGCCGTCTCCTTCTCGAAGGTGACCTCGGCATCCTTGGTCTCGCCGGCGGCAGTGACCTTGAAGTCTGCGATCTTGCCGCTGCCGCGACGTGTCAGCAAAGGTTCCCACCGCGCAGGATGAAGGACGTAGGATTACTAGCTTACCAGAAGCTGAAGAAGTCCTTCACTTCCTTGTCGCTAGTCGAAGAAGCGATGTTCTTGACGTTGACGGTCGATTTGGTCGCCATAGCTGCTACCCCGCTTTGGGATGCGTCGAATGTTTGGAGGGAGAGTCAGATACACTGAGGCGGATTAGAGGCAACGTCTGCACGATACTGAAATGGAGATTAACAATTTAGGTGTTCCGAGTCGGGTGAGATTTCTTTTGGGAGCTGGTGAGAGCAGAAAGAAGTGGCTGGCGCGCTTGTGGGCGCGCTGCTGCCCACAGGTGCGTCGCAAGTGAGGGGCAAAGTAGCAACGTCATCGTCGTCCGGCACATGCTGGCGGGCGGCCGCTGCCCGCTAAGCCAGTAGGAAAAGCCGGTTTCGCGCCGCCGGCCAGGCAAACGTCATGAGCGAGTGAGCCCACCAGCGGTCGGCCCAGCACCCAGTAAACTTCAGGCAGCAAGCTCGGTGCTTCGCATCGCGGTACCAAAACCAACACTAATCTTCTGTCGCCGAGGGCGGCCATGTGCCAGCATCAGGGTACCTAGCTAGCTACTGTTTCCCTACAGCAGTTGACGCGTCGTTTTAGGCTTGCTCTCCAGAGCTGTTGCTTGGCATGGCTGCGGCCGCCGCTGGCGTCACCACCGCGCCAGCCACCTCAGACGCAGACGGGTTGCCAGGTGGCTGAAGCGTGCCCTGGCCACGCCGTCTTGTCCTCATTTACACCACAGAACGTCCTGCCCATTTCCTCGACACAAAGCCACTAATAATTACCACACCAGGCATTCCTATGCCGTCTACCCTTGTTCACGGACCAGCAGATTCGGCGTTGACGCGGCCTCGCTTTTAGACAAATTCTGCCATCTGGAAGAGAGACCTGTACGAAGTATTAAAACGTAGTTGGCGTCGGTGTATCGTTACGCAACTCCTCCTCGCATTCGGCTGTGTCCATCCTGCGAACCGTGGCATCCAGCATGACATGACATGCAGGGCACAGAGTGTCTCATCTGCAGGGGCACTGCAGCCCCGATTTTCTTTGCTTTCGCCGCAAGTACTGCAAGTCATCGCCAGTTCCATTCTTCTATACCAGGGCAGACAGTATCGCGTTTGCGGAGTTGATCAAGCGGTGACTGTGGCTCGCCAAGGGATTCTCACCTGTGCCAGAGGCAACGGCTAACACAACCAACGAGCACGACGACAGACGCCTGCGACCAAGGGGTCGCGTGCCAAAGCTCTTAAAGAGACCATTCGTGGACACCTTCCTAGGCACTGCGAGACTAACAATCCGGGCTCTCAGTCTTCGTGTGGGCAGGAGGTTGGCTTTAACATACCGCAAACGTGGCCGGTTCAATTGCTCATGCTTCTTGCAGGTGGTATCTGGCAGCTTTGTGCAGTGGTGCACCAACCGTCCTTCCATTGCATTGGACATTGCGCCTCATTGGCAGAGCATGGCGGCCCAGCAAGTGGCCACGTGGGCACTTGACCGTTTGGTGATGATGCATGTCCTTCGCGAATTCGTTACTCTGCTTCGTTGTCGGTCAGCAGCTCTTCGTGCATTCCTCCATAAGCCATCGATCCTCGTCAATTGAACCAATTGTGGTTGACACGGCCGGGGTGTTCGATCTGAGCCAACGCCCCGCGAGGGCCAGTGCGGGCGATTTCGCAGCGTCCAGTTTCAAAGCGTGACCAACACCCACTGCATTGCGGGCTCACACGGAGGGGGCGACGGCTGACCTGGCTACGATAAAGGCCGCCCGAGTCCCAGCCATTCGCTCGTGGAGTGGCGAGGGAAGCTTCCCCTTGTCAACGCTTGCATTCAAGAATTCGGCTTTGGCTTGACTTCTTTTCATCTCCACCATTTCTGTCCTTTCCCTGTCCGTCGGCTGCCTGCACCCTTGCACTTGCGTTCTTGCGGATTACCGGGGCGGTGAGACCTTGGGCCCGCCGGGCGTCCGGCTCCGAGTAGTAGAGGATTCCCAACGCGACTGAGCACGCAAACATACCGGCGACCTTGGTATGACGTCGTCTGTTATTATTGCAATGAGTACAGCCAGGGCAATACTTATTGATCGCCTGGCAAGCTGGCGTCTCGGGCCGTTCAACATGCACGCTACACGTTTCGACCGTCTAGTCTCTTTCTTCGAGAACCCCGTGCCGGCACGGACAATGGCGGCCTTTCATCGCAGCTTCTCCACACTCAACGAAGAAAAAGTCCTCAACATCATATGGGTCGCCATCGTCGGGCTCGAAATCATGATGATTCTTGGCGTCGCCGTCAAGAGCATCGTCCAGCGCCTCAGCTACAACCAACCCGGCTCCATGTCGGGGCCAATTGCGTTGTAAACTACCAACTACCACGACCGAAACGACTCATGATTATGGAAGCCTTACATGTTCATTTGGGGCGATTTTGACGGCTTCGGTTCAGTTTGTTTCCAGTCCTGGCATAGCAGCACGGCGTTTGAACAGGCTTCGGGGCGAAGGTTTTGACATGGATTCCGCGATGGTTCACATTTGTCGACTTCTTTCTTTATCTGTCAGTGACTTGCATCGGGGGAGAACAAAAGTCAAAGTGATGCATAAGAAAGGGAGGAGTTCAGGACATTTAAATTCAGGTGCCATCATGCTTCTTTACTACCAGAGTATATTGGTTAAAATTTACCATCAGTTGATATCCGCGCGCAACAACACGGGACGGTAATCGCTTTGTACAAGTGCAGCGCTGGGCCAATACATAAGTTTCTTCAGTACAAGGGGAGAGTTCCCTCCGTCTGTGCAAAGGCCTTCTCCAGAATGTCAAGCCCTTCCTCAATCTGCTCGGCCGTGACCGTGATCGGAGGCGCGATCCTGAAGACACCTCCAAAGCTCGGGTGGCTACTCAGATTCGCCCACAGTCCAAGACTGTAGGCCAAGTCTCCTACGCGCTTGGCCAGCTCGTTCGCAGGCGCCTTGGTTTCCCGATCTTCGACAATCTCGACGCCCGCCATCAGTCCTCGGCCGCGCACCTGGCCGATGCAGCCGTATCGGGAGTAGAGCTTCTGCAGTCCGGTATGAAGAACCTCGCCCATCTTGCGCGAATGAGCGACCAAGTCGTCGCGGAACAGAATCTCGAGCACCTTGTCGCCGACAGCTGCGGGGAGAGGGTCATTGACGTGCGTGGTGTAGAAGAAGTAGCCTCTGTCGGCGGCCTCCAAGCCGATCTTGTCGCTGGTAATAACGGCACTGAGCGGAAGGCCATTTCCGAGGGTCTTGGAAAGGGTCAAAATGTCGGGAACCACATCCTCGTGATTGATGGCCATGAAGTCTCCGCACCGACCGACTCCCGTCTGGGCCTCGTCGACAATAAGCAACATTCCTCGTGCCTCGCAGTGCTTCTTCAGCGCCTTGAGGTATCCCGGCGGCAGAACGTGCATACCACCGGAGCTCTGAATGCACTCAACAATGCAAGCGGCGAGTGATCCACAGGACTGCAGGTCAATCATCTTCCAGCCATGGTCCAGCTCGGCTTCCCAATCGTACGACCCATCTGACTTCCTGAATACCGAGCGGTAGGCGTTGGGTGCCGGCAGCATGTGCATGCCCGGCATCAGCGGGCCATGGCCACGACGGCCGAAGTGATATTGGGTGCCCTGCGCCTGTGCCGTCATGCCGTGCCACGACGCGCCAATGCCGACAATCTCGAACTTGCCCGTATAGACCTTAGCAAGCTTGATCGCCGCCTCGTTGCTCTCTCCACCAGTGGACAGGAAGAAGGCTCGGTCAAGTCCGTCGGGGAGTGCCTTGCAGAGACGCTCCCCGAGAGAAATGACTGGGGGAGACACCATCCCAGAGAACAGGTGGTCGAGGTGGAGAGCATGGTCGTAAATGACCTTGACAATCTCGGGGTGTCCGTGGCCAAGAAGGCAGGACATTTGGCCCGAGGTCCAGTCCAAGATGCGGTGCCCGGAGGCAGTGTAAATGTACAGCCCGCGAGCGCCAGTGATTACATCTTGGTGGAACTTGGAGCCATAGTAAAGAAGATGCTTGTCTGACTTGGCCCGCAGCTCATCTTCGTCGAGACCTTGGTAAAGATTAGGCACGGCGTCCTGCTTGGACAAGATTGCCAAGGTGCCTTCATCATCGACAATGGCACCGGGCGCCATGTTGAAACCGACGTCTGGGGAGAGCGTGAAGGTTTGCCGTAAAATAGCAGCGTGTAAGTCGGAAATAGGACAGACAGGTCGTAAACTCGCTCGCGAAGAACCAGGCTTATTCCAATTTTACCACGCATCATCATCGCACACCACCTTGGCCTATATATACCCATCTCCAACGTCGCCTCGTTCAGGCCACCACCCCTCGTTCCGATATCGTATCTCGGCAGTCCCAGTTCTTTTCGTAGCCCAAGCTTCCCGCGGACAAGCTGACCCAGAAACAGTTTCCCGGTGCGGCGGAGTCGGTGTGGGGCCGGTGGCGCCCGCCGTTACTCCACCACTCACCCACACATGTCCCGCAAACTCTTCGCCCCCGAGCTGCGTAACCTTTATGTCACTCATTAAGTCTCTTTTGGACAAAACCTTGGCCCCCTTGGCCTAATGGTCAAGGCGCAAGACTTCTAATCTTGAGATTGCCGGTTCGAGTCCGGCAGGGGGCTTCGTTGGCAATTTTTGCTCCTGGCGGCGATTATTGCATCCGTCTTTTTGCCTTCTGAATCATGGCGTGTTTCTTTTTGGTCCATTCATCGGTCTGCCTAGCTCCAAGCAGGTGCTTTTTACGTGAAAACATGCCTCACGATTGAAAGTCCGATCAACGCGGCGCGAGGTGATGTGGGAGCCTCGTTGAGTCACACTCGTCGTACTACCGAGACCGTACGAACCACGAAGTCGCTGTCGCTTCTTTCATCTACCAGACATTCTGCATGGAATCCCAGAGGCTGGGAAATATCTGGTCAATCAGTGACGCGTCAGGCGTTGGCCAGTCGTCAAGGCTTCCGCTGCTCCGGCCACCCGAGTCGTCCGGCGCTATGCCACGCAGCATCTTGTCCACCACCTCTGCGTGCTGCGCCAGACACACGTCCGCCAAGTCCCACGAATACTTGTCGTGGTGACTCTGCAGTGTTGCGACTAGATCCCTCGCGATGCGGAACGACGTGCTTTGCGCCAAACCCGCGAGCGAGCTCTCCGACTCGAGAGCACAACGTAGAAGGAAGTTCACGGTCGCGGGAAACGAAAAGGCGCTGACTGACATCCAAAAATCACCGAGGTGTTGCGGCTGCAGCTCCTGAACTAGAAGCAATATTTCCTCCGAAGTCCGCCGCGCCTGTATGTAGCGGTTCAAGAGGTGTTGGTTGTCGGCGCTGTACGACTGCTTGTCCGACTCAAGCTGGATGCGCTGCAACAGGAGGCGCGTCGTAAGGTACGCGAGGCGCAGATTAGCCGCACCTGGATTGTCCAGATGCGACCCGCGCAGTATTATCAGTCGCGTGCTCCCTGTCAGCGACTCAACCCAGCTGTTGAGCGCGAGCTCAAGTTTGGACGTGTCCCACGACGAGTCTCGCCCGGCACAGTAGACATGCTGCAGGTGGCGGTCTAGTACGTCCGTCAGGCCATATAGTGCCATGAAGACCGTCGCTGTCCGCACACGTCTATCCGTCGCGTCTGCGTCGCAGAGATGTTCCAGCAGCGGCGTTGGGACATCGTACTGATCCCGTGCGATGCGCGGTGGCGTGCCGTGTGCTAAGCTTATCCTGCGGGGCATTAGCCATGCATTTCCACGCTGCAGTGTAACGTGGAGAGACTGACCACCTGTCATGGATCAGGAGAGCCCACCAAAGCTTCATGCGAAGGTTCTTCTCCGACTGTGGGATGCTCCATGGTAGAGGGTTGTGATTTAGTCCAAGTGAGTGTGCCATGGACACCGCAGATCCAAGCAGCACACCGTTTCCTATGAGCGAGGTGGTGGGTCGGCCTCCGATGTTGAGCAATATTGCCTTGATGATGGGCATGCCTGGCGACAGGTGAAGTTCCGAGTAAAGGGCCTCGTTTGCCAGGTTCCACACGAACCTGCTGTCTGGGCATCTGTGTTGCGATAGTGTCGCGGAGTGTCTCCAGTATACGATGGCGTTGGCGTACAGACAGGCCAGGAGCGCGGGCGAGACCCGATCCTTGCCCTCCTGATACTGGTGGCGGAATGAGTCTTCATCCAACAACGGGAGGCAGTCATTGGCCTTGGCAAAGAACCTAGTACAGTTAGCATCGGAAAGATTAGCTGGGTATGCATCCCACGCACTCGTTGATAAGTGCCGCTAGGTAAGGCTCTAGCAGTTTCTCGATCATCTCGAGCTTCTCTGCCGATGGACTTCGGTTCAGCTTAATGCCCACGGGGCGTTTCTGGACCATGGTAAAGAGGACTGGCCGGGAGCGGCCGGCTGACTGAGGAACTACCATGCGAGTGCTTCGCATAGCCTCCGGGATAGTGGCCAAGTACTCGCACAGGAACTGGCTGTCATTAGTGTCGGTGGGCCCAACAATGTGCAGGTTTACGTTGACATCGTCCGCCGAGGAGCCCAGTGCGACGGGAGACTCTTCGTTGTTTGCGGTACGGGTGAGTGGCATGCCTGGCGCAGAGGGCGTGGTGCTAGGCAAAGGCCCATTGCTAGGAGTAGGGATTGTGTTTCTCTGCTGCGCCGGCTTTGCGAACCGAGTCCCGGCGATCATGGTGTTCCCCGTTACCCCTGAGGGCCGGGGAACGCCAGCGGCCGTTGCTGCCCGGGCCGAAGCTGAGTCCCCGGCCACCATTGAAGAAACCCTCGCCGGAGTGGAGGTGCTTGATAGCCTGGAATTGGCCGTCCGACGGACGCGACGATTGGCCGCCTCGGCGCCGCCCATCTGTTGGGATCGCGGGCTATCTGGGAAGTAGCATTCGGTGCGGTGAGCCCGGCAGGTTACACACATGTCGGACCCGGCCTCCGTCTGGCATCGCGACTTGCGCCGACGGCACGGCACGCAAGCCGGACGGAGGTGGGACCGGTACGGCCGTTCTGCCTGCCCCGCCGTCGCCGCGGAGGCGATTGGGCCATGATTCTGCTGCGGTTGCTGCTGCCGCTGGTGCTGATGCTGATGCGCCTGTTGCATGATTCCCGCTGGGCGTCCAATGCGCGCAGGAAACGATGGCTTTGGCGGTGCCTAACGGACTCGGCGGTGCCTTAAACGAATGCTGTTGGGTAGGGTGTGGGAGTTTGCCGCGGGGAACTAGCCCGTGGTGTTGAACCTGTGAATTGGGGACGTCTGATGGGTCACGGTTGGTGGCTTGCCCACATATTCCAAGATCGCCCTGGAGAAACGTCTTAGATAAGGGGAATTGGGTTCAAGCCAGGGCCACCTCGCCGGTGGCAGAGATTGCACCTGTCCGGTAGTTTGCCTCTGCAACAGTTGGCCGAGGCCACCTCTCGAGCACACCGTTTGATGGTGCATCAGGGGCGCAACGCGACGACGTTACGCATCAACATCGCGGGCGATTTTGGCCGCGCATCTGGTCAACCTACAGCAAGGCGACCAGGAGACGTTATGAACCATGTCTTCTGTGAGTCTTCGGGGCCTTGGGCAGAATGTTTTTTGACGCATCACTTCCAGCTCCTGCTACCAACATCGGCGGGCATCAAGACACAACAGTCCCGTGACATGGTGGCTGCTGCAGACGTGGAGCAACATGCAAGCCAACCCGTGTGCTCGTGGGGATGCTCAATACGTACCTGTCACCAACCCCCAGGGGCACCGTTTGAGCTTTGCATGGACACCGTATGGCCCCTGGTCTCGAGTCTCGACCGTTCCCCAGAGTCCCAGACATTTCGGCCGGGCGGAAAACGCGGGCGCGCGGCGGCCCATGTGGAGTTGGCCGCGGGATACCGCCAGAGAAGTCAGACCAACCGGACGGGGGTCGACTCGGGCATTGCATAACACTTACGGAGTACTGCATCAGCGAGTTTTCTCCAGGAGAGACTGTTGGTCATCGACTTTGCTGGTTGTAGCCGTGGCCAGTGCTTTGCCTGAGCGCCACTGTCCCGGACCAGGTGATGCCAAGGGCAGCGCGGCCTGAAAGTGGTGCGTCCACTGGAAGCAGAGACAGCGCTGGCAACCCGCTACCAACCGATGACAACCAGAACTACATGTGCTTGCACCTCGAACCGTCCACAGGTCCCTGCAGGCCTCGTTGCAATCCGGCATCGGGCATCCAACATCCAAGCCTCGGGCTTTTCTCATGTCATAGAAAGTCCAGTGTCGGCGATCAATTGTCATCAGTTCCGCTGTGCCCGCGGAAAACGAACCCCCGGGGCTGGCTGCATTCCAGGTGGCGGGCCCCTCCACCCCACCACCCCATGGTGGCCCATAGCCCACTCGACGAAGCCGGCGAGAGTCCTCGTACCGTCAGTGGCCAGACGACCTAGAAATTGCCCGTTTAGGCAGCATGAGCATTGATGAGGAACAATTCCGACCATTGCAGAAAAGGGTCCTAAGACAAATGGCCCCTGCAATTGATGCCTCGAAGCATAGTATAATGTATAGCATCGTCACTAGTATGCGCTTTGTAGTCTTCCGTGTTCACAACCGATATGCGCGGAGGGTCGACACCGCTTTCGCCTGGATGTGCCGGGCAGTGGCAGAAGTGGAACACAGCAAAAGCTTCACTGCAATGTAGGTCTTGTAGTTGTCAATGTGCTTCGTAAAATGTATAGTTTGATTGAGCGGACATTGGCCAGTCTGGCTCTTCGAGCCCGTACTTGTGACTCCTGACTCCCGATCTCTAACTCCTAACTTCCTCTCAAATACCCACCACCAGTAAGGACTGCAAGTCCACAGACAGGTATCAAGAACGCCATTGTCGAAATGCACACCCAACTCCACTTCGGCATGCCAAATGCGCTCGGCGATAGTTAGGCTAGATCCCGTAGGTGTCAAGACATTATCAGGTGTTTCTGGCCGCTGCTCGCAGCCATGGCAACGTCAGGTTGCTCGTCGATCATACCGTCGCTGCTGCTCAACATGTCCCAGTCTGGGACCTCGTCGAGTCCTATCACCGCCCTCTCCCCCCAACTGGCTAGCGTCTCAAGTTCGTCTTGGATCTCCCCGAACCTGTTGATGAGGTAGTGCTTTTCTGCCCGGCCACGATCGATCGCGCCATTGGTGAGCATGATCATACAGGCCAGTTCATAGTTGACTTTGTGTTCCGGTTGCTCCCTGGCATTGTGTCCTTCCATCAAGGCCGTAAGGCGCTCGCTGTCGGCCACCATGCGATCGATCGTGTCCTCTAGCATGACGATGCCGCGCCCGGCATGTAGGAGGGATTCCAACGTGGTTCGGAAAAGGGGGCACTCAAACTGCAGCCGGGTCCTTGGAGCCTGTCCACCGACAGGGAACCGTCGTCCATCCACAACAATCAGATCGTCCCACGTCTTGTCCTGCCACGACTCCTTGGTCATATGGTTGCGGATCTCACATCGTACCTGGTAATAGCGGTGGAACACGACTTGGCCGGGACACGAGTCCGGGTCGACACATAGGTGGGTCTTAACCGCCGTGCGGCAGCACCCGTGCTTGTCGCAACGCAGCCACGGCTTTATCTTTGCGCTTCGCGGGCAAGAGCAGGTGTGTGGCTCGGCGTACCCATCCACGAACCTGGTATGACCGTTGGAGAGGACCGGCCGCACGTCACAGCGCATCATGTGCGAGACGATGCGATAACACATCTTGGTTCAGGATATCGAGGTGAATTCCTGGCGAGGTTTGAGCGGCTCGCCTTGCGAACTGGTGCATTCAGCTCCGATGAGCCTGGGAAGAATGGAAGTAAAAATAAAGGCACGGGTCCATTGGCTGGCAAAACGATGTATATAGGTGCCGGTTCAACAGCCGCACCGCGGGCCAACGTGCTGGCTTGAGGTTCGTATCGTGCCAAAGAGGGTTAAAGTTCGACAGTACCGCCCCAGAATGACTGCGGCAGTACATATATGTACTGTCCCACGGACCGGGACCTCGATTCAGGGCATGCGTCTCCGGGTCTGATATGCAACTGCTTTTCTGGCAGCCGCGGTTTAATCTTTGCAGTTCTGTTCCTTTGGTAGTAGTGAACAACACCACTCATAATCTGCAGGTCAAAGGAGTAAAAGGGCTTGCGACTAACAAACCACTGACAAAGCGACAATGCGGCTCCAGACCAGACATACTCGCAATGACTGACTAACAAAGAAGGGGGCCCTTTCGATTCTCTTCAACACCATACGACGGCAACGCTTTGCGGCTCATTGTTGCACCAGATGTCGAGGTGGCCAGACCATGCGTGAGCTGCCGCAGCTGCACAACTCAAAGCACTGTACTTTTCGTCGCATTCTTTCCCAGCATCAGATGTTCACGAAAAAGAAAGTGAATCAAGGAGAAGCCTGTGAAAACAGACCCGTAAATCTCCGGGTGGCCTTTTTCTGCATTCGCTTCATGTCTTGGGTTGCCCTCGCCATGACAGGACAGCCCCGCGCCTGTTAAGCATGTCACTGCTGCTACCCGAAATGACAGAGGACATGAGATTAGTTCGACAGCTTGTCTTCATATTCAGAGGCTTTCATATACAGATTAACCTGCGAGTAGAGGGAGTCGTCGGGAAAGATTGACATGGCTGATCGCCCACAAGAACACCCAGCGGCCAAATTTCACGGGACAATCAACGCTCATAAGCCGAACAGCATCTCGATGCTCATCAGAACATCTCCCGAAGGTGCGAGAACACGGTCCCGTCCGTGGTGAATATGCCGTTGGCAGAAGTGGGGGAGGCCAGTTCATGTGGAGGCACGTGGCCATCACTACCGTTGTACTGAAAGCCATTCAGACCAACGTAGCCCTCGAAAATCCTCGACAGCTCGCTCTGAATCTTCTTGCCGTTGTGATCTACTTGCGTCTCCTGCGTCTGCTGTGGTGTGGGCATGCCAATGGTCGGGAATGGTGTTTGCGCAACGGGGCTCGGATGGAGGTGGCCGCGTGCAAGTCCGATCATCCCCAGGGCGGCGTTTGAGTGAGGGTCATCATCAGGATTCAAGCCGAAGCGCGGCGCGACGTCTTTAAGTGACCTGATTGTGCGCCAAAGGCGTTTGGACACCCAACTCTTGGCAGAAAGATCCTTGACCAGGTCGAGCGCCATGTAAAACTCCTCTCGGCAGACCGCGCTGAAACGAACGGGGGCATGAACCGACGCGAGGAATACGACAGAGATGGCGGACGTGAGAAACTGGTGGTAAAAGACCTGGGCCCTGCGATACAGATTCGTTGTGCTGTTGAGATGATTCAGGTACTGTATCGTGTCCTTGGCGAGATCAACGACTCGTTGCGCCTGCTGCGGGTTCGACATGATGCTCGTCGCACTATGAAGTATCGGGGTGTAGAGCCAGATTCGGATCTTTCACAGTCAGTATCGCTCGTGGCATTTGCCGCACAGATCACTTGCCTGGTTCAAGCGCAAGTACGTCCATATTCTCAGGCGCTGCAGGTTGTACGAGGGCGTCGAGGTCATCTGCTTCTCTTTGTCCCAATTTCGCACCTTTACCTCTTCCGGGACACTTTCGTACCACTGCAAGATCTCGCGGTCAAGATTATCAATCTCCTCTTGCCTCAGCTCACGGGCCAGAACGGGTCCGAAATGCGATACTTGTCTCCAAACTTTGGCACCGAGCCTGGAGTACGTGATCATAGCCACGAGGAATGGATACTCGTCCTAGGACATGTCAGTCGTGCAACATTGGTCGGGACACGGCTGCCGCTCACCGGAAAAGGCAGCTGGGGATCAATTTCGTCGTCTTGCAGGGCAAATGGTAGACCAGTTGCGAACCCCCACCTCCTGTCGAGAACGTAGGCGGACCAGAAGCTGTTGAGCGCATTCTTTCTCTCGGATTCGTCTTGAATCTTCATCAAGCCCCTCTTCTGATGGATTCCCAGTTCCACGCAGAGTCTGACGACTTGACCCATGACTCGCCAGGCGAGAACCTCGTCGTTGGACAAGAACCGATAGCCGGCCAGCAGACACAACAGTGGTAAATTGGCCACGTCGCTTACGTCTGCCATCAGTTTGCGATTCACAACCGCCTCCATGCTGTCGTACAACCGTATGGCTTTGTCACTGTGTCCGTGGTTCTCCACAACAAGCGCACAGCACATGACCATCTTGAGTTGAAGCGTTTTCTCGTCGTTGATAGCCTCCATGGGTCGTTGCTGGTTCCTAGCAGACTCCAGAAACGGCGCAATGTTCTTGGCGTGGGCGATGACAGTGTGAATATTGAGAACGGGATACATGATCCCAATCTCATCCTCGTGGAAACGACAGAGCCTGACCATTTCGTCCTTGTCAAACTCAAACAGCGGGTCATAGGGCGCACTCCCCATCTGCATGGTAACGTCACTCGACTGCTGGTCCTGGTCGTCGGGCTCGTCAATGCCACGGTAGCCCATGTTGGAAATGGTAGTATTGGCGACATCCAGGCTAAAGGCCATGCTCGTAGGTCCTCGGAAGGCTGCCGATTTGCCGTGCGATGACAAGTCGGGTCGCTGCATCGACGTGGAGCTCTGTGAAGGTGACAGAGCAATGACCGAGTTGGACGACGGCATCATGCGGTCATTTGGGGGGACCAGTCGAGACGGGTCGGCTTGTAGAGACCTTATGGTCTGGTTGAGCCAGTTCACCTCATCCTGGAGGCGGCTGAGCTGCGTTGTGACGTGCTTGAACTCATCTGAATCCTTGAAGTTGTTTGAGCAGCAATTTGGTGCGTACAGACAAGCGAGGTTGAGATTTCCGCATCGCTGGCATGGCGTTTCGCCGTTGCACTTGATCTTTCGTCGCTTGCATTCATTGCTGCGGCAAGGACTTGTTAGAAGCCGTGGGCGGCGCAAGACGCAGTCTCGGATACAACGTCGGATGCTGACAGTGACTCACCATGCTATAGAGATGTACTAATGTCAAAGAGACGGTATGTCAGCGGGACATTTCGAATAATTCAGACGGCCATGCAAGAAGTTCTGCGAGACTCGAGAGACCGCGGTACGAGGTGCGAAATGATCCACCTCACCGAGTGACGGGTCACACGGTGCGCCCCTGGGACGCGTAGCACAAGGGGAGCATACGTTGGGCGGAGGCCCACGGCTGCGCAGCATCCATCGCGGGCTCATCCGTCGCGCCACGGCATCGCCGCTATCGATCAAAGGCGAACTTACCCGGTTCCTCTTGCTCCGTGTCTGCTTCTGGCCGGACCCGGGGCCGTCGTCGACTGACTTGCGCTTGCTCGCGCCGCTGCCGGCGCCGGGACCACCGCCTGCGGAATTGTCTCCGAATGTCGCGGAACCTGCTGGGCTTCCCTGCTGCGGGCGCGGCTGCGGCGTCTCGTACGAGACACTCGCGGAATCGCTGAGCGCAACCGGAGCCGCCTGGGCGAGGTACCGCAAGTCCGAAGCCTGCGTCTCGATCTGTTCCATGGCGTCGTGCCCATGAGACAGACGATTGCTCTGATAGCCTGCGACCGAGAGGGGAGTGGAAGGGGGGAGAACCGCGCGAACTGCCAGGGCACCTTCAGCCCAGCAACAGCACCGCTCTTGCCCTCAGTGCTGGGGCACAGGCGCAGCGCTGGCTCCCCCCAGCACCCAACTGACCACGTGACGCGCTCGGAAACTCAAAGCTGGCCGCCACCAACGCCAAACGCAGTCGTCCTCGGTGAATGACAGACTTGCCAACAGAGCTTCGCACGATAATTTCGCCAGAGCCAGTGTCCAACACCGCATGTCTTATGTCGGCGAACGCCCTGCGACCTGGGCAATGCCCAGTTCCGCATCTTCAAGCTGAATAATGATCGAGTCGGATTGGACAGCGGGCTCCGAAGCTCCACCATCGTGGGGCCAACGACGGCGTTCATGTTGGTTGACTGGGTGGGTTGCTTTATTACGAGCCGTAGCCGACGCCGACGAAAACCGCCAGGTGCAGATCAACTCGCGCTTGCGAATACAAAGTGCTGGACTTGATGGTTTGAAGTAGTACACCGCGCCTGTCTCAGCAGCTCATCGAATGCTCCAACCATGGGCAATACCTCGCATGCATATTAGTCTAGTTTCTAAACAGGCGAAGGCCCTCCTCCTCCGCATCCAAGCCGTCCATTTCTTCATCCCCGCTCTCATCCTCGTTGAGCTCCATCTTGCGACCGAAGAGAGTGCCGAAGAAGCGATCAATCGCGTCACCCTCCCAAGACGTTCGATCCTCTGGAGCCATGAAGTTCTGCAGCTTCTCGTGCACCGTAAAGCGCATCTTGCGGCCCTTGCTTGCCTTGCGATCGACCTGCTTGCGCACCTTGGCCTCTTTGGCAGCCGTAAGCATCACGGTCGGCACCGCGCTAGTCTGCGCCGAAGATGATTCGACGGTGCGCTGGTCCACAAGTTCCTTAAGCAGGAGCTGGTAGAAGTCTGCATCGTCGTACACAGCCTCGTCCTCCGCCATCTTCTTGGCCGCCTGTGCAGGCGCACATGACCGCGGGACGCGGGTTCGCTTGAGTAGGCGGCTCTCGGGATTGGCAAGCTGATCCTGCAAAGCACTGACAAGTGTCTTGTTCTTCTGTCCCAGTGCAGTCGGCGTCACGTTGACGCTCTGCACCTTTCGGGACCACTTCTCTAGTCGGTCCTCCCGAAACTGAACGGCAGTGGCGTCCTCATCTTGAAGCTGCCTCCAGATCGTCTCGCTGTCCATAGCAATGTCGAGGTCCCGCTTGCGCTTATCGCCCGCTTTGACGCCAAAATTCTTCCTGAGGGTGCTGATCGTGTTCAAAAGCTTAACAGCTGCTTCTTCCGCCGCCTCGTAGGGCTCTGAAGCTTCATCCAGATCAACCTCCATGGTAGGTAGAGTGTTTGCCGCGATCAGGGCTTTTTGCAACCTGATTCGTAAGTTGAGAAGGCAGTCGTAGCTTTTGCGTTGTTGCTGGATGGCAAGTCCCTTTTCGACGTCCGCTCGCTTGGAGAACGCTGCCATGTGCGGTTTGCTGTTGCGCGACTTGCCGTTGGGGCCTTCGCTCGCCTCGCTCGCGGTCTCACCGCCTTCTTCTTCTTCATCATCGTCGTCCGCATCTGATTCCTGCAGGCCACCGCCCTCTTCGTCACTTTCCACGTCATCCGATGCGGAACTAGCCCCACCATCGACCAGGGCATCAAGGCCGTCGTCCATATCGTCATCGGATTCGTACACCTCGGCGCCACTCGAATCTTCCTCTATATCCGCGCCACCCTCCCCGTTGTCATCATCCGAAGACATAAAATCGGCCGCAGTGGGTCGGTTGTTGCGCTTGGAGTTGGAGGACACCGGTTTGGAGCTTCCCCGGAAACTGAAATCGCCGAAGCGCTCAGCGTCGGACTCCGCGAGCGCATTGTCGCTGTCAATCTCCGAGTCGCTGGCTTGCAGCTCGTCTGCCGACAGATTTGCTGTTTCGGGGTCGTCGTAGATTTCATCGCCGCCGCTGCTCTCCCCCTCGCTGTCGTCCTGTTCGCTCACGTCTTCCAAAGCCGATCGGCTGACACGAGAGCCTCTGTATTGCGGCCCCAGAGATACACCTTCCTTTTCCCTCAGCTTGCTCTTCCCAACCGAAACATAGTGCTCAGTGCCCGCATGCTGATCGTCGCTGGCATCGCTGTCGCTGCCATTATCGCTCTCCGGCGCATTGGCTTCCGGATCGTAGTCTACAGATGCAGGTTAGTGATCGATTCGAAAGCTGAGGGATATCCAAGTAGCTCACCCTTGGTGACTTGCTCATCGGGGTCTTGGAAGTCCCTTGCTCGACCCTTTGGTTTGGCCATCTTGTTGCGGAATGTTTTCCAGTTGGCGCAAAAAAGGCCCCACGTTGGAAGTTTTTGATCGGGCGCAACCAGGCGAGTTGGGCCTTTGGACTTTTAGGCGGTAGCAAACGGCAGAATTCAGCTGCGCAGATGCCGCCGCCAGGGGCGCTGTGGGTGGAGGTCGGGACGGGAGGTAGGTAACTTTTAGTGGGGCCAAGTGCCCATGCTCACTGTGGCGTCAAATAAGAGCGGATGGGCATTCGCGCGACCGCGGCGACATGCAGGTCATTCAGCGAACATGCCGTAACTTGAATACGGTGTTTCGCAAGTCCAAGCTGCATCTAGCAGAAGAGACTTGGTTGTTTATGCGAGGCACGTTCTCTCACGTTCCGCGATGGCTTTTCTTCAGTACACCGTCTCTCATCGAGGTGTACCTACGATCCTTGCTGGACGTGCCGGCGCAATGCAGCCAACGTCAAGGCGCTTCTTTCAATCGCTGCGATCGCTCCATCATGAGAATCCTTTGGTACTTGACCTGCTGTCAACGCTTCTGGTCTTTTATTTACCACAAATAGGGTCTGCCCCGGTCTGGCACCCCACCGACCTGGGCAAAACGACCACAGAGGCGCAAGATCGCCGGCGTCGAAAAGGTCATAGCCGTCTCGTCGGCCAAAGGCGGCGTTGGAAAGAGCACCGTCGCAGGTTTGTCATAAGCAATCTGTCTCTTGGATCTGCCTGACTCAAGATTGTCGCAGCAAACCTGTCGCTCTCGTTCGCCAGGCTAGGCTTCAGAGCAGGTATCCTGGACACGGACATCTTCGGGCCGTCAATACCAACGCTCTTTGACCTGTCAGGGGAACCCAGGCTATCAACGAGCAAGTAGAGCCCACGGATCACGGATCTAACACACATCATGCTAATTGATTGATAGATAATCAGCTCGTGCCACTGACGAATTATGGGGTCAAGACCATGTCCATGGGCTACTTGGTAGGAGAAAATGCCCCTGTAGTCTGGAGGGGGCCGATGGTCATGAAGGCAATACAGCAACTACTTCATGAAGTTGATTGGGGGGGCCTCGATGTTCTTGTTCTGGATCTGCCTCCCGGCACGGGGGACACACAGTTGACAATTACACAGCAAGTCATTTTGGACGGTGAGACTTGTGTTGCTGGCAAACCCAAAGACTGGGCGCTGACGGCATATAGGTTCGTTAATCGTCACGACGCCACATACCCTCGCAACAAAGGATGCCGTCAAGGGCATCAACATGTTCAAAACTGTGGACGTCAATATCCTCGGCCTCGTACAGAACATGTCGCTCTTCAAATGTCCCCACTGTCATGGGGTGACAAATGTGTTTGGTACCAACGAAAGAGTCAAGCGTCTGTGCGCCGAGCACGAGATAGATTTCCTTGGAGACATACCTCTGCATCCAAACATCGGCGATGACGGCGAGCGAGGGAAACCGACTGTTGTGTCCGAACCGGACAGCGACAGGGCAACGGCATTCATGGACATTGCGAGGGCAATATGCCCCAAGGTGGGCCTTCAGCATGGCTAAAGTCATTGCCGCTGCAGAGCACAGCCCCGCTGGAGAAAGTTCAGCTTGTATAGTAGAAAGATGTGCTCTAGTTTCATCTACGGAAGTTTCGGCCTTATCGCAGCTAGGTACAAGCTCCACGACCAATGTAATGCGCAAGTGGTATCATAAAGCCAAATTCTTGCAGTCCCCATTCCTCCGCTGGCCAAACGACCTGAATCTCTAGTGATCTTGCCACTGACATACCGTGAACGCCTCGTAAGCCTGACACCCGTGTCCCTTATTGTCAAGGCGCCCTAGTCTCGGATAGGAAACAAAAATGGTGCAACCCTCCCAAACGCCGGGTATATGGTCTCCTAGGTATTGGTACAACCCTCCCAACGAGGCGATCAATCAACCTCCTGGGTCTCATCGTAATGGGGACGGATTCGGGCCTGGTCTTTGCGCATAGCCTGTCCGGAGCCTGTAAAGCCAACTGCCAAGATATGTCAGCTTGTGATGAATAGAAGTGGTGCCGAAGCCTTACCTCTTCCGTGGATCCCGTCAGGCGTGCGGAACATGCTCTCCTTTTTCTTGGTCTTGCCGAACTTGGACTTGGCGTTGAACTCCTGCCACTTGTTTTTGCTGGCCTCAAGCTCCTTCTTTGCCTTGATCTTCTTCGGCTTCGGCGGCTTTGCAGCTTCGCCTTCATCCTTGTTGTCCTTGTTCGCTTGGGGATACATAGTCGCGTCGGCCGAAGAAACGAGTCCTGGCGCTGATGAGACAGCGGCCGACGAGGCGGCAGCGGCGGGTGGGCCGTCAGCCTTTCGTTTATTCGAAATAGGACGCAGGTCTTTGGATCGGAGCGTCTCGGTCGTATCGTAGCTTTTGAACTTGACAATGTATATGGGCGCGGTAGAGGACCCTGTGATGGAAGTGATCTTGGCAGGGTAGAAGGCTCGATCACCCGACACCCACTTGGCCAGAACGTTGTCGTTGACCTGGTAGTTCACCGGAGCGTCCTCCTTCTCCTCGGCGACGGGGGCAGCCTTCTTGAAGGCAGGATGATTCTCTCGAGACCACTTCTCGGTTTTTGGAGGCTCAGCAACAGCTGCCGGCTCTGGGGATTTGGGCTTCGCGGGGTGAAGCTCGGCGATGCTCTCGTTGAGCAGGGCGATGACGTCGTTCAGCTCGCCTTCCAGGGCCTTGAGCTCGGCATTGTCGGCGTCGTCGCGAAGCTGGCCACGGACAATGTCAAGCTGAAGTAATGCGTCAGCTTCATATGTGCGAGCATACTCGGGGTTCTTTACCTGTTCCTGGTACGCCTTCTTCTCAACCTCGATCTCCGCGACGGAGGACATGGCGACCAAGGGGGCCAGACTTCGATAGAGGGTACGAATACAGATAGGGACCGATCGCAGTGCGTGGATGGGACAACGGGTCACGCGATGCGACGAAGGAGCAAGACAGGCGGGGCACCGGCGTCGTGTTTGGGAATGAGTCGGAGCGTTTGGCGGCAGTGGTGGCAGCTGCAAAAGAGCGTCCCGCGCGCTCAGTTGGGTGATGCGCGACTGCGCCTGGTGGCGGGGCGAGTGCCAGGTCGACAGCACGTGACTCAACTGATCCGCACTGAACGGCTGGTACACTGGAAACACCTTAGAACCTAGGTGTATTTCTGCAGTTTCCCGCAGTTCATCCTCTCCCATAATATCTAGCCGGTCATGCTTGCCTTGCTTTTGGGCATGGCATACACTCGATTGGGGATCGGAGGTGCTCTTCGTGGCATGACAGTAGGGGGTTATACTCCGGACGAAGTTGTGTCGCTATGGTCTTGATGCTTAGTGTCAGCATGCCCCCAACGACAGCCTGCTCTGCCGGATAGCATCCAGATTCAGGGCTGTGCACAGTAGCTCCCGAGATCCTTTCTATCCAGCTCTTCTGTGGCTACCCGATCCCTGCGCGCAGGTCTTGTCACTGTGGATTATTGTCGTACCTCTCAAGAGAGGACCATGACTTTGGTCATCGCCAAAATCGAAGACGAACAAAGTATGGCATCGCCTTTGGTGGCCTGCGTTAATACCAGGCTGACTCCAGTCGTATCTTCCGTAATCAGCCTCGTCAGGGCAGACTGCGCACCCAAGACAAGTGTCTTCAAAGCATCGCGCGAATGTCTGTCCATCATCATGCGAGGCGATTCTCACAGTTCGCAGGACAGCTGCTCGCCCAGCGAACCCGCTGTTCCAGGCCGGCTCTAGCGGGGGGCTACCTGAGGTGCCACCTTCCGCTGGCCTGGCACGCATGGCAAGCATGGGCAGCAAGGATGGCGCCCCCCCTCCTCCAGCACCCTTCCGTGGAGTGGAGGGTGGCGTGGGGTACCCGACAAACAAGGAGACGGGGCATCGGTAATCCACCAAAGCACGCTTGTCCCAGCACCCCCCTTGGCCAAGCAATTCCAACCATCCACCGCAAGCGTCGTCGCACGCTGCCGCGAGAGCCACCACCCACTCGCTGCTCAGCTCGACCCTCCAACTCCCCGACCTTGCATCCAAAGCATCAACCAAGCCGCCCCTCTGCAGCCCTCCATCAACTTCCTGTCCTGCCCGTTGTTGGCAACCCGGTTAGGTGAAGACTGTCTCGAGTGAAATTTTACCTCGTGCGGCTGTCGTGCCCCCTTCCGAGTTCTCCTTCATACTGTCAAGGCTGGCCACAGCGCTTCCATTCTCTCTCCCTCCGTCGCCTCACTCTAGCCGTCATCCCAGCGGCAGCGATTCACTGCCCGCGCATCATCTCCTCCCTGCCGGTCTCCTTGGGGCCAATTGGTTTCCGCTCGTACCAAGTCTCGTCCCGCGACATCTACCAGCATCTGCCGCTGCCGACTCCAGTCACCACACGTGTCCCGCGCGCGCGCCACCATCCTTACTGCCTCGGCGACCAACCACCGGCTTCGCAGGCCCATGGGAGCTGCAGCACAAGCGGCCTGCAGCCAGCGCAAGTCATAGCCATTAATCGTACAAGAGAGCGTCTCCCGCGCTCAAGCAGGTGCGCGCGCGTGCCGTCGCCCAACCGACGTCAGCATCTGCCACCATGGCTCGAGACAAGGATTCGGACAACGCACCAATGGGTGCCCAATCAAAGCGCCCTCCCCTCAACCATCGGGACAGCGATTCACAGAGTGATACAACCAATACTTCGGGGGCCACGGCCCATCACCATCGCACAAAGGCCCATCATCAGAAGCAGCATCACGTCGGTCGCCTGCATGCCCGTGTCCCTTCATCCAAAGCTGTGCACAAGCACGTATCTCATGGCCATGCGCACGCACAAGCCGGCACAAAGCTGAACCGTCGGCCCGGTTCTCCAACCGATCAAGATACACCTCAGCGCCCAGCTCACCGACGCGCAACGAGTGAGGTGAAATTGCCGAGCCGCACCTCCTCCAGCAATCTCCCAAAGAGCGCCTCGCATTCGAGTTTGAAAAGAAATCGCTCGCACGTCGAGGTCGGAAAACGAAATCGCTCCTCCGATAAGCTCAAGCGAACTTCGAGCGGGACCGGCATACACGGCATCAACAAGTCGAGCAAGACCCAGGTTCACTTCGATCTTGGAAGCGACGATCCGGAAGACGAGTGGGTTGACGCGAGCGGGTCGAATTCGCCTTACCTGTCACGCAAGGGCTCTCTTAACAGCAGCGCTCAATCCTCGCTCCGACCAGGTGGCAGCGCAAGCAGCTCACGGCCCGATACGCCAAACGCGCCGTCCCAAATTCGCGCACCCTCTTCGCCAGATCTTGAGAGATCGCAGCGGAAAGAATACCTTACATCACGACTCCTCCAACGGACCCCCTCTCACGGCGCACCTCCGAAGATGACAGCAGACATGGCGCAAGCTACTCGGCCCCATCCGCCGCCGTCCCCCAACTCAACCGAGGATACCAACGTGTCACCACCACTGGGGGCCAACGACGACGAGCTGACGTCACGCTTCGTTGACACACCAGGCTCCGGCGTAACCAGCGAAGGTTCTTTCTATCATGCAACTCGAAGCGCACCGCGCCGGTCAACAGAGTCGCCAGGGCGTCCGAGCTCGATGTCTAATCTGCCGCAGGATGGGCTCGATGCCGTCGTCGCTGACAAAGACAACAGCGTCCTGGTCCCAAAACCAGCCAGACGAACCGCCGCGCTTCCTGCTGAAACGTCGCGTGTTCAACAGAAGCTGAATCTGCAACGTGCCAGCTCTGTGCTGGAGCCGAGCCAAGGGGTAGCTGGCGTTGGAGGGGCAGTCGGCGCGACTCCGTTGATCGGCGTAGGTGGTCCGGGTTTTGACGGCGGGAGCAGCCGAGATCCCAGGGTTGGCAAGATGCTGGAGCGTACGGGCATGGAGTATCTGGTCGTTCGGCGATACCAAAATCCGGTCGCGCGCTCTTTGAACAGGCTCGGCAGGCTCGCCGATGCGGACAAAAATCGACGGATTCCGCGTACTAGCACGCCGACTATGAACGGCAAACGATCTGGCGAACTCCCGAACCGACACACTCGCAATGTTAGCATGCCCGATCCTCGGCAGACAGTGGCACCGAGGCGCTCAGCGTCCATTCGCACTTCAGGTGCCGGCTCAAGCTTCGAAGGAGACGACGTGAGTCGTCTGAACGAAAGACTGAGCGGCTCAAGCCTCGTTGGTGTCGAAGAGGAAGATGGCACCACAACGCTGTTGCGCAACCTTTGGGAGAAATCGGTTGAACTCAGTGCAAGCACTGATTGAGAGCTGCCTTGAAGACGGCGCTCTGTGTGTCACATTTGCCTTGTCTAGGGATCGCACACACACGTCGCTATGTCAAGCACAACGCTTGACGTCGTCCGCATCGCCCGACGAGTGCAATACGGTGACACTGCAGAGGTCAGAGCAAAGGAACACCGCGGGCTCGCTTTGTGGGAAATCGGGGGCCATGTCCAAACATCTTGGCCGTCCACCCCCCAGGCTAGGCCGGGGCTTGCTTTTCTGGCTGGCAATTATACGTTGATAGCGAGTACCAGGCGACTACCGAGACCAACTAGTGGTTAGAAAGTCGCAGGGAGGGGTTTCGCTGGTGCACCACGACGTTACGAGCTCCTCTACGAGCGTGCATATCAGACCTCAACGGAGCTGTGCAAGCCATTGGAGCTTTATCCAGTGGATAAGACTTGAAAGCCACGGAGAAGGGGTGATTCTATACGATATGATGGTGCTTATTTGCCCCAGTCTATCACTATGCCCGACGCCTGTGTGTAGTAGCCCTTTGAGTATGCTTCACGTGAATCGACGGCGACTTGCCGCCGGCAAATACGCTCCCGAAAGGCGGCCGCCATGGCAACAAGCCATCATTGCTACTAGCTTGCGAAAAATGATTATACATTTGGGGACAGGAGATCGTACTTAACACATCGCTCAACCTGGGTCATTCGGTTAGTGTCTGGCATCAAGTGGCGATTGTTGGCCGACAGGTTACTTACATCCTCAATGCTGGCTTGGAGGAACCTTCTGGCTTCCAAGCCAACCCACAAGGCAATCATGGAGAAGTCTCCTTGCTTGGCCATTTCTGCTCCGCTCTGGGCGCTCAATTGCCGCAAAATTGGTAGTGAGCTGCTTAGCAAGTCCGCATCCGGGTTGAGATTACGGCCAATGCCTTCGAGGAGCAGGATGCTGATGACAACGTTGACAAAGTCGCCCTCGAGACGGACATGATGAGTCCGAACCATGCCAAGCACCTGCTGCAGGATATCTCCAATCTTGAGGTTTCCAAGCGCCAGTGTGCGGCTTTTGACGCTCAGGACAAGATGCTGCATTTTGAGGGCAAAGACCTCCTGGTCTAGCACGGCATCGGGTTGGCGACAGCGCTCGCACATCAGGTGACCGGCTTTGTATCCGTCAAACTCTGCAACAGCACGGAAGAGCGCGAGGAAGTTCTCCCGGTTGGTTGCGTTGAGCTCTGTCACGAGGCCGGTGTCGATGAAGACAAGTTGCGGCCGGTATCCCTCGGCATCGATCTTGGCGAGTTCCGCATCCCATGCGGCCTTGTTCTTGCGATTGCGAAAGGGGCGAAGGCGTTCGAGCACTTTCTCGGTGACGTCTGCATCCTCGCTATGGCTGTTCTTGTCCCCGTACAGTTTTCGCAGGTGGAGCTCCGGTTGGGCTGATTGATAGAAACGGACCATGATATTGCCGGGATGCAAGTCGGCATGGACGAAGTTGTCGAGTAGCAGCATGCGCAGGAATGCGTCCAAACCCTCATCGCCAATGTCGTGCTGGAACACACCACCCCCATTCTCCATAAAATCGGCCAGCGGGATTCCCTGCGCAAACTCCTCGACCAGAACGTTGCGCGTCGTGAACTCGGTATAGGGATACGGAAACCAAGCGGTGGACCGATCCTTGAAGTTCTGGCGGAACCGTTCCAGGTTGGCAGCCTCGATACGCAAATCCAGCTGCAGCTTCATCATCTCGCCGAATTGCGCGACCTCATCGGGCAGCGACAGCCACTCAATGGTTGGTATGGCGTTGAGGGCCGCTGCGAAGAAGCCCATGATCTTGAGATCTCTCCGAATCGTACGCTCGACGTTGGGATGTAGAACTTTGACTGCGACGTATGATGATGGTACACGCTTCGGCGAGCTCTTTAGCACCGTATCGACGTTGCGGCGGACGTTGTGCGACAGCGCCACCTCGTCGGTGGATATATCTTGATCGGCGGGCATGGCGAGGGCCGGTTTCAGCTTCGCCTTGTACACCTGCGCCATAGCCCCGACGCCCAGGGGTTTCTCGTTGAACTCTTCAAAGATTTCGTCGAAGCTTCGGCCGTCGAACGCCGCTTCCACCGTCTCGCGGGTTTTTCGCATTGAATGAGCGGGGGCATTGGAGTGTAACTTCGACATTGTGTCGCACATTTCGTTCGGAAATATGTCTGTTCTTGATGCCGCCCACTGACCAAGTTTGATGAAAGCCGGTCCAGCCCACTCCATGGAACTGACGAGGAAGCCGTACCACCAGAGCGTGCCAGTCCTTTCGTTGTCGCGGTTGGGCTGCCTCCTGCCAACCCAAATGACAGGAACGGAAATTATCACTGGGACAAAGATTATGACCAATTGCAGGAATCGGACGCCTGTCCATATCGGTTCCCAGACGTAGAGATCGAGAAGCAAGATGGCCTTGTGCACGACTCGTCGAAGGCCGTGGTCCTCTTCTGACACCTGCTTCTTGACCTCGGCTCGAGAAACTTCCAGCATACGATTCTCTCCAGTCTGCTCGGTGCCGCTGTTATCTTTCTGCGCCAGTTCGACAAATGCTGCAGTTCCCAGGGCTGCGGCCCCGGCCGAGGCTTGGAGGACGACCCTCTTCGTCGAGCGTTCGCGCCATGGTATACGATTGGAGTTGTGCACTCGTGACGCGGCGCGACGCAGTATGGGCGATGAATTGAGATTGAGGCGTAACGTTGAGCGGATGCAGAACCGGCTCAGAACGAAACCGCCTCTCATCGCGGCTGCAAAACGAGTGGCCTTCCGTTCTGGATGGTTGTGTTCATGATTGACTAAGGCAGGCTGGCTGGGGCTGAGAGGAGACGCGCCATAATCACAGCTCTTGCGAGCACATGCACAGGCTAAGACGGAGCAAAACGGCGTCCTCTAGCTCGGCCAAGCCCGTACGATTGGTGACGTCGTTACGGGGCAGGTGCACCGCGCCTGTCGGGGATAGCTCGGATAAACCATTGACTCCCGGTGTTTGGTCATCGAAAAAAAAAACCTTTGGCGTGGCGCGCGCTGAAGGCCCGGCTTGCCCCGGACAAATATGCGATAAGATCTCTCCCGGCCGTCTGGCAAACCTCGATTTCCTCGACCTACACGTCTCCGATCAACAGCAATTTCGTCCTCAGCATCGAGCCCTAGAAAACCCTACCCCGAAATCCATATACCGGCCTTCAAAATGGGTTGGTTCTGGGCCGACACTTCTCCTGTTGTCGTGCGCGCTCCAAGCGGCCATCCTCACGTCGCCACCAACCAGGCGCCTCCGGTGAGTCTTGTTATATCTTCCAGCGGGGCAGGATACTGATATCAGGCTTTAGAGTGGATGCCCTATGCACAAGAAAACCCTCGATGCGCTGAATCCCAACGAAAAGAAGGCCGCCGAAGGCACCTCGGCGTCGAGCTGCCCAGTGCCTCACGCGTCTCGTGGCGCCGAAGAACAGCCCAAGTCGATTATTTCGCAGCTCAATCCGCTCAATTACATGTTCCCCGACCTCTCCCAAAAGCGCGCCCCTAATCAAGCCATTGCATTACCGACGAGTCGCGAGGAATCTACGATACCAAAGGGTTCGGGCGACGGCACATGGGAGTACCCATCTCCCCAGCAAATGTACAACGCGCTTCTTCGCAAAGGCTACACCGACACAGATGTCACAGCTGTAGAGTCCATGGTATCGGTGCACAACTTCTTGAACGAAGGTGCCTGGGCGGAGATTGTGGGCTGGGAGCAACGCTTTGCGCGTGGACTGTACAAGGGGTGGCAAATATGCAAAAGGGGAGAAGCCCACGCGCCAGAAGAGTTGGAACGGCACTGGGACGGGACCGAGAGTCCACCAACACTTGTTCGATTCCAAGGGCGGCCCAAGGATCTGACGCCCAAGGCCACCATGCTTCAAGTCTTGGGCTGGATCTACCCATCCAAGTTCGGGTAAGCAACCATCTCTCTGCAGCACTACACTGACAGACTGCCACTAACCAGCCGCCTCAGAACCGAGCTTCCATTCGACAGACACGACTGGTACGTCTCACGCGACGTGAATGGCCAGAGACGGGAGATTCGCTACGTTATCGACTACTATTCCGGGGAGCCTGAGCCAACGGGTGAGCCGGTCTTCTACCTCGATGTCCGACCGGCGGCGACGCCTCTCGGTTCCGCGGAGCGCATCATTAGATGGGGGAGCGATGTGTGGTGGAAGGCCATCGGAGGCGACAAGCGAGAGCAAGACCCGCAACCCTTCTTCCGCCACACTTCCTCGAAGCCGTGGGGTTGAGCAACATTGCCGCCATTTTTTTCCCCTGTACAAATGCCTTCCATCCCCCCTCTAGCATATCCTGGGCGGCCTGTACTATTATCTTGATGATGCCGACGTTCCTGTAAGAAAGCGACATAACATAATGGCCGTTGGGTCTATGATTATTCTTCATGGCTCTAAAGTAATTGATTGAACGCATCGCTTCTTTGGTTGCATCTCATCGTGAATATCGATCTGTGGTGCGATAAGACTATCGCAGATTCCCCATCGTGACCAACGTTGGTGGTTGCGGCGACGTGACTGCACGAGGTAGGCGAACAAGAGAACGAGCGACAACGACAGCAGCACGAGGCACCAAGAAATCCAATGTTCGCCAAATAATCATATCAAGGCTAAATAGAGATGAATGTTTTATCAGCTAGGTTAGATCTAATCGCTGGGATTGACTTCTGCCCGATTTCTGGAGTTGAGGTCACAGGTCCAGGGTAGGCGCACATGGCACCGTTTCGGATCTGGCAGGACCCTGTATTTTCACGGCGCTAGACTGCTCTCCGTCGATTTTCTTACCCACTAAGCATTCCTCCAGGATTTTTCCCACGACCACGGCGGCGCTTAAGGTGTCGCAACACCGTGGACGCTACCGTGTACGATCGGACATGCCTGCTCAGGAGCATCCTGAAGGGTCGAATACAGCCGCGGGAGCTTCAACAGACGGCAGCGGCGAATACGTGCGGCTGCACATCACACCGCTCGACTCGGAGCTCTTCAACATCATCATCCCGGCCTCGGTCCTTCCCGCCGCCCGCAACGTCTCGTACCACACAATCGACACATTTCCCGAGAAGCGATACGGTTTCGTGGAGCTGCCAGAGACGCACGCTGAGAAGCTCAAAAAGAAGCTGAATGGGTCCGTGCTGAGAGGCAGCAAGATTCGCATCGAGAAGGCCCGGCCAGCGAAGCAAATGGAGCCCCCGGCTCCGACAGAGATGCCGGTGAAGAAGAGAAAGAAGCCCGCCGATGGGCTGGAAGCGCCGAAGAAGCGGAAACGCGACGTAGACGTCGTGGAGGGCGTTACGCTTCGAGACCGAAAGGTCAAGCGTGGATGGACCGAGTCAGTGGAAGAGAAGAAGAAGAACAAGAAGAACAAGGACAAGGAGAGCAGGGACAAGGCAGAGAAACGGAAGCGACCGAAATCCAAATACACAGACCAAGAGGAGTGCCTGCTCAAGGTCAAGATGCCACCCAACGCCATGGCGAATTTGCCGCAGGAGGCACACAAGAAGAAGAGGAAGAGGGGCAACACGCGCGAAGTCACCGTTCATGAATTCGAGAAAACGACAAAGTTCCCGAGCTTCCTGAAGACCTCTGTGCCAGAGTCAGGGGGGAAAACGGCCATTGACTACGTGGAAGGAAAAGGCTGGGTTGACGAGGACGGCAACGTCGTCGAAGAGGTCAAGGTAAAGGCCAAGCGCACGCTCGCCAATGCCCCGGCGGCGAAACAGAAGGCTGTCGAAGCGGAACAGGAGACAGGAAGCGAGGAGGATGACGACGACGACAGCACCAGCAGTAGTGGATCCTCATCTGAGGAGGACGATGATTCTGAAGTTGGAGTGCCGGGCAAGAATCAAGAGTCTACATCAGACCTTGACCCGAAAGCTCGACTCAAGTCAGGGTCAAGCTCCGAAGCGCCGTCGGATTCAGGCAGCGAGGATGAGGACGACAGCCCCCCCGCCGGACCGGCGACGACCGAGAGGCTCATCCAGGCAACGCTGGTGACTTCAGCCAAGACCGAAATCGGGAGACCCCAGTCTTCCAGCTCGTCGAAGAGCCTCACCATCAAGATACCACCACCGGGAACGCCTGCTGCGCAGGTTCATCCGCTGGAAGCCTTGTATAAGCGACATAAGCCCGCCGACGACACTGCCGAGGCGCCTTCCGCTGCCGAGCCGTTCAGCTTCTTTAGCGGAGGGAACGATGAGGACATCGAGGAGGAGGAGGAGCAGGATCATCAAGGCGATCGACCAGCCGCTATTCCGATGACGCCGTTCACGAAGCAAGACTTCGAGCGACGAAACATTCGCAGCGCGGCACCCACGCCAGACACGGCCCATCCTTCGCGCGCGAAGAACTTCTGGGCTCCAGCTGAGGACGACGAAGAGCCGGAAGACATTGCGGATGGGGACGAGGACGAACATGCAGCGGGGCCGACCGAGAAGAGCGACTTTCAAACCTGGTTCTGGGAAAACCGTGGAGATCTCAACAGGTCTTGGATGACGCGCAGGAAGATGGCGTCCAAGGAGAAAAGACATCGAGAGAACAAAGCCAGGGCATCTAAGGCTATATAGGTGCCCGCTAATTGGATCAACATTAAATTGAGCGTTGAGAATACGATTCCTTTCAGTCGTCGCTTTGCACCATTTGCGGGGAGTCGGATGCCACCGTTCAAGCTTCCGTCGCGAGATTGATCCTAGGTCTATACGTTCACTACAACCGCACTGCTTCCAGAGCCCACCGCTTCCGACTACCCGTACAACATATGGTCCACCCCAGCAGAATTGATGCGACCCTTGGCTCAGTCTTGTTTGGCCCGCCCATGGTCGCCTCCTCAAGGAGGGCCCGCTTTCGACACGAACAGACGAAAGGAATCCCCTTCGATGAGCAGCAAAAAAGGCAACCTTGCAATCCGTGACAATTCGCATCTGCCGCCTGTACAAGTATATACTCTTCCCTGCACTCGCCGGCTCGACTTGTGACGCGTCGGCCGCCAACTCGTGTAGTGGGCCTCATCACCGCTGGTGGAGGCGCTATATCCACATCTCGGCGGGCCATCTATCTCCGCGCCGCATAAGCATCAATAAGCCTCAGCCATTCACAAGCAAGGGGCGTGTGGTCTAGTGGTATGGCGTCTGCTTCGCATTGGATTACCAACATGCGTCTGCTGAAGGTCCGGGGTTCAATTCCCCGCTCGTCCAATCTTTTTGTTGTTTCAACAACTTCCTCCTTTAAATCTTTTTTTTGGCCTCTTCCCCTCTTGATGGGGCAGAGGGGTAATACGCTGTGCTCACCTTTCTGGAAGCTTTGGGTCTACAGGTGCCAGCGGGTGCCTCAGACCCGTGTCGTTTCGGGCTCACGATCTATGCATGCCGGCTGCGGATATACGGCGACCGTCATCGTCATGCTCCAGGGAGCCTGCAGAGGGAAGCGATGCGTTGAGCTAGTCAATTCAGGTATACTAGAGTCTAGCAAGTGCGTACAAGGTGTGGTGCAAGGTGATGTGCCCATACTATCGAGGAAACCATATCAAGCGGTGGCCCCTGTGGCTCTCGAGGCTGCGTGTGAGTCTTTGTCATTCTCACAGACGTGTGGCCGGTTGTCCTCCGAGCAAGTGTCGTGCCGCTTTCGGGTAGTTACCATTATACTCCCCGTCATTGCCTCGTATATTCCTGCGAGGTCCGGTTTGGGCGGCTCAGGCGTGCGTTCCCTGATCAGACTATCGCGCGATCTCGGGGCCGTCTTGGACAGCCGGGGCGAGACAGGTGAGTTGGACCGTCTAGCAGCTCCGGCATCATCGGGGCAGTCGTGTATGTGGAACATTTTTTCCCCACCTCTTTTAATTCTGTCGAAGATGCCTGGCATTGAATTCTTGGAGGAGGCAGAGTCAGCAACTCTAAAGGTTGTCGCATGTGAACTCCGTCGCCGGTGGGAAGCGGAACCTATTGAACTTCCGATTCGTTTGTAAGAGCTGGTGCCGCTTGACATCATCTCTGTCGCTCGACGCGCTACCCAGGGCAGGGAGGGGCCGTATAATGAATCCTCATGGAGCAGTGAAGTTGTGCAGCGCCATGCCATGGGCACAGTCTCGTTCATCCGTTCGGTGGACATGGCCACTTGCTTCCCACAGTGTGCATCCACGCCGAACTGGTACAGATTCGTAGAGGGAGTGCGTTTGAGCTGTTCCAGCTCCACCGGTGGCCTCAGCCACTCCTTCGTGCAGTGTCGAGGCCGCAGCACGGGGAAGGACGTAATGTTCAAAGGGTAGTCGGTATTCTCTGAGACGCGCCTGCGCAGGCTTCTGCTCCATGTGAGGTTCCCAAACTTGTCTGCGACTGTATCTCCAGGCTCTCCCTGCGTGCTTAGGCTGGAATTAACTTGGCTTCCCCCTTTCGCATCCTTAAGTGGCGAGCTCGAAAGCGAGGTGGTGCCACAGCGCGACTTGTATCGATCCTCGTCACGAAAATGGGGGTCATCTTCCGTCCACACAATTTCTGCTACACTTTGCTGGGAGACAATAGTTGACACGTCAAACTCGGCATCCCTCGTGTCTCTGCGCTCGTTCGCATGGCTAGTACTCGAGAAGCAAGTTCTGGGCAAGCTAAAGGTTGTCGCTGGCTCTGCTGGCGCCGAGTTCTGTGGGTTGATGCGTTGTGCCACTTCGTCCAACTTTGGCAGAGACGGTGGTCGTGGCGGCTTCTCAGAAGCGTCGACATCGTGCCACGAAAATGGCACATCTCGTTTTCTCGGAAGATCCCCCAAAAGAGTGGCCTCCACGGCGTCAGCCACATCATCTTCACTCAATAAGTATATGCCCTTGCCCGCGACCGCGAGACTCGCAATTTCGTCAACAACGCAGTGTTTGGTGCGGAGCCGATCTCGCTGTTGAAGCTGGCCTCGCAACTCGTTCACTAGAAGTTGGGGGCTTGAGTGGTGACGGGTCTCCTGTGGCGGCGCAATATCGCCTCGTAGGATTGAGCTGCTGGCACCCTCGGCAACCGCGCCAGCCATTCGGCAGTGCTCTTCACCGCTGGCAGCAGATGCGAATCCGCACCCTACACGCTTCAAAGTGTCGTCTTTCTCGGAGATTGCCAGCAAGTAGGCCGCTTGTCCCACGTTTTCTGGGTCGTGAACCACCTTCACTGCCACGTGCTCGACCTCGTATGAGTCCATCGACTGACCTTTAGGTCTGTACAGATAGCATGCCGTTGCGTTATGATAGGGGCTGAAGATATAGACGGCCTCAGTTTCCGGAGTTTGCGGTGCTGAGCAGCCGTCGTCGGCACCGGACGTCAATGACTCCGTGTCTGGCGTTGGCGAACTCGGCGACAGTCGTTTTGCTGCATACGTCGCAGCTCTTGAGAGCTCGTCCATGAGACGAAAGGCTTGAAAGGCAAGGTTGGATTTGACGGAGCCGATTCCCTTCTTGACGTAGCTACCATTGCTTTCTCCATTTGTATTATCGATGACTTGCATGTGACACATTCTGTGACTGATACTGCTCTCTGATGATGCTTCAAACTGACAGGTGCTCAAAAGGCAGACTGCAGGAACGCTGCAGGGCTGGACGCGTTTAGGTTCGAGACGTGTCGATTGCGTAGCTGCAGTAGGCCCCAGATGACTTAGTTGATCTTTGCCCGGGATGCTGCTGGTGGCCCCATCGTTAGGAGAAGTCGGGTTGCTCCCAGGGGGCCCTCCTGGCACACCAGTGTCACCTGAGCTGGCCCGACTGTGATCGCTGGGTACGTGGGTCTTGGGCGCCATGCTCCAGTATGGCCAATCGACTCACAGCTGGGAGCTTGGAGGAACGAGGGGAGACTTTGAGAAACTTGTAGGAACGGATAATGGCGCAAAGATACGAGAGCGGCAGAGAATGACAACGTTAGAGCCGAGACTGAGGATATTGGAGCCGAGCTGGGGCAACAGGGAGTCGAATGGGAACACGAGCACTGATCTCAAGGGTTGATGACGGGCTGCGGAAAATCCAAGCACAAGTCGAGACAAATTTCCGCCCGTCATGGTACTTGGCAGCCCGTCCACGCTCTGTACGTCTGTGTCGTTTGCGCTTTCCGAATCGTCCTTGTTGGACCAGCGAGGCAAGAAGACGAAGGAGCCCAGACATTGGGAAGGGACTGGGGCAATCACGTAGGAAGTACCACTAGTCAAGGCCTGTCTCGCAAGGCGTGTACAAGGTGGCAGTGATGGATCCATCCGCAGCTCGCGCGCTACGTAGCTACCAAAACCTAGTCGAATACCACCTTCTGCCCAGAGAAGGCCACTGCCTTTTGTGATTCTTGCGCCTTCTTCTTCGCTGCCCAGCTAGGGTGTAGCGGACCTTCATCATCCCTCTTTGTCTGTTTTGGCTCCAGTCTGGGCGTTGATCCACTTGCTGCACCTGAGCCCGCAACGCCCGCATGCCTTGCCAGGGGGTCGCGGATGCCCTTCTTCCAAGGCGTCTTGCGGCCCTGATCGTCCCCGTCCACAGCGCCTCGTTTCATGTCCCAACCCGAGTCTCTGCCGCCCTTCTTTGGAACGTTCTGTAGATGTTTCGCGCCAGAGCCATACTTCTGCTCCCAGATGGCTTGTCTGGCTCGTTGGCCGCGACGCTTCTTCGGCTTCGCTTCCTCGATATCCGATGCTGATTCGGAGCCAGAGATATAGCCTCCCATGAGCGATGGAAGGAACGTAGAATCTCTGGCGGAGCCAAGCTTGCTGGAGGCAGAGCTCCTTTTCGCCTCCTTTGGCTTCTTCCTTGGGGGAGGCGAGGGAGATGGCGAATGCAATTCACCTCCCGACATTGCAGAATCTGCTTCCGACTCAACATCGGACGCAGAGCCAGACAAAGATATGTCATCGAGATTGGCCCTTTCCTTGCCCTTCAAGTGCGCAAACTTCGACAAGTCGAACTCTTCTTCATCGTCTTCATCGTCGGAACTTCCGAGAAGATCGTCGTAGCGAGAATATTGTGTTTCCTCATCGGCTTCCACCTCGCTGTCTGGCGCCTCGACTGACGGGCCGGGCTGTTCCACGTCGGTATCGAACCCCTCAAAATCGGTTTCGTCGTCGTCTTCGAGGGGCAAACCAGAGCTCTTGGCCACAGCCTCGACGGCCGGCTGAGACTGCATCCGATCGGAGGGCTGCTCTTCTTGCTCCGCCCTCGCATCCTTCCGCATTCTCTTGCCTTTAGGCGGCATGGGGACGTTGAGCACGCCGCATACCTCCGCAATGGCTTTGTTGATAGCCTGTCTAACGGGGTCTCTATTGTACAAAGCACTGGTGACATTGTGTAGGGCCACTCGCTCGGCCTCGGGCAGCTCGGGTTTGGAGATTGCAGTTCGAAGGTCGTCCGGGAAGTCGGTCGAGGCCTCGATGGACTTGACTTTGAGCAGCGACGAGATCAGGTGGACACGGGCTGTGCGATGAAGGTCCAGTGACTGTAAGCTAGTTAGGAACCCAAGTTCTGGGCGAAGATTGCCGATGCGGACGCACCTTCAATGCTGTCACCTCCCGTTCCAACCGTTCTCGTCTATCAGCTTGCAGCCCATCTTCGCGCAGCCTCTTGCTGAGGCGTTGCCGCTCAAAGCCCTTGGAGGCCTTCAGAGCCCTTGACACCTCATTTTGATGCTTCTCAAGCACAGAAAGCAGACTTGTGTCGTTGTCTCGTTTGCGCTTGGGCATTTCGATTTGTCGCTGAAGCTGGGGCGCAGTTCTTTAAGAAGATCCAAATCTGCGACGGTTTGGGCCGCCCAAATAATTTTGGCGCCAACTGTAAGGACTTAGCATGCGCACTGTGCTTCAAGGGCCCAGATACAACGGTGTTTAGCGGGTCTCTACAGTGCGAAAATGATACGTGCTTTTGACCCATCTCTTGAGCAGGCATGCATCCGTTGTGGGGAAGAGTCAATCGGCGGAGAGTCCGTCCCGACAAGGGCGCGGGGAACAGGTCCCAATTACCCGTACATTCGACGCGCTATATATGTGACGCCGCCTGTTCGTATATCTCTTTTCCTCGTGTCGAAGATTCTATGTTACTTGGTTCTTGCAAGTGGTTTGTTCATCGCCATTATAGTTTTAAAACACGACATGTCTTCGCAAGCGAATGAGCCGGCGCAACTGGCAGCCTCGCTGTTCAGTGTCAATGGGATCGTTGCACTCGTAACTGGAGGGGGGTCTGGTAGGTCGACCTACCATTCGAGTTCGTCCGCAGCAAGACTGCTTATATGTTACACCGACAGGTATTGGCCTGATGATAGCCAAAGCATTAGCGAGCAACGGGGCCGCCAAGGTCTACATTGCAGGGAGGCGCTTGGATACACTACGACAAGCTGCTACCAGCATCGGACCAAATGCGGCCGTCATACAGTGCGATGTCACGTCCAAGGACAGCCTGAAGGCGGCAGTCGAGCACGTCGAGAATGATGCTGGATATCTGAACTTGCTGGTCTGCAACTCCGGCATCTCTGGCCCACAGGTGACAAAAATAACGGCGGACATGTCGCTGGAGCAATTTGCCGACGAGAACTTCAACATTGACGCCTCCGAGTTCACGCAGACATTTGCTGTCAACACGACGGCTGTCTGGTACACGGCGATGGCTTTCCTGAAGTTGTTGAACAAGGGCAATGAGAAGAAAAACTTGCACCAGTCGTCGCAGATTGTCGTAGTCAGTTCCATTGCTGGTTTTAACAAGAAGCAGACAGGAGGGTACGCCTATGGTCAGTCCAAGGCAGCGGCCACTCACGCCACCAAAATGCTGTCGGTCGCGCTGTCGCAGTGGCATATCAGGTAAGTGGTAAACCCATCGACCTCCGAAGACGCGGCTTGCCTTTGCTTCGAGCATCTGACCATGGTCGGCTACCTCTTAGGGCCAACTGCATCGCGCCTGGAAGTGAGCGCCCCCGCCAATTATTCCTTGCAGCGAGGATCCGAGGCATCGGCACCTTGCTAACATAACACCAGTATTCCCGAGCGAAATGACGGACACCGTTATCAAACCGTTCAAGGACGGATCCACAGGCCAATACATTGATGTGCCTGAGAGCGTGGTGCCACTCGGCAGGCTGGGTGCTACAACGGACATGGCTGGAACTGTGCTGTACCTTGCGTCCGTAGCAGGGGCCTACTGCAACGGAGTCGCTGTCGTGTTGGACGGCGGTCGACTGGGAACATTCCCTTCCGTCAACTGAAGTCATCAGTGGGCCGGACGGACTAGAGATGATCGCGGTGCTAGAGCCAGCCAGGTTAGTTCTCAAATGACGGAATAAACATTGTGTAAGAGCGGTTGGGTAAGAGGAAGCCATGATTAATAACAGTTTTGTATCCCAGAGCAGGCCGATGCTCATTTCTCGATGCCACGTGGGTTCCGACGAGGAAGCCCTGGCCATGGTCCGGAGCTTGGCGGCTGCAGGCGGAGCCCGCCCGTCGGAGATCCGACGTTTCTGGATCGGCCACCGGCGGCCTCGCCGCCCTCTGCCGGTGAGATTCCCTTATCAACCAGGGGTTGGTGAAGCTTTCCCGATGCCGTTTATTACCGCTGGTCAAGCTGCGAGATCGGACGGCACGGCCAGGAGCATGCTCAGTTAGCCGGCCCCCGGCTCGCTGCGGTTGATGACCGTGTGGCCACAATCCGCTGGCAGGATTGGCAATGCCCCTGTAAGTTTGCCCTCGCTCGGGAATGACACGGCCGAATGACTACAATCCGATCACCAATATTCTGTTGGGAGACTCCTTGTCAGATTCCGAGGGTGTTTGCCGTGACTGGTCGGGTGTTTTCGGTCGGCTCTTTTAATTCACGGGCGCCAAATGGCGGCATTGTTTCTCGGGGGATGAGGTGAGCCTTGACCGGCATGAACCAAGTCCGGATCAGGCTTCTAGCGCATCGACAACGCCGTTCAGCGATCACGAGATTCGTCGTTGACGCTTTGAAGACCCCAATTCCGCTGCTACCTTGAACACATACGCGCGCGCACACACACATAAAGTCCCGAACAAAAAAACACTCTTTGTCTTAAACAATCAAGCATCGAGCATTTCGTGATAATGCCTTCCAGCACTCTGGTGTGGAGCGCTACCATTACCAATAGAATGAGCTCTGGTTGTCAGCCATTCATTACCTTACCCTCTCGAATCTGCAGGGCCCCACTGGCGACAGCTCAAGCGCTTGGGAGGAGCCCTGGAATCTGACCAGGAAGTGCCGGCCAAATCTGTGATCGCGGCGAGTTGCAGCAGGTCGAGTACGCCAGAAAAACGCCATCTCCCCCAACCAATTTGCTTACCGTGGGCTTGCCCGCGCCTGGTGGGCCTCGGGAGGGGCGATGATGCATTCAATGACAATGCGACCTGCGCCGAGCTGCGCAGCAAAGCCAGAGCCCCAATTGCCCGTCACCGGCCAAAGTCATGTCCGGCTCAACGTGGACGATAGCCGAGGGATGGAGCAGGCCGGACGGAAGGCCTGCGGGAGCTTTAGGTAGGTTCGGGTAGATGGATCCACTGGGCTTAGGCAGTGGGCTGGGCACGATACGATGGTGGCAGGGTGCCAAACGGCTCCCGCATGGATGGTCCCCGCACTTGTTACCATTTCTCTCTGGTATCAAGAGCTAGCAAGGCATCTGGCGGGTTGTTTGAAAGAGCATCATCCCGAAGACAGACGACGGCGCGAACCATCGAACGCACAGCTGAAATCATGTCCAGGGGACGGGAAAGGCGGCCCACTTCAAAGGCTGCTTTGCCGGTGGTGGCCAACTCAAGCCGACCTCGCCCGGGGAGGTGCGCGACACTGCACGGCAGGCTCGCCATCAACAGACATTGGCTTGCTGGGGGTGCCATCGGCGGGGACAACAAATGGCGCCCGGTTCGCGTTGCGAGGGTAGCCTGTGAGGTGTGCCGCGTGCCTGGCACGTCACTTTGGGTGGTGTGCAAGGATGTGTTACAACAACAGCCTGATGCGCCCCCTCAGGCAGGTGGTAGACGAGGCACGGCACGTCTCGAACCAAGCCAGGGCGGGGATCGTAATTGCTGGCCATCGATCGCTTCCCTCGACTGCGCTGAACGTGCAGTCACTTGTAGCTACCTCGCCACTTGTAGGCCACTGACAACAGCATGCTCCACGTTTTACTTCCGCCGCACACTGTTGCATAATAGTAAGGCAGGCCATGCGTCGGATGCCACGGCGGAGTCATCCAAGTACTGCATGAGCTTGTTTAACATTCGGAGGCAGCTTGAAGCCAAGCCAAGCTCCAGGGGAAAACGACCCAAATGAGGGACATAACCCCGCACAAGCTGGGACACGATTGTTGGCGAAGCACCTCGGGCTGTGTGTCGGGCGCGACCAGGCCGTTGAAAACAAGCTGGCTGTGACTGGTCGATGGGTTGTGATGGAGGGTGGTGTATGGGTGCCAGGCAAGCCGATCCGCCGTCTCCTCCTCACCAAGGTTGTTGGAACGCCATAAGTATCAACGCCTCTGCTGCTTTCCCCAGCAGGTGCCCGTCTCGCTGACTTCCACTCACGCACGCGACTCCCCATGCCCCCGCGCCGTGCCTGGTCGACTTTGGTATCCGTGGCCGAACTTTCTTCGCCCTGCCGATAAGCCGTCGCTCACCTTTAGAGTTTGGCTGTCGACTTACACCAGCGCCGCAGACGTCTCTCTGACCCTTCAGGCTGCTGTCTTTTTGGGTCTTTAAACCCACACGTCGTCCGCGTCCTCACGGTTCCCTCTGCGCCGAACAATCTCCTTCGTCCTTCTCGCCAGCGCCGTGCGCCTGTTCGAGTCTTCACGCGTGCGGCTTCCTCGCGGGCAGCTCACCTCGGACACGGCAACTGCGACCGTGTGACCCCGCAGCGCAACAGCCTCGGGGGTGTGCACTCGACCCCGCTCACGAGATCCCGAACCCTCTTGCCAGATCCCGAGCCCTCTCCGTCGCCTTCGTTGCTCGCCCATCGTCGTCCAGCAATCATCACCTTGTGTTGTTTGCTTTTACACGACCGGTAGCCTGTCGTCATTCTGTGGTCGCTGTTTTTGGTGAGTCTCTACATCCCCGTCAGCCCGCTCTCTGGCCTGGTCGAGTCCCCATTTCGACCAATCTCCGGCGGCAAGCGGAGTCGTGGTGGGAATCCACCCCCAGCTGGCGTCGTGGGGCCCTGCTCCCTGGACTTCCCGAGCGGGCCTCGACAGCTGTGGGCCGTGGTTCGTCGTCATCCGCCGACTTCGCCCTCAACTCCCGGTACCGAGTGGACATCCGGATTCGCTCGGGCGATGTGCGAGGCTGCGTCGAACGCAGTGTTCCGAATAGCCGGGGCAATGTGTATCGAGCGCCTCGTTCCGCCTCACCTCCGTCAGCTCGGAGAAGCTCGCGCCGTCTTTTGGCGCGTCGTGTTCATCATCATGCATTTTAGCCACCAAGTTCTTGAGGCTTCGCTGACGCGATCAATGCACGTAGCTTCGTTAGCCGTCAAGCGACATCCAGCGCCGCGAGCGTTCTCTGAGCACGCACAGACCGCTACCCAGACCAGCCGCTGAAGCTCGTGTAAGCACAATGACGGGCAGTCTCAAGCAAGCCGCTGAATCGGCTCGGAACAAGACCACCGAAGTCATGAATGCAGCCAAGGGTGATGGCGCTGCTGTCGCCAACGATATCCTGCACACACCGCTCATGAGAGCCGCACTGCCCTTCATCAACGGAGGCATTAGTGGCATGGTGGCTACCACGGTCATCCAGCCTGTCGACATGGTGAAAGTGCGCATCCAACTCGCAGGCGAGGGAACGTCCACGGGCCCCAAGCCTACGCCTCTGTCTGTCACTCGACAGATCATTTCGAGCGGCAAAGTCCTGGACTTGTACACGGGCTTGTCTGCTGGCCTGCTCCGCCAAGCTGTATATACCACGGCCCGCTTGGGTCTCTTCGACACCATTATGGGTCGATTGACAGCGAGGGCGAAGGCCCAGGACAGGAGCATTGGCTTTCGCGAGCGAGCGACGGCGGGCCTCACCGCCGGCGGTATCGCCGCCATGATCGGAAACCCAGCTGACCTTGCACTCATTCGCATGCAGAGCGACGGACTGAAGCCACTGGCTGAGCGAAAGAATTACAAGTCTGTCATCGATGCGCTTGGATCGATTGCCAAAAGCGAAGGTGTTGGTGCGCTCTGGTCCGGTGCCGCGCCGACTGTTGTCCGTGCCATGGCACTCAACTTCGGCCAGCTTGCCTTCTTTAGCGAGGCCAAGGTGCAGCTTAAGCAGAAGACGGACATGTCCGCTCGCTCACAGACCCTGGCTGCCAGCGCCATTGCTGGCTTCTTTGCCAGTTTCTTCAGCTTGCCCTTCGACTTCGTCAAGACTCGCCTCCAGAAGCAGCAGAAGGGACCTGACGGAAAGCTACCCTACAAGGGCATGGCTGACTGTTTTGCCAAAGTCGCCAAGCAAGAGGGGATCCTGCGGTTCTATCGTGGCTTCAGCACATACTATGTTCGAATTGCTCCACATGCGTGAGTGCCTCCCAAACCGCCACCGAGTCTCGCAGAATCTTACTGACCTACCTCAGGATGGTGACGCTGATCGTTGCTGATTACCTCGGCTGGTTGACCAAATAAGCGACGGGCGCTGTGTTCACATTGTCATGGCGTTATTCGGCTGGTAATATTGAGAGGCCGATGTCGGGATTGAATGCGGTATACCAACATTGCTACCCGTCGGGGGATGTCGAATTTCTTCTTTGTCGGTTTATGTGCAGTCCAACGAGGAGATGGTGTCGATTGAGATAGAAACATCCTCAGCAGTTTCCTTTGCCTCTGGTGACATCCCAAGTGTCGCGAGGCGACGCTGGGAGTAGACGGGAGAACAACCGGGAGAGATTTGCAAGAACCGAAGGAGCAGTGGGTGGGTGGGGTCGTGAACGGACCCATCCTCGCGCCGCCGCACCGCCGCGCCGTCGCGCCCGACTCTGTTTTGTGATCTCAGATAGGAACAGCATACTCTATATCTCTATATCCCATGAGATGTGCAGCTCGGCATGATTTCTGAGTACGTAAACCTGACTGTAGATGTACATAGAAACGCTGAGCGGTGGTCCAGCGAAACGCTCCATGCCAAATCAGACGCGACTTGTCTGCGTTGTTTCTTCGCTTCAAAGAGGACAAGATGGCAATCATTCCTCTTGAGTCTTGCAGTGTCAGTATGAAACTTTGCCGCATCGCCTTGTGCGTACTTTTTCATCGGCCCTGCTTTCGTTAAGCTTGAACCGGCATCTTGAATCCTTGATTATCGCCCCTCCACAGTCGCGAGCGCACGTGACTTCGTGCAGCACTTAGCCATGACGCAACCGGCTTCATGATTCAGGCGTGCTCGTGAACCTGTGTGTTACACCACCGCCCTTGTGTCCTTGGCAGCGCTCGACCGACATGTAAACATGGTCGCGAAAAGACGCAAGGTGTCCTCCAGGGACACTGCTCGAGCGGGACCAAGTGGCAACAATGAAGAGCCCGACATTTACCAGCAAATGCTGGCAGAGGCTGGTGTGTCTGCACACGATGGAGTTTCCCCAGAACCGCCGCTGAAACGGCGAAGAGCGACAACAAAACACGAAAGTGACAAAGCGACGAGTTCGGGGGCCGCTATTCTCGCAGGAGATTTGGCGGCTGGATCCGCCAGTGAAGATAACGATGAAGACGTGGAATTCCAAGACGTTCTCATCCCTGAGCCTACGGTTCAGACAATGGAGCTGGACACCGATGAAGAGGATGAGGACGAAGATGACGAAGAGGAAAACAAATTCGAAGACATAGACTTTGCGAAGCCGCTCAACGACACAATACCCGCCGAACCAGCTTCATTAGAACTCAACCTCACGGCGCATCAGGCTACCACCTCGCCGGGGAGGGGCAGAGAGAGGCGAAAGCCGATCACCAAAGAAGAAAGGGAGCGCCGCATTCAAGTTCATCAAGTCCACCTTCTGTGCCTCCTCTGTCACATCTCGCGTCGAAATCGCTGGTGTAACGACACCAAGGTGCAGGAGGCTTTGCGCCCGCATCTCACTGCGAAGACGGTCAATTACCTCAATCCAGGAGCCAATCTGTCGCAGTTTGGTCAGGCAGAAAGCTTGAAGAACGGGCTTAAACAGGCAGGAAGCATGTGGGAAAGCAAGTTTGAGATCAGGGAGCGAGGGCTGCGGCGAGCTCTCTGGGCAGAGGATCCAGCGCAACTTCAAGACGTGAGTCACTCCAGGCTGAGCATCGTGCGAATACTGACATATGCGCAAGTATGAGCCTCCGAACGACATGGACTCCTGCATGGACCGCAAAGACTTTCAGGATTTGGCGAAGAAGCTGCAAGGTTCACGCGATGTTGGCGCACAGCTGTACTGCGCGCTGCTGAGGAGCGCAGGCGTTCGAGCGAGGCTCGTCTGTTCGCTCCAGCCGCTGTCATTTCTGCCTAGCGCGCCGCCGCTTCCAAAGCCCAAGAAGAGCGCGACGACCCCGAAGTCATCCCAAAAGGAGCGGGCTCGCGATGCGCTCGCTAAGTATGAAGCGCTTGCCGAAAGCGCGAGCGCAGCATCCCCTAGCAGCAGCGCAACTGCGCGTCGACGGCTCGGCCATCCCAATGCGACAGCATACAGCTTCACTCCAGTCCCGTCTCCTCCGAGGCAAAACCGGGCGTTTGACACACCGGTGAAAATCCGGGAATCACCGTACCCGGTGTACTGGGTCGAGGTCCTCGACGTTGGACATCAAAAGTGGCAACCCGTGGACCCCGTCGTATTACACACGTTTTGGAAGCCCAAGGCATTCGAGCCGCCCATCACGGATAAAGAAAATTGCCTCTCTTACGTGGTGGCGTTTGAGGCCGATGGGACGGCCCGGGATGTCACACGGCGCTACGCGAAAGCATACACGGCAAAGACACGCAGGTTGCGCGTGGAAAACGCACTCGAAGATGGTGGGCATTGGTGGCGAAAGGTCATGAACCTGTATCGCCCGAAGAGGCACACCGATCTCGACCAGATTGAGGACACCGAGCTGGCCGGAGTGGAGGCAAGAGAGCCCATGCCACGCAATGTTCAGGACTTTAAGGACCACCCTGTTTTTGCGCTGGAAAGGCATCTCCGAAGGCATGAGGTCTTGGTCCCCGGAGCGACGCCATCTGGAACCGTCGCAACAGGGAGCCGCGGTCCACTGGAGAGGATATTTCGTCGCAAAGACGTTCGCATCGCGAAGAGCGCCGACAAGTGGTATCGCCTTGGTCGAGAGGTCAAGCCAAACGAAATTCCTGTCAAGTGGCTCCCGAAAAGGGCTCGGCCGAAGAACTCGCGATATGACGAGGAAGATGCGCACGTGGAAGACGAGGTCGTGGGTACCCCTCTATACACAGAGGATCAGACGGAACTCTACGAGCCACCGCCCGTTCGCAATGGACGTGTGCCGAAGAACAAGTTTGGAAACATTGAGGTGTATGTGCCCCACATGGTTCCGCGAGGAGCCGTCCATATTGTTCACGAGCACGCAACCCGAGCGGCACTCATTCTTGGAGTTGACTACGCTCCTGCCCTAACAGGGTTTGAGTTCAAGGGGCGCCAAGGCACAGCGGTGCTGCATGGCATCATTGTGGCCTCCGAGTTTGACGAAGCGATCCGGGATGTCATCAACGGCCTTGGGGATGTACAACAGGAGCTTGAAGATGAACGGAAACGACTTGTTGCGCTCAGGATGTGGAGGAAGCTCCTGATGGGCCTGCGCATTCGGGAGAGGATCTGGAGTGGCGTGGACGAAGAAGAGAGGCGGGAGGCTGACAGACAGGCGGAGCTGGACGCCGCGATGGCGAATGCGGACGGTGAGAGCGACGCGACGGACGAGTTTGACATGGTCGTCAACGATGAGGATGATGATATGGCAGGCGGGTTTCTCGTCGACTAGACCATTTGAGCGAGACGCTGCGCAAGGTTTTAGGATGCTCTGCGCCTTGTGTTTCATGTGTGCGTGGTGGCTCTGTCATCTCGCCCTCGGACAAAATACACTTCAGTCCTGCTGTAGTACCTGAATCCCGCAGCGTGGTGCAGCAATCCTCAGCGGGACAAAATGGAGGCTCAGGCACGGGAAAGCGCGGCGAAACGAACCGCCGCGCCCCATGTCATGTGACGATAGTAGAGAGCAAAGGCAGCGTACGTCGTCTGGAAGTATACACGTGCACACGAGAGATCGATCTGATTTGTGAGGTCGTCAAAACACACGAGCGATGGAGCTGGCATGCCTCACACCCGCCCCAACTGACAGCGCGTTGTCTGTGGGTCATGAGTCGTGACGTGAGCGAAAGGACGCCTGCAGTCTGCAGGGGAAGCTAGCTCAATGACACGGATGAGAAAGGATAGGGGAGGTGTAATGTGTATGATGCAGCGCATCAGCACCTATGATCTGCGGATTGCCTCTTGTCGCTCGAGGACTGTTGTGGTCCTCCGCCGCTGGCAGGGTTTCAAGCTGCGAGGTCGAATACGACGCACTTTGGTGGTTGAATTGGGCAGCTCGGGTGGGCGTTTCGCGTGCACGGGGTCGAATCTACCCGAGGATCCGAATCCCGCGCCTGATTGACAGGGGCTTGACACCTGCGCCCACTCAGTTCTCGCACGAAGACGCCCGCAGCACTCCAACGCGGGCAGTGCTGCCCAGGCGCAAGTTTCAGGGTCTGATATGTGTACAAGGCGGCATTTCGCCCTCGGTACACACACACCTAGCAGTGATCAGACGGAAGCGCGTCGTCGATAATCGACACGGGCCAAGGTCTCCGATCCAGGTCGTTGGCTTGATCTTCGCGTGTGGCGCATGGCTTGTCTGAGTTTAAATGCCAACCCCAGGCGGTTGCACATGTAGGCGGCGCCGCCCTTGGTGGGGAACGGCCACTTCCTGCGATCCCAGAGTGATGACACTCGTGCGTCTCTTGGCCCAAGGTACGCACGATACGAGACCGAGGGGTGCGCAGCAGACTGCAATCATTCTTGTGCCACGGTCGTGACAGCGGGAGCCCAAATTCTGCGGCGCACTTAACTTATCCAGCCAATCTTTACAGTCTACCCCTGCCGGTGACCTCGGCCAAGTCCACTTGGGCGCAAGCGTCTTCTCCTTGCGTGGTCATTGCGCAAAAACTCGACATTGCGTTGATCGAAGACGCTGAAGCGCCGACTGCCTCGCCCGGGTGAAACGCCAGTACTTCGTATCGGCGCTCTGCAAAAGCTCTGCAGTAGAGGACCTCACATGCTCCATAGCAGTCAAGCCCCGGGAGCCAGGGCTTGGTACTGTGTGGCTCGCGCCCATTGCGTAATGCCCAGCGGAGCTAACGACCTGGCCTTGGGTGCTGTGCTGGTCCTCCGCGTCGCGACCTCCACTGTTCCGCGCCGGAGCTGGAGCCAAGCCTGACCAGCAATGGCGGCAAATTTAGGCTGTGGTGCGTGCGTCTGCTTCGCCGCTCTGCGAGGCCAAAGGCCGAGTCGCGTGCTAAAGGATGCGCAGCTCTCTGCATGACAATAATAATCGCTGACGTTTACATCCTGACCTTTTTCTGTCCCGTGTCCCTGGCCGTTCCTTCATCCCACCCAGGCGTCTCTCTGGTCCTGTTCACCCACACTCTCGTTCCCTCGCCCTTTTCTGCCTCCCCGGGGCCCTTATTCTTCTTCGCAATCGCCAGTGAGCATGGCGATCTAAGCGGCCCGTGTCGCGCACGGTTCGGGGCGTACCTAGCTGGTTCAGGAACCAACGTTAAGGCAGCGTGCCTCCGGACCTTCTAATTCGACTTCGGCAGCACGCCACGATCCCGTCACCCTTGGACCCGACAAACGGCTGGGATTAGCAAAAGCCCGCGCCCGGCATTTTACGACCATCGTGTTGTCGGTGCGCGAGCCGGCGTTCCGCTAGGAACCACCCGGGAACCAGTTGAACACCGGCGCCATGAGCCCGCAAGCATCCGGCAAGGCGGAGATGGCGAGGTACGCCCGCCAGGTTTGGACGCTCATGGCAAAGAACTTCCGGACATTGCTTCTCCGGCACCTGCTCCTGGTTATTTGCATGGCTTTCCTCCTGCCAATATTGCTGGCTTCATTCTTCAGCTTCGCCAAGAACCTGTTTGTGCCGCCGGCCAAATTTGGCATTGGCACTGCGCACGATGTCCGGAGCCTGTCGGAGGCGTTCGATACGGCAAAGGAAAGCAGCAGAACCAAGGTTGTTTTGATCAGCAACGGCCATAATGGCGGCCATATTGAGACAGTTCTTGACTTCATTGCACGAGAGACCACAAACTATGGCTCGCCAATGTCCGTGGTCAGGTTGAACGACGAGAGTTCCCTCTCAACCGAATGTCGAAGCTCTTTGCGCGGTGTCACCAACTGCTATTGCGCGTTGGTCATGCGCTCGTCTCCAAACGAAGGAAGGGGCGGCATCTGGAACTACACCATCCGGACGGACGCCGCCATGTGGGAGAGCCCCGTCAAGATCAACGTCGACAGCTCCAGCAACATGGAAGAAATCTATCTGCTCCCAATGCAGCGGGCCGTGGACACCGTCATCGCCCGACTCAACGGTTCCAACACAACACCATTGGCGGGCACCCGAGAGCTCCCCTTTACTAGTCAGACGCAAAAAGAGCGTGACCGCAAGGTTCGCGAGATTTTTCACAATGCCATTGTCAACTTCATGGGCGTATCTTTCATCTCTTCTATCATCTGGATCACATATCACGTCACAGGCTTAATCGCCACCGAGCGTGAAAGCGGAATGTCGCAACTCATCGACGCCATGATGCCCGTCACTCGCCCTTGGATGGCACCGGTTGCTCGCATCATCTCACACCACCTGTCCTTCTCCTTGATCTATGCTCCGGCCTGGGTGATCGGTTCGATCATCCTTCGATTCGGCGTCTTTGTGAACACCAGCGTCGGCATTGTGCTCATATTCCACATTCTCGCGGGCCTGGCCTTCGCCTCGTTTTCGATCTTCATCGCCACATTTTTTCGCAAGGCACAGCTCAGCAGTATCACTGCCATTCTCGCAACCCTACTGTTAGGAATTTTAGCGCAGTCACTTACCCAGCCTAAGACGGGTCCTGTCGCCGCCCTGTCTGTTCTCTTTCCGCCATGCAACTATGTGTATTTCATCACGCTCATGGCCCGCTTCGAGAAACAAAACCGGGCTGCGAGCCTCATCGAGCTACCTCCCAATAGCCCATGGTCGATCCCGGGCATCGTGTTCTGGGTACTCATGGTCATGCAAATCTTCGTTTACCTCTTCCTGGCGATTTACAACGAGAAGCGCTTCTACGGCACATCTGTCAAAGGGCGACACGTTCAGATGAGCGCGGAAGGCTCGGACAGTTTAGGAGAGAACGCGATCGAGTTGGAGAACTTGACGAAGATCTACGAGCCCAGCGCCTTGTCCAAGCTGAGGTCTAAGTTCCGCAAGACTGGCGCAGAACCTGTCGTGGCGGTCAATGGGCTCAGCTTCAAAGCGGGCAGGGGACAAATTGTTGCCCTTCTCGGTGCCAACGGGAGTGGCAAGAGTACCACGCTCGATGCCATTGCCGGTCTCCATCGCTTGACGAGTGGCTCTATCAAGATAGATGGCACGGGCGGCTTGGGTATTGCTCCGCAGAAGAACGTCCTATGGGACGAATTGAATGTGGAGGAACACTTGGTCATCTTCAATCGCCTCAAGGCTCCCTCGAATCGAGCTTCCAAAGAGGAAATCACCGATTTGATCCGGGCTATCGATCTTTCACAGAAGAGACATTCTCTCGCGAAGACACTTTCTGGGGGCCAGAAGCGCAAGCTCCAGCTCGGTATGATGCTGACTGGGGGCAGTGCTGTATGCTGCGTGGATGAAGTCAGTAGCGGACTGGACCCGTTGTCGCGGCGAAAGATCTGGGATATCCTCTTGGCCGAGCGAGGCAAGAGAACCTTGATATTGACCACCCACTTCTTAGACGAGGCCGATCTATTAGCAGACCATATTGCAATCTTGTCCAAAGGCACGCTGCGTGCCGAAGGCTCGTCCGTGGAACTCAAGGACAAGTTTGGTGGTGGATATCGGGTTCATGTCAATAAGAGCGCCGTTGGCAACGCGACTCCCGACGTTGCAGATGTCACGAGAAAGGGTGCCTTTGACTTCACGACATACGTCGCGCCCAACTCGACCCTGGCGGCGGAGGTCATCCGGGAGTTGGAAGCGGCCGGCATCAGCGATTACCGTTTCTCGGGACCGACAATCGAAGACGTCTTCCTTCAACTGGCGGAGGAGATTAAGGACGAAAAGGCGTTCCAAACAATCGACAGCGGCGCACCGAAGACAGAGGTCACAGAGAAGATCCAGGAGCATGACAACTCGTCCCAGAATAGCAACGACCGGGGCCTGAAATTGGTCGACGGCAAGCGAGTTGGCTATGCGCAGCAAATCGGCATCTTGTTCAGGAAGCGAATCACGATCTTCAAGAAGAACTACATTCTCTACGTCATCGCATTCATATTGCCAATCATCGCGGCCAGTCTCACCTCGCTCTACGTGCGCGGAAAGGAGCCGACGGGCTGTTCCGCGTCAGAGCAATCCTCTTCCTGGGGCACGGAGGACGCCTTCAGCCAGATCAAGGACAATCGAAGCGTCGCCTTTCTTGCCGGCCCACCGTCGCGGCTCGATCCGACCAACGCGCGCAACCTCTTCACGCCCATCTTTGCCGGCTCAGGGGGAGCTAGCCGTGCCGTTGGCGGTGCTGCGCTCAACAACCTTCATCTCGTCAATACTTATGACGAGTTCACCCAGTACATTGAGAGCCACCGCAAAAACATCACTACAGGACTGTGGCTTGGAGATGCGGACACTCCGCCTACTATTGGCTGGGTCGCGAATCTTTTCGTCACGAGCTCGTTGACTGCTCAGCAGTTCCTCGACATTCTCTTGGCAAATACCACAATCGCAACGACCTGGTCGCCCTTTGACATTCCCTTCAACCCCGGAATCGGGGATGCGCTGAACCTCGCCATCTACATGGGCATTGCTTTTGCCTGCTATCCCGCCTTCTTTGGGCTCTACCCTAGCACCGAGCGAAGGAGGTTCGTCCGGGCTCTGCAGTATTCGAACGGCGTGCGCCCGTTTCCCCTGTGGGCGGCATACTTGATATTTGACTTTTCCCTCGTCTTGGTAACCTCCGCCATCGTTACTGGACTCTGGTCTGGCCTTTCGGATATATGGTACCATCTCGAGTACATCTTCGTCGTCTTCTTCCTCTACGGCCTCGCCTCGACCTTGCTCGCATATTTTGTCTCCCTATTTACGAAGACGCAACTTGCGACGTTCGCGTGGGCGGCCGCTTATCAGGGGATCATCTTCCTGGCGTACCTCATCTCGTACGTCTGCGTCATCACGTACGTCAGGGTGAACAAGATCGACTCCTCGCTTCTCGTGTGTCACTTCGTCGTCTCCGCCTTTGCGCCGATTGGATCGGCCATGAGGGCGTTGTTTATCTCCACGAATCTCTTCGCTACGGCTTGCGACGGGCAAACGCTTTCGCAAAAGCCTACAAGCTTCGTCATGTACGGTGGTCCAATCACTTACTTGATCATCCAGTGTTTTATCCTGTTCGGCCTGATACTTTGGGTCGACAGCGGTTCCGTGGGCTCGACACTCCGCGGTATGCTGGAACGCAGAAGGCGGCGACGTGCTGGCACGGAGCAAGACGACTTGGACGATGAAATGGCAAACGAGTTGACCCGGGTCACCAGCAGCGGCACCCATGAAGACGGTCTCAGAGTCATGCATCTCACCAAGTCTTTCGGCAAGAACACCGCCGTCGACAATGTCACCTTTGGCGTCAAGCGCGGCGAGGTCTTTGCCTTGCTTGGTCCCAATGGTGCTGGCAAGTCCACAACGATCTCTCTTATTCGAGGAGACCTCAAGCCCAGCCATAACGGCGGCGACGTGTTCGTGGAGGAGCAGTCCGTGACGGAGAACCTGGCTGCCGCGAGGACTCATCTCGGTGTCTGCCCGCAAATCGATGCCCTAGATCAAATGACCGTACGGGAGCATCTAGAGTTCTACGCTCGAGTCCGCGGCGTTGCAGACATCCAGCATAACGTATCAGCCGTTCTCCGGGCGGTTGGCCTCGAGGCCTTTGAGTCTCGAATGGGGCACGCCCTCTCCGGCGGAAACAAGCGGAAGCTAAGTCTAGGCATTGCCCTGATGGGCAATCCTACCGTTGTTCTGCTCGACGAGCCGTCGTCCGGACTCGATGCAGCATCCAAGCGCATCATGTGGAGGACCCTCGCTGCTACTGTACATGGACGTTCCATTCTCTTGACTACTCATAGCATGGAGGAGGCGGACGCGTTGGCTGGGCGGGCAGGAATCTTGGCACGCCGAATGCTCGCTCTTGGTACACCAGATGATCTTCGACATAGGTTCGGTGACGCCCTGCACGTCCACCTTGTGTCGGCTTCGGCGCCACGGACGTCAGATGCTGAGGTGGAACGTATCACGACTTGGATTAAGGAGACGCTCCCGTCCGCTACACTCGACACAAAGACCTACCACGGACAAATGCGCTTCTCCGTCTCCGCCAAGGACGTAGTCTCGGCCTTTGCCTCGTCTCAGCACCAGCAGTCTTCAAGCGACAACTCCGACGCAGGCACCGATACGATTTATTCGTCAAACAGTGTCAGGGCCAATCAGGGCAGTGCCATCGGCCAGCTTGTTGTTCTTCTCGAGGAGCACAAGGCGAGCCTGGGGGTGCAGCATTACAGCGTGAGCTCGACTACGCTGGACCAGGTGTTCTTGACCATTGTGGGGAGGCATAACGTCCGCGAAGAGAATTATGAGGAGAAGAAGAGGGGTGTGTGGTCCAAGGTCTGGAATTTCGGGCGCTCTTAGAGAAGTGAGCGGTCCTTTGGTACATATCTGCGGCGCCATCGGGCGTCGTACCATCTCAAATGCGTTTTGATATACCCCAGTTTCGAATGGTTTTGGTATAGCGAATACGGTTGTTGTTGTTTTCTTTGTCATATAGAGAGGTATCCGCGTCAGATGATATGCCATGCCTACTGCGCCATCTCCGTCTCTGTGCGGCTTCACGAGAGTTCGCTCAATCCATCGGCCTGTGTCGCAGAGTAACGCAGTACCTCACCCTGAACTAGATCTCCGGGCAGGGGTCGGTACCGATACAAACAGGCGAGGTCTCATGGCACTGGGAGGCAAAGTCAAGCTTCCCATCGAGAGGCTACCTACGTGAACACCCACAGAATTGGCACAAGAAGCTTGATCACTGTTCGTCTCAGTACCCCGACCTCTGTGAAAGCATGAAGCAATTCCAGTGCAGACGCCAAGGTCTTTTACGAGGGAGATCAGAATGACAGCCGTAGATTAACATGGCGAATCTGATCCCATTGTTCTGTCGCAACGCCGAAGAACGCCGCGCGAATACTCGTATATCTGCCAACTCCAAATCTCATCACCGGTACCCAAGTCCAGGCCCTTTGTTTCCGAAATGCTGCTCATCGTACAGATGCACCGATATGTCATGGCTAGCCGAAAATGATAATGTCGTGACAAGAAAAATGGACTATCCTCTCGATCTGCCATATGGCTGGAGATTTCCTTCGAGCAGACTCCATGCGTAGATCGAAAATGAAATATTCATTTCATCATCGAGGATCCGAGAAACTGGTCCCCTCCAGCAACCTGATGGCGATCCGCAGGCACGAAACAAGGTCGAAGTCGCAACAAATCGCTTGCAGACCGTTGGGGCAACAGCTGGTGAGATATCGCATGGACCTGTCTCTTGCAGCTTCTTAGGCCATATCATGTTGGCGTTGCATTTGTTGTTTCATTTAGCTTGTCATTGCTTGCGTCGTGCAGCTCTTTACCTGCCTCCTCGTCGGCTCTCGGAGTGGTCTGCGAGTCTGTTGTCCCCTCGGAGGCTTCGCGTGAGGCAAACCAACCACCTCGCTCCCACTGCCCCTGGACATACAAGCTAGAGTTTCGCGTTTGCGTGTCGCGTATGCCGGCCAGTAAAGTGTTGAGTCGCTTGAAATCGATCGGCTTCAATATCCACCCGTCAAACCCAGCGTCGACGTAGGTTTGCTTCTGGCTCTCTATCAAAGAGGCCGACACGGCAAAGATGGGGATTCGCCCATTGATGCCTGCCAGGTGAGAGTGTCCCTTGTGCTCATCCGACTTTTCTGTGTCGCGAATCATCTTGGTGCTCGTGAGGCCGTCGACGATGGGCATCTGGAATATGTCAGAAAAGGCGGCAACAGATTTTGTCGGCAGTTCACTAACCTGCATGTCCATGAGGATGACATCAAACGAATCGGGACTCTCTTTGTACACGGTGGCGCAGTCCTCGCCATTAACGGCGTGTTGCACCTCATGACCAGCCTTCTCGAGCCTCTTCCGCAGTACCTTCAAGTTGATGGGGTCATCTTCCGCTACCAAGGTGCGCAAAGCGGTGCCGTCAACGGAACCTGATCTTGTCGTTCCTTTGCTTGGTACCGAGGTGTGACCACTGTCACTGGAGATCTCGAACAGTACCCGCGAGTGTTCGCCGACCTGTGGATGGGATGGCAAGTCTTTGTACTCTTCGGGAACTTTCACAGCCCGGATTCTGGTTTTCGTATCGCGGACTTCGGCCGTGCCGGCTTCATCTCGGGCCTGAGTAGGCGACGAGACGGCAGCCTTGCGTGACTGTGGGCTTGCCGAAAGAGTCGGGCCAATGCTTGACTTTGACGCGGCATGGCCGGAGCTGCCTAGCGAGTCCCGTCGAACAGCGAAATATCCGGATGGCTCGTCGTTCAATGACAAAGGGGTTTGGATGGCATGTATGAGCCTATCAGCGTCGCTTTGGTGACTTCCATGGCTGCCATAACTCCCGACGCTGCGACGGCTTCGAGCACTTCCCTCGTCGCCGCCTGCTTTCTCTCCCTCCATTGGGGCGAGAGCACTACTACCGCGGTCGATGAGTGTGATCTCCCCGGCAGGCGGAGCCTTCAATGAATCCGGAGCCTTGGCCACGGTGTTGGAGATTTGGCTGGTTTGGGAAGGGGCTTGGTTCGGGTCGCCGGAAGACGCAGGTGATTCGTCTGGTAAGAGAAAAGGCAGCTGAACGACAAAACGCGATCCCTGTCCGTCCTCAGATTTCAACCGCAGCTGGCCATCCATGTTTCTCACGATTCGGGCGACAATAGCGAGTCCGAGGCCGAGTGTTCGCGTGTCATGAGGTTTGTTCGTTTCGTCCCCCGTGTTCCCAGGCTCAATCTCTTCATAGCTGACCTGCTCCAAGTCACGGAACAGGGCGTCGAGTTGTTGTGGGCTCATGCCAGCTCCTGAGTCAGCGACCGCAATGTCGATCACAGCCTGTCCGTCTCTGATGTCGGAGACAAACAAATCAACATGAACAAATCCGCTGTCTGTGTGAGCTATTGCATTCGCCGTAATGTTGGAAATCACCTGACGAATACGCCGTCCGTCGCCGTGGACGAATCGAGGCAAGCCAGGATGGGAGGTCACCTTGTACTCAATGCCTTTCCGCTTCGCGTCGATGTAGAAAGGGTCAGTGGCCTCTTGTACACATACAGTCAGATCGAAGATCTCGTCTTTGATCAAGTTTTGTCCCTCCTCGGTCTTGGTGAGGTCGAGCAGGTCATTGATGACGTATATCAGAGACTTCGATGCGGAGTGAGACCGGGCAAGGTTTTCGCGGGTCTCTTTGTCGAGAGAACCTTCGAGGGCAATCTCCAGGTAGTTGATGATCGCGTTGAGTGGTGTTCGAACCTCGTGGGCTGAGTTTGCCAGAAGCAGCCGCGTGAGCTTACTGCTCTGCATCGCCGCCTCCTTCTGTCGCCAAACCTCGATAAATTTGCCTAGATAAGTGTTAGTCGAGTGTATTACCGGTCAAGGCGACAAACGGCAAGCTTACCATAGACAAGACAGAGAACGGCAGCTGTCTCGACCTGTTCCTCGTTCCAATCTCTGCACTTGCCAATGACAGTCTCATGCCACGTCTTGAAGCTCGTTCTCGGTTCCAGGTAGCCAGATGTCCCCTGCCTGACAGTCTTCTCGTACGGATTGCCGGCCCATTTGACTTCTTTGACTTGACCTTTGCGGAAAAAGACGATGAAGTCTACGCCACCAACACTCAGCGGGACGTAGAGCAAGCCTGCGATGACTTGGAAGCCTGGTGGATACCGCAAGTCAGGGAAATCCTCTCGAATGTCCTGAGACGTGAGGACCGAGGTCAGTTTGCGCATCCGCAGGTATTCGAGCATAGCCAAGGCCTCCTGGCTATGCTCAATCGTGCCCATGATCTTGGTTTCCCCCTTGATCGACAGCAAACCAAAGTCGGCGTCAAATAGTTTCAGAAGGTCGTCAGATGAGGCAATTATGTATCCAGAGGGGTTCTTGTCCGTCGGTGCAGTGTTAATCAGCTTGCGCGCCTGTAGTCTCGAAGCGTATGAGAGGCGTTCTATGTTGCGAGAGGCTGTGTCGCCCACCAGTCGACACATCTTCCTGATGGGAAACGACACACGCATACCGTGCGGCCCGTACGAATGACAAGCTATCAAGCCCCAGAGCTCATTGAAGGCATTGACAGAGATCGACATGGACGACCGCACGGCCATGTTCGCCAGGTATTTGATGTGGATCGGCGACATCGCCCTCAGATACGCGTGGGTCATGTCCAAGGGTGTCTCCAGGTCCTCTTGTGTGCGGCACACGATCCTTGCAGTCTCGAGATCCCGATCGTAAAGCAAGCGCACCTTGTTTATCTTGTAGAGCTCACGAGCCTGGCGTGGGATATCGGATGCTGGAAAATGAAGTCCCTTGTAGAGATCTATTGTTTGCGACGTGTCGACGAGTTCGGTGACAACCTTGCCGTTGAAGGAAGCGTCAAATTGGTAAATCATGACGCGATGGAAACCTGTAAGCTCCTTGACGATTCCCACGAGGATTTTGAGAAAGGTATCGAGATTCGGCGCTGACGCAAGCTGCTCCTGCACTTGCGACATGATGTCGAACACCTGCATCGCGCCTTGTTCGCCTCTCCTTTTTCTAGCACTGCGAAGGATGCGCAGTGGTTTGCTCAGGATCTCTGTGCTCTCTTCAATTTCTTCCAAAGTCGGGTTCGACTGCAGTGTATCATGTGGCGCATCGGGTGCCATCTCGTCAACGGGTCGAAGTGGGTACATGTGGTCGTCGTCGAGTTCGAATTCGCAGATGATGAGCTCAGGGTGGGCGGGGTTGATGTGGATGGCGCACCAGAGCTTGATACTTTTCCTGCTCTTGGGCGGGCGGATTGAGAGGCTCAAGACTTCGGGCCCATTGACCGCCGGGTCAGCGTCCTCGTCGCGAATGAAGTCGATATGGTCAAGGAGATTGTCTTGCTGCTCTTCGGTGAGAATGTCCATGAAGCTCTTCAGCCTGAAGAGCTGCCTTGGGCTATATCCGAGCATCTTCTCCGAGTTTTCGCTGACATATCGTACGGAAAAGCTCCCATCTTGCTCCTCTCGGAAAGCCAATAAGACGCCAAAGCCTTGTACAGCACCGGGTGTATGGATGGGTTCGTCCTCGCACTGCTGCAAGACGCCGTCACGGCCGGTGATTACGGCGTGGCCGTCTTCTGTCTCAACGTGTGTAAAGCGCGTAGTCATATGCGCCACTTCCGACAATGACTGGTGGCCGGAGACGAAGGAAGCACTGCTTTGCCGCGGCGCGTCCGCAGAGGCGTCTTTGGGTCCTAAGGGTGCGGAGTCCTCTGATTCCCTGTCGGAAGCAGAGACATCCAGGTTCAACGGCGCAATGGTACCCTGTCGCGCAGCATCTGCTTGTATGCTCGAGAATGGGCCGCTCATTGCTCTCTTCCTTCGCAGTTGGGCGGCGCGATCGAAAGGCGACGCTGTCGGGGGCAGGGTCCCGGATCTCCTGAGCTCAGTAGACGGGGCGGCGCGGGGCAAGCTCATACGGTGCGTAGCGATTCCTCGACTGTCTGTATCGGAAAGGGCTGGGAAGTAGTCTTCGCCAGTTTGTGAGCCCCTCCTCTGGGCTGGGCCGACACTGACCACGGATCGAATCGGAAACACGCGGTCAGATATGTCGGACGGTGCAGACTGCTGTCCCAACTGGAAGTCCGACCCGGTACTCCAGGAAGAGTAGGGCCCGGGGCTCATCACAGTTTGGGACTGCGCATCCGTAGGCGTGGAGGATACTCCTGCGTGGTCGCTTTGGTGTTGAGGCGGTGGCTCCGTTGCGAGCGGCGTCGGCCGGTCCTGAGTGTCGCTCAATCTGCTCCCTGTGTCTGAAGCCACCGCTGGCGGTGGCGGCGTGTTGTCCTGCGGCCCGTCATTCTCCATGGCGTGTCCGTTCGCGACCTAGAAGCCGCGACGGAGGAAGAAAGGGACGCTCCTCGGCTCGCTACAGTGAGATGTGCGCAGCAGAACCCTGAGACGGGCGGGCTGGAGGGGGCGGGGGGGCGAGGGAGGCGAGTGCGATCTGCGTCGTATCAACACATGCCGCGTCCTACACTGCTGTCGGTCTTCGGCGAGAGAAGCCCGCCTCAGACGAAGCAAGGCTCTGTGGCACGAGGGGATGGCACGCAGAAAGCGGGATGAATATGATCAGGGACTGGTGCCAGCTGTCAGTCAGTTTGGAAAGAACAAGGTGTTGTGGCCGAGAAAGTCGATCCTGTCTGCAAATCCGATGGTGGTGGGCAGTAGCGGGATGCTTGGGCGGAGTGTGGAGATGAAACGACGCACAGTGTCCGCCACGAGTCGTTGACGCAAGAGGGCCTCTGATGAGCGACACCAGGGTCACCCGGATTTTCGGTGGTGAATGCCTGATTATTATTTGTCTCTGCTTTCGGTGCGAGTGGCCGTGCCGAAGAGATATTTGCCGTTCTCATGTCAAGCGTCCTGCAAAGAGTCATCGATGTTCATGTGTCTCGTCGGGGGAACTGTTGATGACGGCCTGCGGAAATTGGGAGGGTGCTCCAGCTGCGTGCGTTCTTGCTCGGCCTGGTCACTTCACTGTGCAGTCATGTCGCGCATTTACGTCTACATCAGGTACGAGATCTCCCAGGCTTCGCTTCGCCATGTAGCCTTGACGCGCTGCATCCCTTCGCGCCACTTCCATGGCCATGACCTCACGTACGACCGTCCGTTTGCCACACGAGTACCGGTCCCATGTCATTTGAAGAATAGTCGCCGTTGACAGTTGAAACTAAATCATTCGAGAAAGGGGAACCCGCCTGGAGTCCCTGGAGTGCCCTGGGGCCCTGAAACCTTCCCATTATTGCAGCCGGTCGGTTCGAGACCGTACGTAGAAGCGGGCGGGGTCTTGCACCGCAAACCAAGCGACTGTGACATGCCGCAATGGGGCCCGTCTCAATTTGCCCTCGCGAGAGTGGCCGGCCAGGACACAAGCCTGAGGCGGGCCTGCCCCGATGGCCTCGCCGTGGATACTAATCATGGAAACCCAGAGGGGGGCCCCTCGGTTCAAACGCTTGTCCCGCGGGAAGCCAGCACTATTGCGACCGCCTCCCCGCCTCTACAACGAATGCCCCTCCGCGTCTCACGAGCGGAGGCTGGAGGACAGCCCGGTCGGATTCTTCAAGATTTTGCATGCTCATGTGAACATCTCACGGCCGAAATTATTCGTTCATGACAGGATGAAGGCCGCGGCGGGCTGATGCAGCGCCAGGGTGACAACGCGACTGCGACGACTGAACAAGCAGTCCCATGACAGCTCGATCGCACACTGTGAGGAATGGAGCCGGCCAGGTCGGGCAAAGCGGCTCAGGCATCTCCTGTGGCCCCTCCCGCCACCACCGCCAAGGTTCTTGCCAGATCTGGCAAAAGCCTGCACCAGAGATCTGGAGGGTACATATTCTCCGGCGCGACTATCGCATGCAACACCGCCCAGGGCTCGCTTCTGCTCTCAAAAACCGCATAGGGCCATCCGGACGAGATATGCGTATCCCACGCGATGTCCAAACATGCCTATATACCTTTTGACCGCTCCGTGGCATCCCCGGAAACTGCCTCGGCCCAGGTTACACCGGCCGGTCCATCTGCTCCGGAGGTGGGGACATGGCCCGGCCCAATCACTTTTGCCTCTGGCGCTGTCATGCTTCGTCGTCTTCCAAGGCCGACCTCGTGCCCTGCTCTGGCACCTCTCAAAACCGGGCATGGCAAAGGATTAAACCCCCACCAAGGATCCAGGGCCAGGGTCTTGGGGCAGAAGGGCTTCCGACACTTGGCCATTGCCCCTGGCGTAGGCAACTGGAACCCGCTGCGAGTGGTCAATAAATTGACACTGTCCACCCGCGGTTTCGGCTACCCCAATCACCTCCACAGGCGTTTCCCTCACATGGCAAAGTGACGTCGCAGCAGCCCAGAAGTCGATTTGCGCTTATGGCATTTTGCCTGTTTCCGATGCACCCGCATCCCAGCAGCAACTCCCATGACAAGCGGAGCCCCTCTTTCTTCCTGAACTTTGAATGCTGCTGTCTCTGGACAGTCACTACATAGCCCTTGCTAGCAAATTGCTTGGTGACGTCGGCGACGTTTCTGAGGCCGGTCGATAAGATCGTGGCGATTTAGGATCCCGTCTTTCCTCGCGCCGGCCAACAAATTTAGCTCGACGGTCTGGCGCAACGCACACTTTAGAGGATGATATCCATCAATGATCTCGGACTGCGTGTGCCGACGATCGTTCAAGCCGCCCACCAGGCGAGTGCTGCAGAGGGCGGTCAGGCGGCTGCAGCCGGGCAAACGAGCTGATTGCATGGCAAAACAAAGCGCTGTCTCGTCTTCAATACATTGTGATGTACATAATAGCGCGTGGCCACCTGCAGCAGCAGAAGAGCTCTTGCGAACCGCTACCACTTAACCCCGAATAGTCCATGAATGTAATGGATCCGTCAGGGCCTTCTGATCGAGCGCCCTGGGGACCAAATCTATGTCTACCATGAGCATAAGCGTCTCAGCGCTTGTATGCCCTCAGAGATGCCATCTTGCCCTTTGGATTGGCATCGGGTGTAGGATGACTTTGTGTCTTACTCCTCGCTGGCTGCGTTACACTTCTCGCCAACGTATTTGCACTTGTTGTCGCGGCCCTTCTCTTTCTGTCTGCGGCATCTCGCGCGCAAGATACACAGGTCGTGCCGGACAGCTCGATCTGATAAGGAGAAACTCCTGTCCCGCCCGCTTTGCAGTCGGTGTGCCATCCTCCACGTCCGATTCAGATAGTCCCCATCGGATCAGAAGTCGAACAATTCGTCCATTCCATGTACTCATTGTCTGCATCTCATTTCAATCCGTTGCAACATGGCATTGTCCGAAGGCTTTGATGTATCGGAAGGACTCACCAGGAGAGGATACGATAGGGTCAAATGCTTGCACGGGGTGGCTCAGCTCTCAGCAACTGATCTTTACCAGCTAACACCCCGGTCGAGTTCTACATCCAGACGATTGCGATACCCTTCTGAGTGCGAAGAAGGACAGCTGTGAATACAGCGCACAAGATTTCTCAACGTGGCTATTCTTTTTGGCTCTCGGTAGCCCCTGACTGCCATGGCCCCTATTTCCACAGCGCGTGAGAGCGGCTCCCTCTTATACTGATGGCCCAACTTTCTTCAGGGCGTAGCACGCATTCCTGACGCCTGCAAGATGAGAAACCTGGAAACGTCCGGTAACTAACGTTTTTGCACGTCTCTGCTCGAATGGCTTGGCCGTAACATTTGGCCAATAACACCGACAGTTGCGAATGTGCTACACGTGGTCCTGCGTGCGGGCACAGGACGTTTGGTCCTTATCGTAGCTTTTGGGAGCTCACCTTTGATGTGCCATTGGTCATCGGGCCGCATTTCAGCAAGCCCGTAGGTTGAGAAGCCTGAGAGGTGTCCCGATGCGGTACCTGGGCGTATGCAGACACATCGGGTGCCATGAATGGCACTCGCAACAGCGAGGGAAACCTATCAGCTCTAAACCTAGCCTTATGTGATCATAGCCACGGCTCCTGCGGTTGTCTTTGCAACCTCGAGGTGATTTATACGATTTTACGAGGTGTAAACGCGAGTCATCACAGCTGCAGCCAGCATGGCAGTAAATTTCAGAGTTTTGGAACGAGCATTTTGGAGCCGTACTACATCCGATCAAGAATTGTCAACACGGTCATCGCACTCAGTCGTCCCGATTGCTGCCAGGGGGCCCTGCTCCCGGCCGGAAGCAGCCCGGGATTGGTGACCCACAGCCTCCGAAACGCCCAGAGACCTCAGGTGCCTTCTATTGCTGTACACTGGGTGTCAACATTAATAGCATTGCTGTTGCTTTGGCTGATGACTGTCTTCTCATAGAGCGCTCGCTCTTTGCGTCCGGTTTCCGCGCCACGTCAGAATAGAGCGTCGAGGCTCAAGCGCAGTACCATCCGGGCACGCCGTTGTTCAGCGTGGCGATCCGGGATACGGCCCGTGTCGCTGTCGAGTGCGCAGCAGACGCAACCCTGTTCATGTTCGGGCTCGTGCGTTCGTTGTCAAGTTACGAAGCGTGTCTGTGCGAAGTCCCTGTTGATAGCTACGGTCAACAGCTGGCCCGCAATGAGCCACAGTCGTTTACAAGCCAGTGCTGTGTTTTACGACGGCCCTGCTGATCATCGACCTCGGCGTTATGGCGGCGAAGTTCCTATACCGGGCGAATAGGATGAGGCTGTCGGGGAAACGGCCGAGTCATTGGCAGCGAGACAAGTCAGGGCGGCAGTCCCAGGTTGGCCCGGAGTTCTCGTCTCTCTCCAAGACCAGCCAGAGGATGGGGCGGGATTGTCACTACAGCTGATTCCCGGCTTGTCCAAGACGATCAAGACGACGTCTCCAAGCCGGGTGCCCAGCAACGAGTGGAAATTTACTCTATGCCAGTGCGAAAACATCCAGGCCAATGGAGAGATGACGTAGAATGTCGATATACGTTGCATAAAGCAACGTAATATCTGGCAACACATGTCTATGGAAAGCATCGGTTGTGAGGTCCATACCCGTTAGCAACCGGCAACCGGAGCTCTGTCGGTAACGCGCGGCACTCAAGGCCGGCTCCCCCGAGTGCAATGGTTGTCGGTGTGCGGCAACGTGATCCCACCACCCTTGACTTCACCACTCGGTGAGAATCACCCACGCTGGCGGGAAGTTGATCTGACTGCAGATCGAAGTTGGGGACACGACGACGACATAAAGCAGACGAGCCCTAATCACTGGGGTAGTTTGACCCAGCGACGTGCGACCGCCACATCAGCCGCGTGCAGCCACAGATGGGGGTGTCGTGCAGCGGAGATCTGTCCAGGCCCCAGCGCATGCGCTTGTCCAGGA